ATCTAGTGCTAAATTCATTGTGTTCTCACTTCTGCTGTATGATAAACCAGCTTGACCCAAATCATCTTCACAAATTGTTTTATGTATCATCAGATCAAGTGTGTAGATTGGGAGAAAGTGAGTTACCAAGAAGACGGGAAGGATAAAAGAGAACTCTAAAGAAACATGGAAGAGGAGATTCATGGACAAAGGATTTTAAAGCAGCGTTCTTAACATTTTTGTTCCATAGACCCTTTGGCAGTTTTATGAATCTTATGGGACCCTTCCCCATCTCTGTAAAAGGCATCACAATTTTTTCAGTTTTACATGTCAGACATTCAGAATTCCTTATTTCCCTAAACCACAAGCTGAAGTGTAAGCTGTTAAATTCTGTTGGCTCTACCTCCCTCCCCAGTGGTTTCACCCTTGTCAAACCCACCTGACCTAGTTTACTGTAAAATCCTACTAACTATCCTGCATTTACTCTTCTCCCACTTGTCTATACTCTATACATAGCAGAAGAAAAAAAAACTAATCTGTGAAAATCTAAATCATTTTAGATCACTGCTTGCATAAAACACTTCAATGGCTTTACGGTTTAATTTAAATAAAACTGACACACTTGTTCTATGTGATCCAAGATCCTATGTGATCTGAACTCTGAAGCAGTGATTTAGTAATGATAGCTGACTCCAGAATACTGAGTACCTACAATACTCTTTTTTTTTAAATGTATTTATTATACTTTAAGTTCTGGGTACATGTGCAGATCGTCAGGTTACATAGATATCCACGTGCCATGGTGGTGGTTTGCTGCATTCAACACCCCATACCTACAATATTCTACAACCTGTTCTAATTGTTTATTTTCTTTGTCAATTTTTTTTTTTTTTTGAGACTAAGTTTCGCTCTTGTTACCCAGGCTGGAGTGCAATGGCGCAATCCTCAGCTCACCACAACCTCCACCTCCTGGGTTCAGACAATTCTCCTGCCTCAGCCTCCTGAGTAGCTGGGATTACAGGCACGCGCCACCCTGCCCAGCTAATTTTTTGTATTTTTAGTAGAGATGGGGTTTCACCATGTTGACCAGGATGGTCTGGATCTCTTGACCTCGTGATCCACCCGCCTGGGCCTCCCAAAGTGCTAGGATTACAGGCGTGAGCCACCATGCCCGGCCCTTTGTCTTTTTTACCTTTCAGCAATTTCATGAGTTTATATTATTATTTATATGTGTTTTAACGATGAAGAAACTGAGACACAGCTAACTTAATTTGTGAAATGACAAATAATAAACACAAGTCTGTTATTTGAACCCAGAAACTATAGCTCCTGAGCCCACATTCAAACACTATACAATTTCGCTTCTCATCTCTTCCTGTTTCCCTGCTTCCTGTGATCCCAGGTGACCACGTGACAAACTAGTTTCTACTCTCAAGGAATTGTACCTGTTTACTTCTCTGAAAATTCTTCCCCCAGATCCTCATATGGTGGACATCTTCTCATTTCTCAGGACGAGGCTCATTACAGGGACTACATTGCCTATCCCAATCTATTCCCTTTTTTGTACCTAATTTTTTAAGTATTTACTCTTCGGTTTGTGCTTGGACTTAGGAAAAGTGATACAAACCCAAGCTCCAGTGACTGACTCAATCAGTCTAACTAAAACTTAGACTCTGCACCAGCCATGGAAATGTCATTCCCCATGCAAGTGACACAATTTTGGCCAATATGGCATAATATGAAGTCTGCTGGGAACAAAGATTTCTGATATAATTTGGCTGTGTCCCCACCCAAATTTCGCCCTGAATTGTAGCTCCCATAATTCCACAGGGTGGGACCCTATGGGAGATAACTTAATCATGGGGGTGGTTTCTCCCTTACTGTTCTCTTGGTAGTGAATAAGTCTCGTGATATCTGATTGTTTTTTAAGGGGAAACCCCTTTTGCTTGAGTCTTATTCTCTCTCTGCCTGTTGCCATGTAAGTCATGCCTTTCACCTGCCACCATGATTGTGAGGTTTCCCCAGCCACGTGGAGCTGTGAATCCATTAAACCTCTTTTTCTTTATAAATTGCCCAGTCTCGGGTATGCTTTTATCAGCAGCATGAAAACAGACTAATACAGTTTCCTTGCTGACAAAAAATAACAGAGATCTGTGAGAATAAACTCTTTCTTTTTACCTATGAACTTTGCCTGAGCTAGATGAGGACAGAATGGCTAGAAGTGTCATTCCATCTTGTGAGCAAGGTGGTAGCCAGTCCACATGCAGAGACAGGCATGGAAGAAGAAGTATTTCCTTACATCCTTACCCTCTGAACTATTCCCAGATCCCAGAAATGGGGTATTTCTTTGTTGCCCAGACTGGCCTCAAACACCTAGGCTCAAACCATCCTCCCACCTCAGCCTCTAAAGTAGATGGAACTACAGGCATGTACCACCATGCCAGGCTTAAGGCATTTTTTATGTAAGATAACAAATTCTCTATTTAAACTATGATGTGTTCAGTTTTCTGTTACACGCTACTGAAAACATCTTGGAGGAAGCACAGTTAAACTGTTACCCCCCCCCAGAGAGCCCTTCCCTGGCCATCAGATAAAAGGTATTTTCTTCTCCAGTTTCCCTCTAGCAAACCCTCATGGTTTTCTTTTCATTGCACATATTCTGTCAAAGTATCTTTTTAAAATTTATTTACCATTTACTTTCCTTGCTGGAATGTAAACTGTCTAAGAAAAGGAATCTTGCCCATGTTATCTATTGCTCGATCACCAGCACCTAGAATACCGTCATATTCCTCCCCTTAAAATGTTAACCTCGGAAAATTATCTCAGCATCTCAGCATCTAAGTTGGATTGTAAAGGTCAAATTAGTTACTTCATATAAATTGCCTTAGAAAGTGCCCAACACATGGTTAATGTTCAATCACAATAGCTTTTCATGTTATTTTTATTCTTACACAGGCACTCAATAAATATTTGTTAAATGAATAAAAATATGAAACAATGAATATCTGAAATGTAATGTGATTGCCCTCTACGTTAGAACATGGTAAGGGAAGAATTTGTCTTATTTTAAAAAAAAGATTTTTAAGAGGAGAAGCAGATTAGTGTTAAAGGTTGAAAAGATTCATGCTGCATAGATATCTCTGTTTCCCAAAGGCAAAACACACTAGAAAACACTAAGTTATAACATCAGTGGCCATACGGCCCCATCATGATGCAGGAATTAGTGGTGAACAAGACAGGCAAGGTTTCTGTTCTTACCAGCAGTGAACCAAGACTTCAACCAGCCATGAATAGGCCAAACATTTTATTTAGCGAAAAGTCAACTATGTAAAAGGTTCTTGAATATCATTAATGACAATTAAATCTCTCAAAAGGCGAGGAAACAACCACTTTGGACCTAGCTGACAACAAGGGGAACTGATTGATGAAGTGGAAGTAATGGAAGTCTAAAAGAAAGTGACCATGCTATCTTGAATTTGTTTTTTTCCCAAGGAAAAGAAAACTGGACATCACGATTTGTACACCCTAGACTAATTTCTGCAAAATGTTTAGAGAAAAGATATGCATTATTCATGGCATGAGACTCCTAAGGAGATTATGACTCAAAAGTGTTATGATGTTCTCAAAAATACAATTTTGAGTGCAATTGCTAAATGATAAAATGAGGAGGAAAGGGGAAAGAACACTAAAAAATGTAGCTTCAGATGTTCTTCAAGAAAAATACAATTGAAAAGTATTCATGTATTTTGTATTCATCATCTTGGTAATACAGCACTAGGAACATAACAAACAGAAGGTATTATCGAATGAGTGCAGGATAAATGAATTGAGTATGAAAGTGCTATGGCCAGTCAGATTCACATCAGAGTCACTGGAGTCCCAAATGAGATGAGATTAGGAGGAGGAAGGATTAAAAATACCAAAGAAACTTAAGGAGCAAAAGGCCTGTGACTTTGAACTAATGACATAATGATGATATAAAAATTATGGTGTTCAACCTTGAAAAACCCAGCTGAACATCATTAGTGAGAAATTGAATCCCAATGAGGGTAAAGACTATTGGTCAGTACGTACATGTTCTAAATGAACTCATATCTCCTTATAACAATGAATTATAAACACAGTATAAAATACTTTGCCACTGAGATATCTGGGTACTAAGAGCAGTATTAGGAGACCAGAAATAGATGAAACTAAATTCAGAAAGCTTCAGGGAGGTATAGTTGTGATGGATTCCCAACAGCATTCTCAGTAGCTAATCACAAAGTAAATATAAACACATTTCTTCCTTTTATACTATTATTAATTTAGTAAGTCATCTGGGTTTATGCAAAAGAATTCACATTGTTGTTTAGCAAATATAAACACATTTCTTCCTTTTATACTATTATTAATTTAGTAAGTCATCTGGGTTTATGCAAAAGAATTCACATTGTTGTTTAGCAAATATAAACACATTTCTTCCTTTTATACTATTATTAATTTAGTAAGTCATCTGGGTTTATGCAAAAGAATTCACATTGTTGTTTATGACTGATATAGTTTGGGTATTTGTCCCCCAAAAATCTCACGTTAAACTGTAATTCCCAGTGTTGGAGGTGGGGCCTAGTGAGAGGTGTTTGCATCATATGGGCGGACCCCTCATGAATGGCTCAGCACTATCCCTTTGCTGATGAGTGGGTTCACGTGAGATCTGGTTGTTTAAAAATGTGTGACACCGGCCGGGCGCGGTGGCTCACGCCTGTAATCCCAGCACTTTGGGAGGCCGAGGCGGGTGGATCACGAGGTCAAGAGATCGAGACCATCCTGGTCAACATGGTGAAACCCCGTCTCTACTAAAAATACAAAAAATTAGCTGGGCATGGTGGCACGTGCCTGTAATCCCAGCTACTCAGGAGGCTGAGGCAGGAGAATTGCCTGAACCCGGGAGGCGGAGGTTGCGGTGAGCCAAGATTGCGCCATCGCACTCCAGCCTGGGTAACAAGAGCGAAACTCCATCTCAAAAAAATAAATAAATAAATAAATAAAAATAAATAAAAAATGTGTGACACCTCCGTCCCCCTTGCTCCTGCTCTTGCCATGTGAGATACTGGCTTCCTGTCACCTTCCACCGTGAATAAGAGCTCCCCGAGTCTCCCCAATGCTTCTCTTTCTCCAGAGCCAGAAGCATTACTAGCACCATTCTTCCCATACAGCTTGCAGAATCGTGGGCCAATTAGAACGCTTTTCTTTTTGTTACCCAACCCCAAGCATTTCTTTATGGAAACACATGAACAGACTAATACAATGACCACCTTTGAGACAGTTTGGAATAATAAGGTTTGGATGCCAGTTTAATGTAGCAAATTAGTGATGGACTACATTCGAAGGGTGGCTAATGGATTATGCCTACCTGGAGGAAAGGGTTGAGTGGGTTGCTACAGTGCTTTCTTCTTAGCTTTGTAATATTCTGCATTTTTAATCAATTATTAACAATGTTGAAGTTATCATTATTACATTTTCCAATGATAAATGGCTTGGTAGAATTGCAAAAATACTCTTTCACAGAATCAGATCCAAGGAGATTTTAGTATCTTGGGTTAATGGGCTACATTTAACAAGAATGAGTTGAATAAGGATAAATGGATGATCCCTGAACTCAAGTCCATAATATTAATGACACAAAATCAGGATATAATAATGTATCTAACATCATCTTTTGATAGTTGACTACTGCCATATTTTAACCCTCACCCCTCATTCTTTCCCTTTTGCCCCACCTCTGGGAAAGCTTTTAAAATAGGCTGGGTGTTTCCTTCTTTGGCTCCTGCAGGAGATACAAACCATGCAAGCCCTTCTCCTCACGTGGGTACCTTGATCCAGCTCCAACCTCCTTCCGTGATGTAAATATGGAGTGAGTATCCTTTCCTTGAGAAGCCCATCTTGATCTCTGAGACTTCTATTCTGTAAGTAATAAACCTTTTTATACCTTTGGTGTTAGAGTTTAGCATTATCAATCTTGACATCCAAAGTAAATTTTGGTGGGGGTCCATCAGCCTGTGCACAGTGGATGCAATGCAGAGGTGGTGGGTGGAGGAGGATGCAGATTAGGAGTAGCTCATAGGAGAAAGACTCAGAGGATAGGCTGGGAAAATCAGAAGCAGAAAGCTCCATACAAGTCCACAGTATGGTGGAGCATCCCAGAAGACTGTGATTCCAAGGGGCTTTAGTCCAAGTGGACATATAGGAAGAGAGGAAGCAGTCTGCCCAATTCTGTGTAGGTCAACCACCCAGGAACCCTCACGACTATCTTTTCTTCTTTTATATCTCTCTCTCCCTTTTGGTCATAACCCTCAAACCCTATTTAAATCCCATCTCTATGCAGATGATTCTCACATGTTTATCTCCAACCCAGACCTCCAATCATGGGGTCATGGGCAGCTTGAACTTGATAGATCCAAAGCTGAACTCTATAACCTCCACCAACCTGCTCCTCACTCCCTATCCCCACTTCTCAGCTCAGCGTATGGTGACTCAGGCTGAAAGTCTTGCAGTTATCCTTGACACCACTTTTTTCTTTCACCACCTACTTCTGATTCACTAGCAAATCCTATCAGCTCTGGCTTCAAACTATATCCAGGATTCAACTGTTTCTCGTGGATGTCACTGCTACGCCAGTCCAAATGCCACCATTATGTCTTGCCTGCAATGTTACAGTAGTCTCCTAGCTGGTCCTCCTGATTCACTTTCTATCTAATCAACACCAGCACTAGCAACCAGAGCATTTCTGCTAAAAGTAATATCAAGCCACTCTCTGCTACAAATGTTCCACAGCTCCCCATGGCCCTCAGGTTCAGAGCCAAAGTCCTTAATGATCTAACATCATTGTGACTTCATCTCCTAATTCTGCTCTAGCTTTTCCTTTCCACCACACTGGCCTCCGTGCTGTCTGGTTTTCACTGTCTTAACATACCAGCCTTGCCCCACCTCAAGGCCTCTGAACTTGCTCTTTCACCTGTGTGGGACTCTCTTTCTTCAAATATCTGCAAACTCATCCCTTCATGTTCATAAGTCTTAAGACTTATCTTCTCAGTGAGGGCTTTCTAGGTCACCTTAACCAATGACCCTAACAACTCTCTACCCAATTATGTCTTATATCTCTGTACTGCTTATTTTCATCCTAAATTCTCTTATATATTATATTACATTATAATTATATATCTAATATATTTTCTGTCTCCCTCACTTAAGTTCCACGGGAATGACAATTCTATTCCACTGTGTTCACTGCTTTACCATTCAGCATTGTACTATGACTTAGTGAGTACTCAGTGAATATTTTCTTGAATTAATGAATGAACTTTAAGATACTGTGTCATCGGCCGGGCATGGTGGCTCACGCCTGTAATCCCAGCACTTTGGGAGGCCGAGGTGGGTGGATGGCAAGCTCAAACTTCGAGACCAGCCTGGCCAACATGGTGAAACCCTGTCTCTACTAAAAATACAAAAAGTAGCCAGGCATGGTGGCACATGCCTGTAGTCCCTGCTACTTGGGAGGCTGAGGCAGGAGAATCACTTGAACCCAGGAGGCAGAGTTTTCCAGTGAGCTGAGATCATGTCACTGCACTCCAGCCTGGTGACAGAGCAGGACTCTATCTCAAAAAAAAAAAAAGATACTGTGTCATCTCTATGATCACCAACAAGAATATGGGCATATTGGATATTTTTAGTTAATGACAGAACTTTAAGTCATACACCACAAAGAAAGGAAGAATGAAATGAGTATGCTCAGCCTGCAGAAGAGGAGATGTGCAGAAGAGGTCCACGGAGATTGGTTTGATACAGTAGGAAGCTTCAAACCTTTCAAAGCTATGTTATGAATAGGGTTATCCTATTTTGTTTGTGTTTCTAAGTTATCAATTGGCATAAATAAATGGAAGCTCCAGGAAGACAAATTTCAGGATCTTTTACATAGTCCAAGCTTTTCAATGATATCCTGGGATCCACTGAAGGAGATCCACTAAAGAGGAAATTTCTCCTTCTTGAAGGTTCAAAATGAGTGAAAAAGTCATAGAGATGATGGTCACACTAGATAACAATCTTATGCCAGTTTATGATACTTTCCTTCTGTGAATGAAGTCATGCAGCTGACCTGTAGTGAATTATCATTTGGGCAAATGGACATTGAGAAAAAAAAATACACAAACACACATACACACACACGTATATATATATATACATATATATAGTTATATATATGCATATATTTATGTGTATAAACACACATACATATGTATATATACATATATAGTTATATATATACATATATTTATGTGTACACACACACACACACACATATATATTTGAGATGGAGTTTCACTCTGTTTGCCCAGGCTGGGGTGCAATCGTGCAATCTTGGCTCATTGCATCCTCCACTTCCCCGGTTCAAATGATTCTCCTGCCTCAGCCTCCCGAGTAGCTCAGATTACAGATGCACACACCCAGTTATTTTCTGTATTTTTAGGAGAGACAGTGTTTTATCACGTTGGCCATGCTGGTCTCAAACTCCTGACCTCAGGTGATCCACCTGCCTTGGTGTCCCAAAGTGCTGGTATTACAGGCATAAGCCACCCCCCCAGCCTAGAATATGTTTTAAAATGAAGTATAGACCAAAACTCAATAGCTTGCAAACCTAAATCTGGTTTAGTAATTTTTCCAGTTTTCTAAATCTGTTTAAAATGTTTTAAGACCTATAAATATTTCATATTTGAAAATCCCAATTGTCACCTCTAAGTTTTCTATACTAATTTTTTATCCCTCCTTCCTCTCTTTCTCCCCTACACACACACACACACACACACACACACACACACACATGTATACATATACATATAGTTATCTATATATACATATATTTATGTATACACACACACACACACTCTCTCTCTCTCTCTCTCAAGTTCTAATCACTACAAACACTACTAGCTCTGATTTTTCTAGAATTTCCTCAACCTTTGTTGAGATTCAAGTTAGAAACAGAGGATAAAGGATGCTGTTGGAATATCTCTTGTTTTATTAAAAGAAAGCGTCAGAGACTTGGAAAGAGTGGTGGTATAGTAATTAATTTCCTTTCAAAATCTAAGATTCCAAGTTAATACTTTCTCTGTCAATAGAAAAGGATCACCATGTGTGAAGCAAACACTGGATTTCAAGGGCAGAGACACGATTCTTTTGTGTGTAATGCCTGAATTCTAACTGGTACTCAATAAATGTCAACTGCCAAATATATACTTTCCTCAAAACCTGGCAGAATGTGCATCAGGAAAACTTGAGCTAATCCTAGCTTCTTCACTTTTTAAAGTTTCAAAGGATTTGTTTAAAGGGATATAAAAGATTATTTAAATAAACCAATTTATTAATAATCATGCTATAAATGGATCTCATAGAATTAGAACTGTTCTTCATTTAGATTGCTTTTAATAGATATGACTTTGCTCTCTACTTTTCTTGATTACAGTTCCATAACTAACACATTCATCAGCTGAGATCTTTCTTCTTTTCCTTCCCATTCCACATCCTACTGAAAGTCTAATGCAAACGTTAAGAAGAGCAGGGGTGAGATGGGAGTGTGTGTCTGGGTTGGGAAGGGTAGGTTCTCATGCTCCCACTAGCTGAAAACCCCAGCTAAATTAACTCAGTGTCTCCACAAACTGTTCCTATTCTGCACGATATATATCTACCATAGGAGTAATATAGTCCCTTTCCTTGATTTCCACCAAAAACAAAAATAAAACAAACAAAAAGGAACATTCCCATATCCTTTGTATGTAGAGCAGACTTTACAGAAGATTTGGAAAAACAGAAACAACACGTACACACACATCCTTTCTAAAGAAGAAGATAAAATATTCCCATTCTTCACATGTCCTTTTCCACTAGCAAGTTTCAGCTCCCAGAAAGTTCTATGTATCTTCATGCTTTTTCTTCACCCACAAATCCTTCCTTATATCTTACACAGAGCAGTATGGCAATATTAACATTTCTTAGAAATCCAGTGAAAAAATCTTGAGTCATCTTTGACATTTCCTTTTCTTGCATCCCCTATAACTAAATTGTCCCTAAATCTACTTTTGTCCTTTAGTTGTCACTTGGAATGAACTCCCTGCATTCCCACCATCTCATTCCTAGACCAGCCCTATATCTTCCCAAGTTAATTTCCTAACTCAGACCTCCACAAATCACAGAAAGCCCAACCACTACCTTCACCAGATACGACTTCTGTCTCACCTTTTCCCTTGTTATGTTCTCTCCTGTAAATCCCTTGTTTATTCAAATCCTACCCATATTTGAAGACCAACCTCCCCATCTCATGCCCATGTTGAAGAATCCAAGCCCAAATGTATCTCTTCCTTTGCCAAATTACTGTTTATATAGCAGTCAAAAATCTAATCACTTCAAGTATTTATTTTGTATGTTTGTTTCCTTATGTTTCCCAAATCTGACTTGAACACACCGGAATGCAGAAAACTGTCTTATGTTTAATTGCATCCCCCACAGCCAAGCTCAGGTCTGGGCACACAAGGACTATTTTAGTTTATTGAACAGGATCACACAATGGTTATGAATGCAGTCTGGGGATGACTGCTACTTACTTGCTGTAAGGATCTCAGGGCAGATTTCTTAACTTCTCTAGCCTTTGGTTTCCATGTCTGCAAAATGAGGATAATGTGAGTGACAAGTGTTATGAGGAAATTAAGTGTGCTAATGCACATAAAGCATCATGTCTGTGACATTTCAGTCCGGCTGCTTTTAAGGATCAACCAGGAAGAGCATTTGAGGTCATCTACTCTAACACCTTCGTTTTGAAAATGAAAATATCAAGTCCCAGGGAGATTAATTAAACTGGAAGACTAGAGACTGCTTCTAGGGGAATCTGTTGGTGACTTTCTCAAGGTCCTTCCTGGCTTGGGGCAGATAGAGGACTAGAATCCCTCCAATTCCTCTGGTCTTCCTCGGCCTGATGTCCTTTCTGCAGCATTCTGATGCCACCACAATCAATTTAGAGGTTAGAAAACCTTCAAGTGATTGAAAAAACTCTAAGTCAGCGGTTGTACTTGAGGTATTATTAGACATTCTAGAGGACAGCTTTTAAGATACCTTTAGATTGTTATGATAACAAATTAATTTTAAAATCAATAAAGAATTAAAAGATGTTATCTGTGATTCTAAACAGTAAGAGGATGCTGCTGAATCATTTCTTTCCCTTAGCAGAAAACAAAGTCGATTGTAATATTTATACCTTCAATGCTCTTACACCTAAAAAAACCCTATCATAAATTTTTTAAAGTATACATATGTTTGTGTGTGTGTGAATAAGTTCACACAAGTGTGTGCACATGAGCATATGTATCTGTTGATTGAGTTGGGAAAAGAAATCTACAGGACCTCAGAATTGAAGAGGTAGACTGAAAATCTAGGCAGAATCTCTAGTAGAAGAACCTCCTGTAGCTCACCTTTCACCTGAAAGAATTTCAGAGAATGGGTGACTTCAAGAGACCATTGGGGAACAAATTCTCCTACGGTACAACCGGTAATGACTGAGTCCCACCAGTCAGTGCACAATGAATGGGGCTTTTTAGTCTCTGCTTACATTCAGCTCTTGTCCCTGCCATCTGTGACCTCCCTTCCTTCTCCCTACCTGAACACATGCCTTTTCATATACACAAGTACATGCATACACAGTGCTCAGAAACCTTGGGGATATACAATCTCCTTGTAGAAACTGTACAGTGTTTGCTAAAGCATAGTCCCACTGGGAGTTGACTCAATTCCTGGAAAATCCAGGGGATTCTAAACAAAATCAAACCTATTTCTACTAGGCCTGAACTAAGCGAAAAATTTTGGAAGCTAGCATTTGCTGAATCCTTCACATGCTCGTACTCTTGGAAGGATTTTCATGAACAGCATTGTTACTTCTGCCATATTTACAACTTTATGGCCAACTCCTCAAATAAGACCCAGTAGATACTCAAAAAAATTTGGTGAATGAATTCACCCAAGGTCACATAGTTAGTGGCAAAACAAGAAATCAAACTAGGATGTAACTGACTCCAAAGACCATACTCTTTAGCCGCTAAATCACATCATCTTCAACCCTACACTACTTCCCCTGAGAAGTGTACTTCTCGTTATGAACTGAATGGTTGTATCACACACACACACACACACACACACACACACACATATATATATAATATATATATATAAGCCTTAACCCTAAGCATGGTTGTATTTGAAGATAGGGCTTCTAAGGAAGTGAGGTTAAATGAGGCCATAAGGGAATCCTTATAAGAAGAGACACCACAGTGTGCCCTCTCTCTCCCAACAAGCATGCACTGAGAAAAGCCATGTGCAGACATATGTAGAGGTGGTTGTATGTAAGCCAGGAAGAGAGCCCTCATCAGAAATGTAATTGGCTAGAACCCTGATCTTGGACTTTCAGCCTCTAGAACTGTGAGAAAACAAATTTCTGTTATTTAAGCCACTTAGTTTATGTATTTCACTGTGGCAGTCTGAGTAGACGAACACACTTTTAAGACCAAAATTTCCCCAGCTCTGGGTTGTATATGATTCTTGCGATTTGAGTTGTTCTTGTGCACACCAGGGTGTGTGCCACAAAAAATAAATATGTATCAAATGATACCCATTTTAATACATAATTGTATGCAGAACCCCAGCATACTTAGGAAAAAAAAACATGTTTTTCTATCCAGTTCTACCCATATCTTCCAAGCTGAAACCTTAAATAGAAAAGAAAGGTGGGGAGATCACAAAGTATGAAGTTATTGTATATTCAAAATAGTTATTAGAACATACTGACGAAGGAATGACTCATAATTCAGATATGTGAAAGCTCAATATCAAAACAGCAGTATTCTTTTTATCTCAAGCATTCTTCTTTATTTCTGCTTTTCTTCATAGTAGATGACAAAATCTACAAAGAAACATTTATAGCCACACAGCAGAGCGTGAAGTTCAGTGAGAGCCCGGAGTCCTATAAAAACGCTGCAGACTTTTCCCTGGAGCCTGGGAATCTTGGGCTGCTCCAGAACCTGCCCAGGGCTCCTGAGCAGTGCTCTCACAGCCGCTCTGATGGTCTCAGTAGGAAATAAGAAGGGGCCAAACCCCTCTGAAACTTTTCAGAATGGCCTCCACCTCAGCAAAAATGTTTGAAGGGCATGTAGCCATAATCTGGCACTCTAGTGGAAAGATTGCCTGTAGTCTGCTGGGGTGAGCCACTGCACAGCCTGCTGTATGGCTATTAGGCTCAAAATTGTTTACCACTATGTCCCTGAAACCTAAGTTACAGTAAAAACCCAGTAAATCCTCCTTTCCTGCATCAGCAACACCAGACTAATTGTATACATCACAAGTAACCTGCACCTGCCTTGAAACTCTTCTCCACATTGAAGAACATGACAGTCTGAAATTAGGACCTCGCTGAAATGTTTCATCAGTCAGACCTAGTTTTGCTATAAAGAAGCTACCACCCACACTTATCTGAAATTTATTTATTCCTCCCCCAAATTGCTGGCTGGCCATATGTAATATAGTCATCACTTGCATGTAGAAGGTTTTCAGCACAATGGAGCTCACTTTTTTTTTTTTTTTGAGACAGAGCTTTGCTCTTATTACCCAGGCTGGGGTGTAACGGCGCGATCTCAGCTCACTGCAACCTCCACCTCCTGGGTTCAAGCAATTCTCCTGCCTCAGCCTCCCGAGTAGCTGGGACTACAGGCACGCACCACCACACCCAGCTAATTTATTTTGCATTTTTAGTAGAGACAGAGTTTCACCATGTTGACCAGGATGGTCTCCATCTCTTGATCTCGTGATCTACCCTCCTCGGCCTCCCAAAGTTCTGGGATTATAGGTGTGAACCACTGCGCCAGGCCTGGAGCTCACTTCTATGCATCATCTAAAGCAATATAAGCTAAATAGCCACAAGATTGCAGAATGTTAGAGGTGAGAAGCAATTCAGTTCAACTCCTTCATTTTAGAGATGAGGCAACTGAAGTCCAGAGAGTCAAAATAACTTAATAAAGTTCACACAGGTGAGTGAATGAATTCCATTTCTCCAGTAATTTTCTTTTTTGTACAAACTGCATTCCTGCCTACCTCCTTTCTCTTCTGTTTCTAGCCGTTGTCTCACTGTAACCGCAGTAGACTACAAAGGAGGTGACTTAACCTAGGCAGCTGGCTTTCTGCAAGCGGATTCTCACCGGAAAACTGGCACTTAGTGCTTTGGCAGAGAATGTGATAAAGCAGGAGCAGAAAAGAGTGCACCATCTGGACAGAAGGACTCTTAGTGCCAAGTGGGCCCCAGCCACATGGAAGGAGAAGGAAAAAGGAAGGGTGTCACCCAACTGCACACATTTATTTTCCCTTTGAGGGGATTTGTTAGTAACCATGCTATTCTGAGTGGAAGCTATTGTAGGTGGTTCTGATGGCTGACGAATGTGTAGGCAAGGAAGAAACAAGGTGAGTAGTAGCCAGGCAATTTGCAAACGATTATGAGCCAGAAATAGCCGGTGGTGTCTGATTACTACATATGAATGAAGGGATATGTCTTTGAAGGGTAAAAGTATGTGTGTGTTTTCCCCCACTTACTCTCCTCTCTCTTTTTAGGAAAGTAGTAAGCACAAGATTTTCCCTGACAGTACTTAGAAAAAAATCTTCTATTTAACACCACCCACTGACATTTCTCTGCTCTTGCTACATTTTAATCATACTAATATTTTCCTATGCTATGGTCACGTGTCCCACCTATGAATACCATACTTGTGTACACAGGGGTTTTCAACAATCAATTGGAGGCATCATGTTGCTTCAGAGGTTCTCCTCTTAATGATTCTAGCTTTCTTTGTACAAATTGCTATTGGCAATAATTTTCAAGTAAAATGCATCTTAATTATGATTTTCTGTTTTTGTTATGAAGATGGTTCTACTGAACTATACCACATTGGAGGAGTGAGTATTTTAAGTTATCTTCCCCAGTTTAACACCAGCCTGACCAACTTGTGAAACTCTACTAAAAATACAAAAAAAAAAAAAAAATTAGCGAGGCTTGGTGGTACCTGTAATCCCAGCTACTTGGGGCGGGGCTGAGGCAGGACAATCACTTGAACCCGGGAGGCAGAGGTTACAGTGAGCTGAGATCCCACCACTACACTTCAGCCTGGGCCACAGAGTGAGACTTTATCTCAAAAAAAAAAAGAATCATGCTAAATTTTCAATAATACATCCGCAATACAGCATCTCCATTGCTTGGCATTTTAGAGTTTAACAAAGCACAACACATATATTGTGATATACAGTTTTAACAATAGCAATCTGATGTTGGTATATTTTCCTACTTTACAGAGGTGCTCACAGGCTCACTCAACAGAACTCAGCCCCTGATGTGCTGTGGCATGTGGAACGAGCACTGACTCTAGATGCTGATTGAGGTGGATGTGGATCCTGACACCTACTATGGCCCAGAGCAAATCAGGGAATACCTCTAAGCTTCAGCGGTAGCAACTCCTGCCCGTAAGACTCACATGCTTTCAAATAAGATAAATGATGGGAAGATGCTTGGCACAGCGTGGGGGCACCTGTCCATTTCTCTTTCCTCTCTCAACTAAATCCAAGTCTCATGCTTTTCTATTACCCTAGGATGCCTTCTTATTCCTCTTTTTGGTCCTCCTATGACCAGTGAGACACACTCTAAGACAGCTGTAAGAGAATAGGATAAAAACTATGGTCAGAACACAGCCATGTGCATAGTAAATAAAAGGGGAAAATCTGTTCTTCAAAATTGAGCTAACTGACCTGATCAACACTGTCATGGATGTAAAAAATGGAGAGTACATATCAATCTTCAATGTATTGCAGTTGTTATCTCCCTAACTACATATGTACACTTTCCTTTAAAAAAATAACAGAGGGAGAGTAGAGGGCTTTTAGTCTTGTACGATAAGTCACCAGAATATTCCTTCTTCATGTTTTACAATGATTTAAATTCATATTTAGTAAAAAGTAGGCTACTCATAACAAAAATGCCAGTCTAATAAGCTTCTTCTGAAATGATTTTTATTTTATTTGTCTCTGCAGTAATATAAAATCTAATGACCAAGCGAAAAACAAATGCATCTGGTACAGCTGATCCATTCAAAGTCTGTTGAAGCTGGAATGACGACCTCCAGGCAAAATTCTCAGTACTCGGAGTATCATATCTGTTCACAGGGATCCAACCTCTGTGAAATAAAATTTGATGTCTTCCATAGGTAATTCTTTTGCAAGGAGAAGTCACTGCATCCTGCTGTTAGGAATCCATTTGTTATGTTGTATCTTTCTTTGAATACCACCAAGGTTTGCATGACCTCATAATTTCATTACTCTTCAGCACAGCCCAAGTATAATTCATAAACTGTAGGCAGAAAGAGTTCCTCCTCTTTCTGGGAGGTGGGAGAGGTTGCTTCTGCCCACCCCTAGTGTTTCCTTCCATACAGAGGGTGCTCTCCTAATGGGACACACCTGGCCTCTCCTCCTCTTCACTCCTTCCCTTCAAGGGAGAAAAATATCAATCCCATGGTTTTCATGGAGAAATTCTAAAAACATAGTCCAGCCCCACTACTCCCATTTTCTCCTCAAGAACTGCCATCTCACTCTGTAGCCTAGACTTTGGCAGCTCTAGACTACAGAGGCACAAGAGCTGGCATTAACCAGGTAACTGCAACATTTATCCAAAGGTTACCAAGAGCTTTAGAGCTGTAGTATTAGCAGTATCTAATTTTTGAAGGGGAAAAACGTACTCATTATTTAATTTATTTCCTTACATGTTTATTTCATTGAATAATGCCTACTATTTCAACATCAAAATATAAAGTCCTGGTAGGGAAAAGGCCACCAATTAGAACAATTTTTAAAACACATTCACAATATAGTTGCCCATATTAAATATAATTATATTTCACTCATCATTATATAGAGATAGATGGAAATTTTGTCTATTGGATTTCAATTTCTACAAATCATGAAGTGAGATTTTTTTATCTTCAATTCTAACTGCCCAGCTGATGTTAATTAAGTATAGAGTGAGAGCATTTAAAAATCAACTATAAGAAATATGGTAGCCGGGTGCAGTGGCTCACACCTGTAATCCCAGTACTTTGGGAGGACGAGGTGGGCAGATGATGAGCTCAGGAGTTTGAGACCAGCCTGGCCAACATGGTGAAACCCCGTCTCTACTAAAAATACAAAAATTAGCTGGGCATGGTGGTGCGTGCCTGCAATCCCAGCTACTCAGGAGGCTGAGGAAAGACAATGGCTTGAATCTGGGAGGCAGAGCTTACAGTGAGCCAAGATTGCACCACTGCACTCCAGCCTGGGCAACAGAGTGACACTCCATCTCAAAAAAAAAGTAAATAAATACATGGTTTATCAATAATCATTTATAAATTTTTGAATAAATATTAAGGATAAGCTTCCAAAGAAGTATTTACAAATGAAAGGAAGTGAGTCACTTTAGAAACTATTTTATCCCCTTCATGCCTAATAATACCCAAAATATCCCAGGCACATGGATATTATGAAATACATTACTTTAAGCCCAGCACATTAGGCAATGAAGAAATAGGCCAGAAGTGTTCTCGTATGTTTAGGCACTAGCTGTTTTTCTTGGGTGTCTGGTGGACATCTCCCTTCCTAGCCCTGGAAAATCACCCTCAATACAGATCATTTGATCAGCTTCTGCCAAGCCCCCTGCAGGACCTTGGAGGCTTTTCCCCACAAGGTCACTCTCCTTAACCTTTAACTGTCTTTTAGACACTATAAGAAACTTCATTTACCTTTCCAAATCTCCACGAATTTCACTTTAGGGTCTCATCTAATTTCCTCCATTTATGCAGAAAATGTGGAACTTTACTATAGTTTAAAGAAAGGGAAAACAATGCCTCCCTTATTCTTTTGGAGTATGTAGTTATGAAGTGTTGTACAGGTGTAAAGAACATAAATGGTTGACTAGCATACATCTCAACACTCTGCAAAGAAATCGATTAAGGAAAATGGCATTAATTCAGACCTTGCTTTGTCAGAAATGTAACAGGGTTTATATCCTAACTTTACTTTATGCTACCTTTTTACACACATACTTTCCATATATTGACAGCAGAACACAGTGGCTCAAGCCTATAATCCCTACACTTTGAGAGGCTGAAGCAGCAGGATCATTGCCAGGAGTTCAAAACTGACCTAGTCAACATAGTGAGACCATGTCTCTACCCCCCAAAAAAAAAAAAAATATCCAGGAGTAATAGTGCTGCCATAGTCCCAGCTACTCAGGAAGCTGAAGTGGAGGGGAGGTTGAGGCTGCAGTGGGCTGTGATGACACCACTGCACTCCAGCCTGGGCAACAGAGTGAGACTCTGTCTCAAAATAAACAAATTAAACAAAATATATTGAAAGGTTAGATAAGACTATTTTCCTAAAGCAACTGGAAAAGCAAGTGCTTTAAGTTTCATTAAGAGACCACATAATTTTGTCTACTTTTACTTGGTGCGTGTTTTAAGCTATTGTATTCTATGTGTTATATTATGCCTCTAATCTTGTCTTCCTGTCTACTTATATAGATAGGTTATATCTTCTATTTTATTTCAGAATAAAAACGTGATTATTACAAAACTTTTGCTATGAAATGGGGCATGGAGACTGAGAAAGTTGAGACTCACTACCCTATAGGAGTGGACCCATGATCCCTCCCTCTGCTTTCATCTCCCCCAACTCTCCTCACTCACTCCAGCCCCCAACCTGACCTTCTTCCTCCTCTGATACACATACCTGCACATACACATTTGCCTGAAATATCCCTCCCCAGTTATCCATCTGGTCCACTTCCTTTGTCTGTGTTTAAGATTGTCTTAGTCTATTTTCATACCGCTATGAAGAAATGCCTGAGATTGGGTAATTTATAAACAAAAAGTGATTTAATGAACTCACAGTTCCACATGGCTGGGGAGGCCTCACAATCATGGCAGAAGGCAAAGGAGTAAAAAAAAGCACACCTTACACGGTGGCAGGCAAGACAGTGTGCAGCAGAACTGCCCTTTATAAAACCGTCAGATTTCATGAGACTTATTCACTATCCCGAGAACAGCATGTGATAGGGAAAAACCTGGCCCCATGATTCAATTATCTCCCACCAGGTCCCTCCCATGACACCTGGGGATGATGGGAGCTACAATTCAGGATTAGATTTGGATGGGGACACAGCCAAACTATATCTCTGCTCAAAGGTCACCTTATCGGAAAAGCACTAGCTGATCATTTTTAGAAAAGAGTTCTCCCCACAGACCAGCATGACATTGACTATCCTCACACTTTAATCTCTTACTCTACCTGTTATGAACTGAATATACTAATATGCGTTTCCCCAAAATTCATATGCTGAAACCCTAACCTCCAGTGTGCCCATATTTGAATAAATGACCTTATAAGCAGAAACACTAGAGAGTTTTCTCTCTCTCTGTCTCTCTGGAAGCACACAAAGAAATGTTTCTCCGAAAATGCAGAGAAAAAGAAGCCACCTGCAAGCCAAAAGAATAAACCTTAGAATAAAACCTACCACGAGAGCACCCTGATCTTGGAACTCTTAGCCTCCAGAACAGGGATAAATAAATTTGTTGTTTAAGCCACTCTATTTATGATATTTTGTTATAGCAGTTCAAGAAGACTAATATGCTACCCTACCTTCATAATTGCAATAAAGAAAAATATACCTGAAAATATTTTAATAAAATATACCTTAATTGCTCATCATGACCCTACGCAGACTGCCTCCAACTTACTATGGCTTAAGATATATTTGACATTACAGTGGGGTAAAAGCCACACACATTCAGTAGAAACTGTATGTCAAGTACTGAGCCAGCCATTGTTTTTCACTTTCAGTAGAGTATTCAATAAATCACATGAGATATTCAATATTTTATAATAACATAGTTTTTGTGTTAGATGATTTTGCCCAACTGTAGGTCAAGGTAAGTGTGAAATGCATTTGTTACTTACGTTTCAACTTACAATGGGTTTACCGGGACACTGTCCCATCTTAAGTTGAGGGGCATCTGGTACATTTCTGCTCTTGGTGTCTTTCCCAACTAGAAAGGAGGGCAAGTGAGAGCAAGGACTTTGTCCTGTGCATCACTGAATCCACAGCATACAGACCAGTGCCTGACACAACGTAAGTACTAAACCGACATTTGCTAAACAAATAAATGTTAGGTAAATGAATTTTAAAGTCATATTAAGCCTGATGTTTTCTGTTATTTGGGTATCTTGTCTGAAATGGCAAGATTTCTCTGAAGCAAGATCAGAGAAAACATATTTTGTGCACTTCCTAGTTTGTAGTCATGAGACACAGCAAAAACACAAAACCTACGTCTCTAGTGTCCAAAATAGAGCATACCATCACCACCTGTGATATTGAAGTGAGAAATAAACAAAGAAAAAAGAAAAGAGCAAAAGGGAAGCATGAAGGCTTCATAAGCAAACAGAGATGCCATTCTACTCTAAAATTATTTTGATAATGTATATAATGTACAGGTTGGCAGGAGAAATTAGAACACAAAAATGCACCATTGCTTGTTATTTTGGAGGGAAGGACAGTTGCATCTGCTCTTATAATTATCAAATGTGTTCTTCTTGTACTGCAAGGATCCAGCTAGAGACTGGGGGCTGGCAGTTCTATTGATAGACTTGAGCACACACTGCAGTCTGTCAAGTCTCACATTTACATCTTAGGATCTAATCTGTTTTTCTTTCCTTCATGAAATCAATTCTGTAGCAATTAAATAACCAGCCCACAAGGCATTTTAATATCCCAAGCATTTATCTATACATAGCCCAGAAAGGAAAAGGTAATTAGAAGTGACCTACTATCACCGGTGCTGGGGGAGACATTAGAAAAATCGGTGTTTCATCATTACATCAAGGAGGTACCTCTAAATCTACTTCATTTATGATTCAATCCTCCTCTTTGACATGCTACTGAGTCTTTTTATTTGATTCCTAGAGGATACAGACTTTTAAATGGTTGTCATTATGTGGGATTTTGTTTCATTTTCTGTGAATTTCAGGAACCACTGAAATAGATGCTGTTTTTAGCTGTGGGACGGTATCATCACATCCACACAGCACTGGTTCAAGTAGGTTTTTAAAGATGTGAAAGAAAATGACTTTCCATGTCCTCATCCATTTGAGTGTTTTAGGCTGAGTCCTTAGTAGGTTAGAATCTCTTGAGGAGTGATTTATGAAAAAAAACACAAGGAATTTCCATAAGATCCAAGCAAATTTTATTGATCTTTTTGAAAACTGAGTTTCCAATTTCAGATCAATAGCCTGAACATATAAGTAAGTTATGGCAGAGTCTAATGAGCATAGAATTCACCTTTGAAAGACCAACTCCAATTCCTGGTACTGCCTCTTCTAGCTACAAGTAAAACCCCTGCACCTAGATTTCCTCATTTACATAATGGTAATAAAATACCCTTGGCGGTTATTAGATGCACATTTCTTTCCACATTAGCAACTGAAATTGAGGTGCATTTCACCATGCATGGTTGCTTTTAATCCCCACATCAGTATTTGGGATCAAGCTGCTGCTTAGGGCTGTCCTGCTATTCCAGAAGTATAAAGTAAGGAACTGCTAAGGTGAGAACCTGGTAATGTCTCTGTCACCACCACCACAATTCTTCCTAGCTATATTCACAGTCTCTCTGCTTCAAGCCATCTCTCTGCTGAACCTGGGTGTGGAAGCCTCCAGACCGAGAACTCAGGAATTTAATGTGGTATATAGCAACAGGGTAAATTTCCTTGATCTACTACCTAGTTCTTTTAGCTATTTGCTATAATAATGCACCTATTACAGGCACTTCAAGTCATAAGTCATGCAGAGAATAATTAGGGAACTCAGCTGTGGCTGAGGGGAAGATTCAAAGCACATTTATGAGAGACATAAAATAAATTTTATAAGTGACTCAGAGTATTTTGTCATGGTTAAGTAGAATTTATTTTTTGCTTTCATAGTGGTACATTTTAAAAGGTACATTTATAAGCTATGGCATGTACGATTCATGAAAGAGTACCTGCGGCAAGGTCAGATGAGACCATGTGGGTAAAATGGTTCATAAATGACCAAAGTCAATACAAATGAAAAATATGATAATAATACTCTGAATCAGTTGAAGATAAGGAAAACCAATCCATACATGCATTTTATTGTTTGTAAATTATGCCTCAATAAAAAATAATAATAAGCCAGGCATGGTAGCACATGCTGATAGTCTCAACTACTTAGGAGCCTGAGGCAGGAGGATCGCCTGAGGCCAAGAGTTTGAGACCAGCCTGGACAACACAGCAAAACTCTAACTCTAAAAATATTCAATAAATAAAAAATAATAGAGATAATCCAGCATATTCAGAACACCCCAAAATGGAATTGTACTTTGCATCCCCTAAGGAAATACACAAAAAAAATTAGAGAAATTCTGTGTAGAATTTAAAGTTCATCTTTCTATAATAGTATATAAATAAGAGTACTAGAGCATGTTTATGAGTTTCCATATATAATAACCTATGTATATTAGAAACATTCACTATGGTAACCATAAAAAGTGGTAGAGGACTACACTGGATATGAGTTTGGTAAACATGGTCACCTGGTGCCATGTGGTCCAGGGCATCACAAGAGGTTTCAAACTCACTAGAATCAACTTAGAGACAAATAAATCCATATAGCCTAGCAACAAACTGCCAAGGCACTCTGAACACCAAGCTTCACCACAGGCATCCACTCCAGAATTTAAATGTGTTATTCACTCAACAGACATCTACTGAGACCCTATTCAATGAAAGCAGAATGTGAGAACCTCTGCTTTCATTCATTGTTACAGCTCAAGGTATTCACTGTTATAGTTCAAGGACATTACTTTGCCTTTTACAATACCAAGATTGAGAGTTCCACACTCTAGGAAAAAGCAAGTGCTTTCCAATGAAGTGTGTAATAACGTGTTCACCCAAAGATAGTGTGGACTGATTCCTTAATGATCTCTCTTAGTACCAACAGAAAAATATCCCAATATGGTGCATTCTATTAAATAACTCCTTAGGTGTTTCAAGTAGCTAAGTGACAAGTCATGGTCATTAGTGCCTGTGTACCTTTACAACTACCATTACTTTTATCTTTTGTATAACTTCTTAACTCTTGTTCTTGTAAGTTTCTACTAAATGACCCATTGCCACTGGGAAGCATTCCGTGAACTTCCTAGAGTTAACAACTTCTCCGTCTATACTAATACAGTGTCCAGTTCCCTTTCCTTGTGGGTTACGTTGGTTGGAGAAAGTGCTGGGGACTGAAGATGCCAGAGAGGTCACCACCCCATGGCTTCCACTGCCACCACTTTAAAATATTCAAAATAGAGCAGGGCCTTGTGTCACTCTGCCTCATATGAAAGTTCAGTTCTCTTCTGATTGGTGCACTCTCTGCAAAAACCCTTCATTGCCTACTAACCATCATACACAATATCCAAACTCTAGAGCACGAGTTAGTAAACTAAGGCCCATTGGCCAAATCTAGCCCATGACCTGTTTGTGTAAGGTGTGCAGCTAGGATGTTCTTCCCATTTTAAAGGATGGAGAAAATAAGATGAATCAGATGGAACAGAAATTATATATGGCCCACAAAGCCACACTTAAAAGAAGATATCTACTGGCAGGGCTTGGTGGCTCATGTCTGTAATCTCAGCACTTTGGGGGGCCAAGGCAGGTGGATCATGAGGTCATGAGGTCGAGATGGAGACCATCCTGGCTAATATGGTAAAAACCTGCCTTTATTAAAAATACAGAAATTAGCTAGGCATGGTGGTGCGTACCTATAGTCCCAGCTACTTGGGAGGCTGAGGCAGGAGAATCACTTGAACCTGGGAGGCGAAGGTTGTAATGAGCCAAGATCATGCCACTGATAGACTGTCTCAAAAAAAGTTTAAAAAAAAAAAAAACAACCAGGAAACATTTGCTGACCCCCTAATTTAGAGAGTGGCATCAGAGACTTCTTGATTCATTTCCCCAGTGCCTTTCTGGCCTCATTTGCAGAATCCAGTGTCTAGCCATAGACAACTCCCTGAGGTTACCCAAAAACGTGTCTTGATTTTAATACAGCCATAGCTTTTCACCTGCTGTTCTTTTGCCTACCATAATATAATCAAATTCTTATTTTAGAAGATTAATTCTAGTAACCGTTTCAAAGGTGAATTTTTGATGGTAGTAGAGGTAAGGGATGCAGGATTCTGGAAGAAGGCCACAGCAATGGATCAGAAGAAAGATGACAAAAGTCTGAAAAAGTACAGGGGAGGATGTAAAATTAGTAGATATAAAACATATAGTAAGGAAATGGATATAGAAAAAATAGTAAAGATATGGAACATATTTGTTAGTTAAAGAGACCAAGAAGGAGTCTAGGAAGCCAACAGAGCTCGAAATGTAGTAAGAGGAGGATGCTATTTCCATTCACACACACACACACACACACACACACACACACACACACACACACACACACACACAAAAGCAGTTCTGGGAAGAAGATAATGGGTTCAATCTCCTAGCTGTTGCATTTTCGGTTTCTGTGTGAAATGTCCATGAGTAAGAATCTCGCAGGCAGCTAGAAAGAATATGATGAAATTGAGGTGAGTGGTCTAAGTGGGTGCCACAGTTCTGCATGTTGGAGTTGGCCCTGTGAGAGCTTATGATATCCTCGTCAAAGCCGGGACCCACGGAACGCTATCATGCATGGAGCAGGAGAAGTAAAACTTGCCAGCAAAGAAGACAGAAGAACTGGTCAAAGAAACAAATAACCAGGACACAACGGTGTTGTGGAAGCCATGAGAAAACAGTGCTTCAGGATGCAAGTGCTACAGAATCATCAAGACCAATAGAGACTGAAGAGTATCCATGGTACTGGCGACTGGATGATATCACTCTCCTCCCGGGTTTTGGAAAATAGGGGAGTGCAAAGAACAAACATAGGCTTGTCGGAAAGCTATAGTACTGTTGTTTGAAAGGCTTTAGATTCAGACAAATCCGGCTTTAAATCCTGGTTCAGTTATTTTTCTGTGAGATGTAATTAACCTTTCTAGATGACAGCTTCTCCATGTGTAAAATAGAAACTACGCTAATTACAAACTACAACTATTACAACAAATAACTATCAAATAAAATGACAGATGTTAAAATGCAAGCAGTTTACAATTGATTATTACGTAGCCAATACGTAATAATCAACGTAAATTATTTGCATTACCAAAAGCCAGTATGTAATAATCAATGCAAATTATTTGTATTACTAAAGCTGTGGCTTTGCAAGAAGATAGATTAGATTATGGCCATGGGGGCACAAGCTCAAAAGAATAACACTGGTTTTCATTTTGACAAACGAGCTTGTTTACAGATTCTAAACATGGTTTGTATAAATAGAGGTTATAATTGATCACTCATAGTTTGGGAGTGTCTAGAAAAGGATGAAATCAAGAGCAGAGGTGGCAGAATCGACCTTTAAAGAATTCAGTTTCTCAATGTGTATGAGAGAGAGAAAGAGAGATGAGTTGGAAGCAGAGTTGAAAACAAAAAAGAAACAATGGAAGGTGAGGGAGTTCTCTCCTGGTTATTAAAATTATATAGAAAGCCAGCTTCTATGTAAAGCTTCTCAGAGGACCAATCTATATGAGGTATTAGCATGTTACTAGAGAAAATTAGTTTTCTCACAGAGAAACTGCAGTATTCTACATGGTAGGGAGGCAAATACAATTGTTTCTTGAGGTGGAGAAAAGTGAGACACTCTTCTCTCTGCCAAGAAGGCCCATAGTTCCCCCAGTGCATTTCTGACCTCATCTGCAGAACCCAATACCCAGCTGTAGACAACTACTTGGAAGTTACCCAAAACGTGTTTTGATTTTAATACACCCACAGCTTCAAACACGCCATTTCTTTTGCCTACCATAATATGATCAAATTCTTATTTTAGAAAATTAACTCAGGTAACTACTTCAAAGATGAGTTTTTCATGGTTGGTACAGGTAAGAGTCATTAGTAGAGTAATAACAAAAAAAGATTGCTAAACTTCTTTGTACAAGGGGAGGGGAGGCTCTGCTGATTTGCAGAACTGCTCCTTTGCAGAATGTAGTGTGCAAGTGTGGGGCCATAGCTGGATTTCTTAAAATAATGGAGGCAAGGTTCAACAGTACCTCCTTCCCCTTTAATAATTATCTAAGCCAGCAGTCCCCAACCTTTTTGGCACCAGGGACCTGTTTCATGGAAGACAACTTCTCATGGACTGGGTAGGGGAATAGTTTTGGGATGAAACTGTTCCACCTGAGATCATTAGGTATTAGATTCTCATCAGAATTGTGTAACCTCAATCCCTCCTATGTGCAGTTCACAATAGGGTTCATGATGCTTTGGGAATCTAATGCCACAGCTGATCTGACAGGAGGTGGAGCTCAGGCAGTTATGTTTACTCATCCCCCACTTACCACCCGTTGTGTGGCCTGGTTCCTAACAGGCCACAGACCAGTACCACTCTATGGTTTAGGGGCTGGGGACTCCCGATCTAAACACACTGATCTGAAAGGATCCGAGCTACCAGACTGCCTGGGGTCCTCAAACCTTGGCCACCATTAGAAATGAAAATGATCTGGTGAGGATGCTGGTGATGGGGAGTGGGTCAGGATATTTCAAGAGAGTGGAGGGGATGATGACGGATTCTGTGAGAAATCTGAAACTAACAGGTATTGAAGATAGAAACTGTGTAAGGGGCTTATAAATGAGAAAAGAGGAAAAACAATCAAGTGACTAGAACACTCTGCAAGGTCATTTATACTTCCCTCGCTTTTCCCTTAATTTATTCCCTTTTGCCAATTCCTTCTGCTGATTACTTTGAAACTCTGACATTTTCAATTCCTTCTTTATTTCTCCTCTCCCCAGCCCCACATCACCCTTGAACTTTATTTTACCGATTCTATATTCTTTGGGTATCACTGCTTTGCCAAGCTCCACAGGTAAATAGGACTTACTAGATCTTATTTCTAGGGTATTACACTTCTCAAAGTGGTGGGGAAGAAAAGAGAGGATACATAAATTCCAGTTTACATGAAAATAAAATGGAATCTGAAGTACTCAACTATGCTTCCCTTTTTACACATACATAATTTTTTCATATTTTGCTTTACAGAACTATAGTCAGTGCCTCGAATAGACTTTCCCTTATCATAACCTCTTTAGTCCATGCAGTATAAGAAGAATCAAACTGTTTTAAATACGTATATTCAAGCCAGAGAATTAACTTCAAAATAAAGTATTTCCCAGGAATAATTACTGCTGTAGTTAATGACCTGTAGCATAGTTTCATCCATCAACTCCTCCAGCTGGTTAATACTCCCTTTTAGGAAATGCCCCAGTGTCTCAAGCATTACTGACAAATTAATTGAGCTTTCCTGCACAGGTATGTATTTTTGTGGCATCACATCTCAAGCAGGTATATTTAGTGGTCCACTGACCAAATGCTGTTGTCCAGTTTCAGATTCTTCTAGACTGATATTCTATGATTGTCTAGTTTACATTCAGGAAAGTACCAAAATAAAAATGAAATCAGAATATATACTAATGTGAAACTTCCCATATAATATATGCTTTTTTATTCCCTAAGAGGACTACCTGCTAGCTCTGTGATACTAAGCAAGTTACTTAACCTTTTTTAAGCTTCATCTCCTCATCTCTAAAATGGGAATAATAATAGCAGCTGCTACCATAGGAATCTTGTAAGAATCAAGAGATAATGCAGTGTAAACATATAGGATAATGCATGATATCAGTATTTATGAGATGGTCATTTTTATTTGCTACATTCAGTGCTACAAAAGCAGGGGGTAGATAGAATGAGCATAGAATATTTTGCACCACTTACAAGCTCACCTCAATCTCAATATTTTTGGCTCTTTTTCCTAAAACAAATCCTAAAGAGAAGTATACAGTACTCATGGTTTCTCTAAACTAAGTGGGAATACAAAAAAGGAAGAAAAGAAAATCATGATAGATTTCTTTTCTCGGTCACTCTTTGAATGTGAAAACACTTAGCCACCAAACTCTTGCTCTTTTTTTATTGATACCTCCACCAAACTCTGGATCTTTTTTTCATCAATAGCCATCAAGTATAAGTAGTGACAGGAGGGAGACAAATGCCTACACAGATAGGGGCAGGTTCCTAGAGAAACCCCACCTCCAAGCTGAAGACAGTTTAAAGCCTGAAAGCCAAGCTACAAGTCAAATCCATGGACCAGATTAAAAAATTGTCTTCCTGTCTGGTACACTTTCCTCTGATTGATCTTCACCCTTCACCTATTTTACATATATCTACCCTTTCCTCACTGGTTTTCTACACTGCTATACCCACCTTTGACTGATGCCTTTGCTTTAGCCTTTCTTTGCAAACTCACAAGCCAATCAGCACACACTCTCCATTCTGAGTCCATAAAAAGCCCTGGACCCAGGCGTACAGAGAGAAAAACCACCTCTGCATCCCCTCTTTGCTGAGAGGTATTCTATTGCTCAATAAAATTCTTCTCCACTCATTCTCACACATCTAATTGTCAGCATAACCTCAGTCTTCTTGGATGTGGGACAAGAGCTCAGGAACTACCAAACATGGATACACTATAACACAGGTGGGCCAAGTGGGTGGGGTGCCTCCAGTGGCAGGTCCAGGGCCAAGTGAGGCCCAAGCAGGCACACATTGCCAGCCAGGAAGGTCCAATGGCTGAGAAATACCTTGCATCATTTCAGCCATTGAAAATCATAAGTTACCCAAATAAGAAGGCAAGAGGTCAAGGTTCTGAAGTGCTTTCAAACACCAATTTGTGCACTTGAACCAAAGCATGAAAATTGCCTGGTAAATTTGGGCTTCAGGGCTAACAGGAGGCATAGCAGCTGCTGACTGAGAGCCTCTATGCCAGCTGAGGGCAGGCTTTTACCCATGGATGCCACAAAAGCAATCATTGCCCCATAGGGACTGCAGCCTTGGGAATGGCAGTGACCTTCAGAGGAGGGGCATTATCATCTCTGCAGAAGCTCCCTGTGTCCCTTTCCTTCCTGTCTTCTCACTTACTTTGCCTCCTGAAATCTGGTAGAACAAATAATAGCCTAGAGACTGAAAAGTAAGATTCAAGCATCCTTCATCTAATGTGATCTGTTGTGCAAACCATTATACGTCAATGGCTTGAGCTTTTTTTTCTTTAATTTTCAAAAACTTATTACATCCTCTAATAGGGTTCTTTTGTGGATAAAATGATTCAGTGCTTTAAAGTACAAGATCTTTGCTGCTAATAAATGCCCGCAGGAGTCACATAAGTATGGTAATTTATAAATGTGAAAATGTAAAAGTAACAGACTTCTGATTGAACCACAAGGTTGTTCTACACCATAAGAACAAAAATATATAGCTTTCAATTGTTATAAGTAAAATCACAATAATTTACCTGTATTAGTCCATTTCCACATTGCTAATGAAGGCATACCTGACACTCAGTAATTTACAAAAAAGAGGTTCAATTGATTCACAGTTCTGCAGGGATGAGGAGGCCTCAGAAAACTTACAATCATGGCACAAGGAGAAGCAAACATGTTCTTCTTCACATGGAAGAAGTGCCAAGCAAAGGGGGAAAAGTCTCTCATAAAACCATCAGGTCTCCGGAGAATTCTCTCACTATAATGAGAACAGCATAGGGGAAACCGCCTCCATGACTCAATTATCTCCCACAGAGTCCCTCCCATGACATGAGGGGATTATAGGAACTACAATTCAAGATGAGATCTGAGTGGAGACATAGCCAAAACATATCATTACCCTTAGGTTGTAATTTCAGTATTTTAAGCCAATTCATTAAAGGAAGACATAAGATGAACTTTTTATGCATTAATAATTTAAAAAGTGGCATTATTGTTTTCATTGAAATGTTTGAATATAGTTCTTCATTTAAAATTTACTCCATATCTATATATCAGATAGGGTCTTAGAAGAATTAATCTAATAGCAAGAGCCTTGATTCCCATTTAAATTTCTATGTGGAACTCCTGATGATTTGAAAGAAAGTGAGATCCAAAATAAGGTTTGGTCCTTCTAATGGTAGCAGAGTTATGCAGCATAAAATTTCAAAAAGGGAAACACATGTAATTTACTATTACAAATAATTGGAAAATCAGCATCTAACTTACTTGCTTTAAAAAGAAAGAAGACCTTGGGAAGTTGCGCTTTTATGAAGTTTCCTGCATTGCTTATCAAAATGATTTCATAGTTAGCCTTGCCATGCTAAACATGGCCTTCACTGAGAAATACCAGCCCAGAAACAAACTCATTTCCGATAAAGCTGATGCAGCTGTTTGATGCACAGAATAACTCACAAGGATCCCAGAAGCAGGAGTATTGTTTGTGCACTATGCTGGCAGAAAGGAACTTTTCATTTAGAAGCTCAGAGCACATAATGAGATTTGCCAGAAAGCAATGGTGGCCACAGTAACCGTCAAGATAAATGCAAGGGGTTATGGATTACGATTTGTATTTAGCCGGGCCAACAACCCATGCAAGAGGCCCACAAAACCACACTGGTTGTATATAAGCATTTCCATAATGAATCCATTGAACTCAGCCTTCCCCATCATTAGATATAATGGGAAATAATGGACCAAAAATTTTTGCATGTGAGCAAGTGGTTTGCTTCTCTATCATTAAGGGGGAAAAAAAAAATCTCACGCCTGTAAACCCAGCACTTTGGGAGGCCGAGGTGGGTAAATCACATGAGGTCAGGAGTTCAAGACCAGCCTGACCAACATGGAGAAACCCCATCTCTACTAAAAATACCAAATTAGCCAGGCATGGTGGCACATGCCTGTAATCCCAGCAACTCAGGAGGCTGAAGCAGGAGAATCCCTTGAACCCAGGAGGCATAGGTTGCAGTGAGCCAAGATCGCACTATTGCACTTCAGCCTGGGGAACATGAGAGAAACTCCATCTCAAAAAAAAAAAAAAAGAGGAAAAAAAAAGAAAAAAAAATTGTATTTATTATTCCAACAGTGGTTTTATTCAACTGGCAAAAGTCTTCTTTTTTGCTTCTTTTCTTAAACAAACATATGCACATGAATGGTATTAGAGGGATATGTGGTCTGATTTCCAACAGAGTCCTGGAAATATGTCATGATTGTTCCTGATTTTAGTCACACTGACCAACCTGCTTGGATGACCACACTGTGTCCTCAGGGCCTGGAATTTGGTATCTTTAACCAAATTTCAAACAAATTATTGGGCTCTATTTCCCTAGATAGTGGCATGTTTTGTGGAGAATTTATATTCAAGACTTAGATGAAGAAACAGGAATCTCTCTAAAAAAGTGACTCTTTTCTCTTTATATCAGGATGGCACAATTAAAAGGAGGTCACCAGAGCTCCCTTTCTCGGCCTGTACACAGAACTGTACAGAACCTTTGTGGACAACACTGCTTACTCCTAACCTGTGCCAGGAAGGCCCTGAAACAAAGAGCTGGAAGCTTTCTCAAAGGAAGACTTCTGACTGGCAGAAAGCATGCTGGCAGAGTTGAAGGGCAGAAGCTGCATCTCATCTGCCCTCAAAAGAAATGATTTATTTAAGGGAGACACCCACTAACTCCCTCCCCAGCAAAGTAAGAAGTGAACCAGAACTGCAAAAATGTAAAAAGAGACACAAAGCACATTGTTTGGAAGACATTTGAAGACATTAACCTTTACAAGAAGGAAAAAAAAAAAAAGAAAGAAAGAAAAGAAACGGGAAGAAAGAAAAAGCTTCCTTTACAGGGCTAGAAAATTGTTATAGAAGTGTACCTTGGACAATCAGTCACTGTGAGAAGAAAGTCTCCTTTCTCAAATCAGCTTAAAAATCACCTCTCTGGAGCCAATTTATACTCCATCTTTACCATGACAGAGACCACAATTTTGATTCTGGCTGTGAAAATTTTTCTTAAACCTAATGCAGAGGATGGAAATGGGCACAACAGTAAGAGTTTTATACTAATTAAGACTTTAGACAAAAATTCCTGGCCCATGCAAGGGAAGAAAGTTCTAATTGGCCAATTATTTTGAGAACTCTTCTAAAGTAAAAAGAGAGGAAGAGGGAAAAAAGGGAGAGAGGGCGTGCAATCAACTCAAAAGCAATATTCTGAAATCCTTGGAATAAATATTAGGAAGAAAAAAATATAAAAAGAAATAAAAACAAAAGTAAAAGTAATTTTAATTCAAAAACTTTACACCAAAGAGTCATATTCAACCATCACCTTCATTCATCTTAGTACCTTTCTCACCTGGAGTTCCTCAGTGAATTAAGCCCTCATATTCTAGCGCATCCATTGCATGCTAATTAAGTTATCTGCTTGGCATCTAGAATACTCAGGTATGCAGCACCCTTGGAAGAACCAAGAAAGAGTGACTTAATATTCTACTTTTGTAAAATGAGAAACTCAATCTAAATCTTCAATATAAATAAATTCTTAGAACGAATTCCTCAAAACATATTCTTTCTCCCTCTCCCTCTCCTCTACCACCCGTGTGTGCGTGCGCACGCGCATGCGTGTCTGTCCGACACACACGTACACACACGCACACACGCACACACGCACACACACACACACACACACCTGGAGCCTAAATAAAGTACACTCTTTCAGTTCAAGGTGTTGGAATTCTGTCTCCACCTATTCTTACTCTTCTTTATAGGCTCAGAAACCTCTCCTGACCTCTCTAGGCCGTTTTATGTGCTCTCAGGGCTCCCCATCTCCAATGGCACCGTTTGCTCACTATTTTTTTGACTCATCATTGCAGTTTAACTAACTTGGACTGTTCCTTTTCCCCTTTCACTGAGTTCAAGAAAAGCACCTTAGTATTTTCAAATTCCCAATGCCTAATTTAGTTTCTAAAATAAGAGGCGTTCTATAAGTGCCGACTGATAGATTTAAAACAATTTTATTTGTATTTTATTTGTATTTTATAGGTAAATATCTTTATTATCTATCAAAATGGCTATCAAACTCTATTCCACACAATGTTGAGATCCCTTAAAGAATCTATTGTCATCTTCTACACATATTTGTTCAATAAATATTGAATGAACAGATGAATGAATGAAGGAGGAGATATGAAAAATAGCTTAATTGATCCTAGGTGTTTAAAATCTTTTTCTGAAAGAATCTGAGAATATAATAAACAAAGAAGCAGTTTTGCTTCATTTTTCACAGTTTAATTCCTTTGTGGTTTTTCATTACAAACTTGCAATTTATAATTCCCTATAATATTTTTGTCTAATAAGACTGTAAGCTTATTCAGAGCTTGGAGCATGTCATAGATCTAATATCCTCAGAGTTCCAAACATAACCCTTACAACAGAGCAGGTGCTTAAGAAATTAAGGCAGAATTACATTGAAATAAATATTAATTCACTTTTAAAATGACATTGAATAGGTTTTGCATATAAAGAGTATTTTGCATAAATTATGCCTTCAAATCATACTTGCCATTTTGGCCATTACAAATCATGCCACATCTAGAAAGTACAGGTACCAGAATTATGAAATTTTTTTATTGTTTCCAATGCATCATATTGTTTAAAATTCTTTCGTTAAACTTTTTAAATAAAGGAGACAAAACTGACTGGAAAAGTAATAAAACTGTAAGGAAGGTAAAATGGCTTTTAATGAGCAACACTTCAAATGTCAGGTTAGGAAATTTTGTTTTAATTGGAAGCAGGGGAGAAATTTTTAAAAGGCTTTTAAATAAGGTTTTGCACAAAATATGTGCTTACATTCAGAAGAACCAGGAAAGTTCATTTGGCACCAGCATTTTACCTAAAATCCATAAAAACGTAGGTTGCCTCTACAGAAATCATAGCACATTTTACTTGTGGGGAACACAGATCCAGCGACACCAAACCGTTGACTAGCCAGCCAACCTTGGGGAGGTACTTCATCTCTGGTGCCTCTATAGTTTCCTTATTTCTAAAATGGGGGACAATAAAGCCTGCCTGCTAGAATTATTGTGAAAATTAACTGGGATAATAGGTTTTAACACACTGAGAAATGATTAGCACATAATATGTGCATGTAGATGTTAGTAATCAATATCATCAAAGGGACATGATATCTAAACATTACTTTTATATCTAACAGAGGATTAATACAGAGGAAAAGAGGATTTTATCATAGGAGTTTCACTGTTATTTTCCCCCAAATGTTGATTTCTCACTTCCTGTCCTTTGAAAGGCTGTGTTATCTATGAACCTTGAAAACTTGAGATTAAACATTGGAATGAAAGATTTTATTTCATAAACCCCACCAAAAAATTATTCATAAGCATTTATAAAGAAGAAAATTATAGGAAAGCAAAACACAACCAAAATCAAAATAGAAGATCTGCTTAGGGTAGAACCAGAAAAAACATCCATGAAGGTCCACCTCTCCTCCCCAGAGCCCTCCCTGCTGCACTCTGATGCTGACCTCAGCATCCAGGCACAGAGCATCCATCTGGAAGCCCACACTTCACAGCCCAGCACTGAGACCAGATGGCACAGCACGAAGGCTCCATTCCTGAGTGCAAAGAATTTTGTAAGTCAGACAATGAAATCTTCTGAGGAAGGACAGCTCCCTACAGAATTCCACACACCCAAGTCTCTGACCCACAGGTCAAAGAAAGTCTCTACAAAACTGCTCTCTTGGTACATGTACTGCACATTTGGTCTCATTCCCAGAACACCCTGGAGAAGCACTGGGCATACAGTTTCTGTAGTAAGAGAAGTTAGCCAAGAAATGGGGAGTAAATATAGAAAGGTTACAGCATGATATCTTACCAGATACTGGAAAGCTCTAGACAAAGGGATTCTTTCATTAAGAAACTATTTTCTGAGAGTTTATGTTTGATGCACAGCATATCCTAGGTAGCATGCAGAGGTGGACAGGCAACCTCTGCCATTGTGGCCCTTAGATTCCAGATGAGGGAAGAAACTAGGCTAATAAGTAAACGCATAATATAGCATCTTAGCACATGGCGGTTGGTTGTGTCATTCTGAAGATTAAGGGAAGACATAATGTGAGAATAATCAGTGTAGCCCCAGCAGTCAGGGTTTACAGCTGAGACCACCTAGTAAGTTGATACAAACACAGCAAAGAAAGGGTGCCAGTGAGCAAGGAGGGAAATCAGCAGAGTATGTGTCTCAAAGGCGAGCAAGTAGCTTTTTGACTAGGGAGAGTCCTATTGATATGGTTTGGCTGTGTCCCCACCCAAAAATCTCATCTTGAATTATAATCCCCATGATCCCCACGTGTCAAAGGCAGGACCAGAGGGAGGTAATCTGATCATGGGGTTGGGTTCCCCCATGCTATTCTTGTGATAGTGAGTCTCACAAGATCTGATGATTTTATCAGCATCAGGCATCTCCCCTGATTGCACTCATGCTCTCTCCTGCCACCCTGTGAAGAGGTGACTTCTGCCATTATTGTAAGTTTTCTGAGGCCTTCCCAGCCAGGTGGAACTGTGAGTTAATTAAACTTCTTTTCTTTATAAATTACCCAATCTCGGGTACTTCTTCATAGCAGCGTGAGAATGGTGTTATACACCTATACTCTTCATGTCTGAGCCAAAGTGCCTGGCCAGCCACGAAGCAGCCCTCAACCCAGGCTTATTGGATGAATCCATTTCATAAACCCAATACAAATCATAAGCTTCTTCAAGATCTTCCTGCCCTCCAAACTCTTAAAAGCACTGAATACAATTTTAATGAATGGCAGCTGGAACACCATTTGGGCATCTCAAATTAGAGTCAAAAAAATGTGCAAAAGTTTTGACTTTTAAAAGTCTAGATACCTCACTGGTATATTCACTGCATTCTGTGTCTTAGGTTTCTGTAGTAAGAAATGAACTGAGATTTCAACCAGGAAGTCAGATATCAAAAGCACGACTGAAAAACATTAGTCAGTAGTAAAATAAGGTATCTGAAGGAATCTCGTGCCTAAAAAAATAATTTTTTTTTTTGAGATGGAGTTTCGCTCTTGTTACCCAGGCTGGAGTGCAATGGCGCGATCTCGGCTCACCGCAACCTCCGCCTCCTGGGCTCAGGAAAAAAATAAATATTTAGCTCCAATAAATCAATCAACTCCTTGAAATGCTATGCCCTTGAACATAATGGTTTTGCAGCAGTAAGTAAACTACAGGTATATTTAATAATTACCTGTAAATATTCTCTACACCTTTAATTAAATGATACTGTGTAGCCATTAGAAGCTTGCTTTGCTAAGAAGAAAAAATAACTTTGAAAGTTAACAACTTTCAAAGTTAGGTTTAAAAGTTAACAGGGCCCGCAGCAGAATCAAAGACAGCATTAATATTTGAGATGCCGCTGGCATGACGGGTAAACACTGGCAACAAACCAAGTCAAAGTAGGTCAAGTGCTCGTGGGGCTGGCCTCGTGCCCCATTGTGAGAGCCTCCAACATGCCCAGCACACACCTGGTAAAGGAACACTGTGTCACTAACAGGCAGGTATAAATCCAAAAGGAGAGAAACAGGGCATCCACACTGCACAGACTCTAGTTACCTCCAAACTTCAGAGGAGAATGGCCGGAAATGAGAATTGAACAAGAGTGTTCAGGAAATCAGATTGATGGGAGTATCTTTACCATCTGTGGTAGGAAAAGCTGGTATAGGCAATGCTTTCTTAGCCTATACCAGTCAGCCTGCCCCAGGGAGACATCTCAAGCAAATGTTCTATTTGAACTAGTATGTTCTGTCCTAATTAAAAGATATTTCCAGAAAATCCCTTTGTGTTTCTTCTCATGTAAATCATAAAACCCAGGGGAACTGCCTGGCTTCCTCTCGTAAGCAAAGGCTGCTTATAAACACTAAGCCTGCCTCCTTTGGACTGTGAAGTAAGTTTCATTCAACATGTTATAGTATACACAGCACTTTCATATACGTTAGGATGTTTCATCTTTCTGATAAGCCGAGAAGTTATTTCTAGTTCCACTTTGTAGATAAAGAAACTGAGGCCCCAAAATGATCTAACGTGGACCAGAACTCAGATCAGATCAACCCTTCCTCTTGACAAAGATAATCCTCATGGCCATGTTGATTAAAAATTATAATACTTTAAACATTCAAACCAGTTTTACTGTCACTATAAATCAGCTGATTACTTTTTCTATCCACAAGTCAGGCTAGAGTGCGCAGGAACCTCAGAGAAGCAATCATGAAGGAGAGAAGAGAAAGACTGGAGATAAAGCTTGACAACCCTACAAAGAACCAGAGCAGAAAACAGAGACAAATTGTGAGCCACGAGAAACTGGAACAAACCTCCCCAACGTGAATTTGATTTGGCATGGGGCCTCTGACCCTCTCAGATTCAATCTCTGAAGATCCTCTTTGTATTATTCCATTTTACTCCCCGCTCACCACTTTTCCATCCAAATGAGTCCCTGGTGTTTGACTTTAGAGATTTACCTCAAACTGGCAATAAAAGGTGTTTATGTGCCATGTCATTTAGTATATAAGAAACAGTCGGTTATTAGAATTACTAAGGGAGTCCTGATTTCTAGAGCAGTGAGGTGTGAATTCTCTGTAGGGAGCTGGGATTACAACTACCCAGGACAATGAAGCGTGATTGGAGGAGGGGAGTGAATATTGCCTCAATAAAGCCATTCACAATTGGAATAAAACTACACAAAGTCAAAGCTGCATCCATGAAACGGAATCAGAGCATATTGCATTTACTTGCTCAGAGAGAACTAATGAATACACAACTGGACTTTCATGGTGTGAAGTTTCATCAGTGCTTTTAAAACAGTAGCAAAACATCTAGTGTATCTCAGAGAAACATCTGGCACAGGATGGGGTGAGAGGGCTGCCACAGCTCATTCTGGAATTCTACCCGAGGTCATGCTGAGCTACAAACAATGAAGTCATGTTCACAGAAAAACTTGGTAAAAGTTAGCAGTGGGCAGATGAAATTGGAGACTTTTTGAAAAGCTGGATAGGTATCTCACTATTGTCATCAATTAGAGGGTCAATGCTAGTATCAATAAGATTTGAATATTGCAACGCAATACTTAACGTCAACCCTAAAATTCAGCAAGGACCCAAGATTTCTACTGTAACAAAAAAAAAGGATCTAATGTGAAAACAAGCCATGGCAACAAAAATAACAGAAATGTTAATAGAAATACAATATAGTTCTCTTCTCAAAAGGTAAGATTCCTAATACTTTTCAATTTTTTTTTTTTTTGAGATGGAGTCTTGCTCTGTGGCCCAGGCTGGAGTACAATGGCACGATCTTGGCTCACTGCAACCTCTGCCTTCTGGGCTCAAGCAAATCTCCTGCCTCAGCCTCCCAAGTAACTGGGACTAAGGTGCACACCACCATGCCCGCTAATTTTTGTATTTTTTGTAGAGATGGGGATTCACCATTTTGGCTAGGCTGGTCTTGATCTCCTGACCTCGTGATCTCACCCACTTGGCTTCCCAAAGTGCTGGGATTACAGGCATCAGCCACTGCGCCCGGCTCTACTTTTAAAAATTTTTCATCAGAAAATAACTAGTATAAAAATGCCACAGTATGCCCTTGTTCAACCCTCTACATGCCCAGCTCCTTAAACTTAGCTCAAACCTTACCTATGCTGCTCCTCCCTGAATTACCTCCTCTAACCCTTATCTCCTCATTCAGCTGGTTGAGTCACTCTTCAAAAAAAAAAAATAATAATAATAATGTCTTACTTAGGACACTCCCAGTCTCTAATGAGCCGAAGCCATGTTTTCTAAGGGCCTGGCAAAATAACCTACATGTGGTTTAGTGTTTGAAATGTATGGACTGTAGATCAAATTGCTTTTATTTTTAACCACAAGGAAATGAAATAAAGATTACAGAGGAAACAGAAGCTTTTTGGGTTTAGGTTCAAACATTGTTAAGTCAAAAAGATGCTTTTTATCCCAAGTCTGCATGTCAGAATGACATTCTCATCTATGATCTATAATTAGAGATGTTTGGAGAAACCAAAGTATGTTATGATTCCTTTTGCCGTTCTTGTTCTTTGCCCTGAAATACATTGAACCAATTTTCAAATGTAGTTTGATGATTATTGAGATCGACATGATTTTTAATGGTTTCAAAAACTTCAGGTGTGTTAGGATCACATTCCATTCACTTTTTGTGTTTGTGACAGGGTCTCACTCTGTCACCCCAACTGGAGTGCAATAGTAGGATCACAGCTCACTCCAGCCTTGAACTTCTGAGTTCAAGGGATGCTCCCATCACAGCCTCCTAAGTGGCAGTGCCCAGCTAATTTTCTTATTTTTATTTTTGTAGAGTCGGGGGGTCTCACTTTTTTACCCCAGCTGGTTTCAAACCCCTAGGGTCAAGCAATCCTTCCACCTCGGCCTCCCAAAGTGCTGGGATTACAGGCATGAGCCACACATCTGACCCATTGACATCACAAGTATTTATTGAGCCTCCACACCTTGTGCAGAAGGCTGGATAGAATGGCTATTATTTGCGCAGCACTGCAGACTGTACAAAGCTCTTCCCCAGACACCCTTTTCTGTGACCCTCATGGCCACTTTGAAAGGTAGGTAAAGCAGGTGTCATCAGTGACATTTTACAGAGTAGGAAAATTAAAAGAGATTCAATAACTTGGCCATTGTCACAGGATCTATTAACAATAGAAAGAGAATCCCAGCCAGGTTGTGGTGGCTCACACTTATAATCCTAGCACTGTGGGAGGCCAAGGTGGGTGGATCACTTAAGCTCAGGAGTTCTAGACCAGCCTGGCCTACATGGCGAAACACTGTCTCTACTAAAAATACAAAAATAAGCCGAGCACCATGGTGCACACCTGTAATCCTAGCTACTCAGGAGGCTGAGGCAGGAGAATCGCTTGAACCTGAGAAGTGGAGGTTGCAGTGAGCCGAGATCATGCCATTGCAGTCTGGCCTGGGCAACAAGAGTGAAACTCCATCTCAAAAAATGAAAAGAAAGAGAATCTAAATCTCCGTCAATAGTGCACTTTCCATTTTGTTGCTGGAGTGTCAAAATTTTCAGGATTTTAAGTGACCGATTTCTAAGAATTCCAGGAATTCATGACTTTATTGTTTTCACCTTGAAGATGTCTTGAGTTGATAATTTATAGTGATGTTACCACTTATTGACGGTTCACTTAGTGCTTCTGAGGCCTGTTGTGCAGCTGTTTGACAACACCGCTTCATCACTTTCCCTGAGCTGTCAAACACCCTGCAAACCTATTTCTTGCCATGCACGTGCATGAATGGTTGACTAGAGTTTATGTACAAAAGAAGCTAAATAATGAAACATGGCATACAAAGAAGGTCAAATATAGCCAAATCAAATTACACCGAATTATTTGCACACTGTTGACTCTGTTCATTTTAATTGTTTTCCAATATTAATGTACAGCATAAAGGTCATTATGGACAGGAGTCATACTTAGCAATCTCTGAAAACTGGTTTGCCTGCATTCCTCGAAAATGATAGCTACATGAAAGTTGTCAGTCTATGGGTGGAGACGGCTTCTGAAAGAACAAGGAGAGAAAGAATGACATGAAGGAGCAGATGATGTTGGAGTGGATATTAACTCCTCATTTTCCAGTTTTCTCTTACAGTTCTGTAACTTAAGGAGCATGGTTGCTGCTTCATCCCAAATAGACAGTAGGTAATTTTTTTGCTTGTATGATCCTCTCCAAAGCTCAAGAATTCTGAATTCCTTCAGTGGGCTTTGGCTTTCAGTTTCTGGATCCAATAATAAACTGTTATAGGTTTAAAGAACTATTTTTAAATTATGTGTTACAAGATTTCTACTGAAAATGGTAATTATCCAATTCTCCTAGCAAGGGATCACTGTTTGATATTAATTAGTACTCTATACATACTAAGGAAAACATTTTTATTTTGAGATAGCTACAAAGTAACTGATTTCCCTCTGATTTGACTTCTTCCAATTAGAAGAGTTTGACTCTATAAGATACATAACATTAAAAACAGTGTATTTAACCATTAATAGCAGGCACTTACCACAGTACCAGAGTATTTTTCTTTGTTTTATACCCTTTGACTTATGCTTAGAAAGGATAATTTATTGTCCATGCAGCAAGTCAATGCCTGGCTCTACTGTAAATAACATCAACATGACACTTACTAAGACAACGAATCATTACAATGTTCTGCCATGGGCTGGGCATAGTGGCTCATGCCTATAATCATAGCACTTTGGGAGGCCAGATCACATGAAGTCAGGAGTTCAAGACAAGGCTGGCCAACATGGCAAAACCCCGTCTCTACTAACAATATAAAAATTAGCTGGGCATGGTGGCAGACACCTATAATCCCAGCTACTTGGGAGGCTAAGGCAAGAGTATCACTTGAACCCAAGAGGCGGAGGTTGCAGTGAGCTGAGATCACACCACTTCTCTCCAGCCTGGGCAAAAGAGTGAAACTCTGTCTCAAAAAAAAAAAAAAAAAGTTCTGCCATGCCATAAAGACAAACTCAAAAGGGCTCATGTTAAATAAATAGCCAAATCATATAGGAGACTTATAAATACCTAAAAACATGAGTTCAGTTCCTCTTACAAGGCCCAGAAGGTGAGTGCATACTCTAGCTACTCATGCAGCTAAGCAGAGACACTGAGCAGAAGAGGAGTTGCCCCATAACCACACATGTGCAGACTTGATGGAGTAAAGCCAGCTAGCAAACCAGAAGAACTGGCTGGCACCTGTGTGTACTGACAGTCCTCCCTCTGAACTCTGGAAACAGTTCTATCCTATGGCACTTTGGCTTTCCACCTCCTACTGAAGTGATTAGCAAGGACATCTTAGATCTTGTGCCAGATTTTAAGAGCCTTGGAGGCAGGATCCACGTCTAATTCATGCCCATGTCCCCAGCACCAAGCCCAATATCTTGCCCCAATTTGTGATGAGCGAATATTTGCTGACCAACTGAACCCTCAAGGGCCTGGTGCTCCTCTTCCAGAGCCTCTCCCTGGTTCTCACTTTTTGGAAGTGAGAAGACTAGAGAATCCCTGTAGTGCTACACAAATTGCGAGCATCTTTCTAAATGAAGCATGCAGTTAGATAAAGGTAAGCTGTGTCTCCGTTTGTTCACTCTTGTCTTCTCTCTTTTCCTTATGAAGAGAAAGTGGAGGGTAAAAGCCCTCTTCTCAAGATCTGGGTTCCTATGGACATCAAGGAAGCCAGAAGTACTGAGTGAACAAAGAAGGATGTTTTTGTGGTTCCCAGGTCTCTAAATGATTATCAGAGTGACTGAGGCAATATCAAGTATAGGGCTCATTTCATTTCTATTATGAATCCTCCTGTCTACTTGTTTCAGAGTTTCATAATTTATCCATGTTGTTTTCTCAAAACTGTAGACATAAATGGCCAAATTCTGGTCTTTAATGCGTACTCACAATTGCTATTACATTAATCAAGAGCTGTGTTCATGCATTTAACTACTGAATTTACTACCATGGAATATTTCTTAACCCGATGCTACACTTGTACCTGACTTTTATTGTTGAAGCAGAACAAATGGTTCCAGTACAGAAAATATCAAGAAAGAAAAACAACTCAAAACCTAAAGCCATGCTCCATTATTTTAAAAACAAATTTACAATTCATCCACAGGCTAAGCTGAAATATCCCTTTTGTATTGTACTTTCCTTAGATCCTAGGAATTAAGAACAAAGATAATTGCTGAGTGTTCTGGAAACACTCACTTTAAGGACAGCAAACACTTGACAGATACTTCTTATCAACCTTTTCAGCTGAACCTCAAAACCATTCTCAACACAGCGCTCCAAGAATCCACTATTTAAAAATTTGCTTTGATGATTAAGATAAAATATCTCTGCTGTCTTTGCTCTAGACTTGATCTCAATTTTTGTTTTTTTTGAATCAGGAACACTTGTGAAGTCTATGATCCTTGTATCCAGAAAACTTCACATATGTGAAAAACCATTCTCATACTAGAAATTTTTACAGTATTTTAGATAGTTTTGGCAATTCTGAAGTTTGTCAATTAATCATCTTTAGATGTGTTAACTCATGAAAAAACCTCTGCACTATACCATGTGTTTTTTTTGTTTGTTTTTCTTTGAAACAGAGGCTCACTCTGTTGCCCATGCTGGAGTGCCGTGGTGCAATCTTGGCTCACTGCAACCTCTGCCTCCTGGGTTCAAGCAATTCTTCTGCCTCGGCCTCCCAAGTAGTTGGGACTACAGGTGCATGCCACCATGCCTGGCTAATTTTTGTATTTTCAGTAGAGATGGGGTTTCACCATATTGGCCAGGCTGTAGACCATGTGTTTTTCTAAGAAAAACCACAAAATTCTGGAAAGTCTAAATCAAGACAACTATTTGATTTCTCACTTTCTTCCCCAGATTTCCCCTCTCATTCCCTTCCCCCTCAAATATACCTGTTTATATATCCAAGAGATCTAAGCATAAACGTCTAAGAGTTATAGTAATTTCTTTCTCAGTGGTGACCAGCCAAAGAACAAGTCAAACTCTCCAAAAGTAGGTGAGAGTTGCTTACCATTGATATTCTCTGAGGGGCCTCCCACCGTCTCATCAGAGGTGGAGGGAATCATGTGGGTGGACAACACGTTTGTGATGTTACAACGGCAATTGTGAATGAGCTGGTAAACATTATTCATGTATAAAAAAGATCTTTTTTGTTGTTGTTTAAATGTTATCTTAAAATATTTTTTAAATGCAAAGCAAGTGTTACCCTGGGTCCAGATTTATCATTTAAATGTATCACAAGTGTACCAAGAAAATTCAACTGTTTTCATCTTGAGACTTTCATATGACCTTGGACCATGTCCTTGATTCGGAGGTGCTAATTAACCCATTGATAATTTATAGGCTAACAAGAAGCTGGGGCTCTATAGACAAGCAGATGTCATAATTGTCGTATTGTTAGAATGTAAACTCTGCCAAAAAGGATCAAGCAAATATGGGTGCTCTTCCTCATTACTAGTTTTTTGATCATAGTGTTCTATTAAGTTTCATCCCTATTAAATTTCACATAGAATGCAATACTAAGGTATAGGTTCATGTTAAAAATCTTGACACTGTTATTCATGGATGTCCTAGATAATATTCTATTTTTCTCATTTTTCTTTCCCTTCTAACTGGTGTCCCTTCTCCCTCCTCATTCCCATTCTTTTTTCTAAATTCTTCTTCTGTTCTGAGCAGATGATCTTTTTGTCATGTTACCTTTCAGTCAGGCAATACAAATAATAGTGTGGCAGTACAAAACTCACTATCACTACCAGACATCCCCTGTCAGTCAGTTACTTATGGCCTCTTCTTCCCCTTGAAACTGTCTCTATTGCCCTACAGGGCATTCTTACCTCAAAGAAGAATAGATAAAAGACAACCCAGGAATTTTTAATGCAGAGATGTTTTAAAAATTAAATGAGATTCTAGATAGATTTTGAAACAATCCGTAGTAGAGAGCATAGTTTTGAAAGCCAAGAGGTTTATCATTTGAAAGAGCCAGATATTTTTGAGAAAGAGAGAAGAGAGCTTATTGAATTTATATTTATTTCTATGTTTGGCTTTGACAATTCAGGAACAAAATTGTAATTAGCAGGCAAAGGTTTATACATAAACAATAGAGTTGAAAACAAAGCAGAAAGATTAAAGGGCAATTTGCCTGTCCAAAATGAAGCAAAATTGGGAGGATATGGCATAAGAATAGACATATAGATCAGTGGAACAGAATGGAGTGTACAGAAATAAACATACATTCATGTCCAACTGATGCTTGATAAGAGTGCCAAGTTCATTCAATGGGAAAAAATAATTTCTTCCACAAATGATGCTGGGGCAACTGACTTTCTACATGCAAAGGAATGAAGTTGGACTTCTACCTCACACAATACTCAAAAATTTCTCACACAAGTACTCAAAATGGATCAACAACTCAATATAAAAGCTAAAATCACAAAACTTTTAGAAGAAAACATAGGGATAAATATTCATGACCTGGGTTTGCCAAAACATTCTTCAACATTACATCAAAAGCATAAGCAAAAATAATAGAAATAAGTAAATTGGACTCCCTCAAAATTAAAATACTTTTGTGCAACAAAGAACATTATCAAGAAAATGTACACAAACTACAGAATGGGAGAAAATATTTTCAAATCTTATATCTGATGAGTTTAATATCCAGAATATTTTTTAAATGCCTAAAACACAAAAAAAGAAAGAAAGAAAGAAAGAAAGAAAGAGAGAGAGAAAGGAAAACAACCCAATTTAAAAATGGGGAAAGGATCTGAGTAGATATTTCTCCAAAGATATACAAATGGTTAATAAATGTATCAGAAGATGTTCAACATCCTCTCTCAGTAGGAAAAGGAAAATTGAAACCACAATAAGATACTATTTCACATCTACTACCATGGCAATAGTTTAAAAAACAGAAAACAAGTGTTAGTGAGGATATGGAAGAATTAAAACTCTCATGCATTGCTGGTGGAAATGTAAAATAGTGCAGCTGCTATGGAAAGTAGTTTGGCAGTTTCTCAAAAAGTTAAACTTAGAGTTACCACAAGACTCAGCAATTCAGCTTTAGGTACAATCCCCCCAAAAATTGAAAACAGAAATTCAAACAGATATTTATATGTTGAATTCATTGCAGTATTATTTACAATAGCCCAAAGGTAGAAACAACCCAAATGGCCATCAATAGATGGATGTGAATATATATTGGGTGCGTGTGTGTGTGTGTGTGTGTGTGTGTGTGTGTGTGTATTCTCTGAGGCATATATCCACATATATATGAGGTATATATACACATACACACACACATAGATATCCCATATGGGGTACATATGAAATATTTTTCAGGCATAAGAAAGAAGTTCTGATACATGCTACAACATAAATAAACCTTGAGAACATTAAGCTAGGTGAAAGAAGCCAGATAAAAAAGGACAAATATTATTTGATTCCATTCATATGAAATATCTAGAACAGGCAAATTTATAGATACAGAAAGGATATCAGATGCTGCTGGGTCCTAGGGTAGTAAGTAATGGGGAGTTGTTGTTTGAGGGCAACAGCGTTTTTCTTCAGAGTGATGACGAGGTTTAAGATGCAGATCGTGGTGATGGTTCCACAATGGTGTGAATATAATTAATGCCACTGGATTAGAAAATCGCTAAAATGGCAAATATAATGTTATATAGCAGTATACATAGCAGTGTGGTTGTGACATAGAAGACACCCAGTCTGATTACTTATCCATCATCTCTCAGATGCCAGCTTGGATGGATATCAAAGACCAAAGGCCAGTGGAGACTGCAACTCTCCCTGGAAGCCAAAGTACACGAATGTCTGCATAATGGACCAGACTCCTCTCCCTGACACCAAGTCCTTCTCCCCTGATGTTCTGACAATACATAATCCTTTCTCCTCTACTTTAGGAGAGGATAGAAAGGAGTGGGTGAGGCAAAACCTAAATTTAACTGAGCATCAAAAATACTCTGAAATGCTAAAAATGCAAAAAGAAAAAATCTAAATCTCCTCCCTGGAAAGTACTGAACCATTCCAGCATCCCTAGTTTATGCAGTAAGCATTGAGCAAAGCCTAGTCTGGCAGAAAAATGTTGTAAAAGAGCTGCTAAGAGTTTTTAAAAGGCAAGTTCCTCACTTTTTGCTTTGTATATAGGAATATTATGAAAAATAATATACAACTTAGTAGGCTCGTGAGGTTTTAAGAACCCAGAAAAGGACAGGTAGGGGGTCATATTGTTCTTTCAAGAGCCAAGACTTGACTATGTCTCATTTATTGCCAGCTTGACCTTGACAAACTGGGGCTCAAAGCTGGGGCCATGACTCTGCAGAAAGGAAGGTTTTCGGGAGAGGACCAAGAGAGTCATGTGCTACCTTTCTGTAAAAGCTGCTGTTCCTCTTTTCTTTTTCCCTTTTAAGAAAGCTGTTCTTACCTTCATGTCTGAGTCACCTAGGAAACCTTGAATCAAAGGAGACCCTTCAGGAAAATAGTGTTCCTAGCTGAGAAAAGAGAGAACTTTACCTAATAACTATGTTTCCTACCTAACACTTTAATGCCAGGAGCAGAAGATGAGACGATCCCATATTCATGTACTGCTGAAACTGCCTTTGTAAAAATTATGGTGGTGAGAAAAGTATGATGGTGAAAGAGGTTTGTTCCAACCAACCTCCATCTTGCCTTTAACTCCTAAACTGCGCTCAGTCATTCCCGGTCATGGGCCAAGTTAACTTTGGGAGAAAATGTTTATCATTTAAATAATAGCCCTTCTCAAAAACTAAACCTTTGTAAAGCTATTGACAGACCACCAGGTTAGGAAGATGATTCTTGTATTCTAATGTGTCAACTTAAATAATTACCAGTCATTATTGCAAAAGTCCTAAGACTTACAACTTCCCCAATTACTCCTGCAGGTAACATCACTATTGTAGAACCTAAGATTGGCCTCTTGAGATGTCTTTGCAGATTTTTGCATTTCTCACTATCAATGGCTCCACCTGGACCTGCCGGTTGTTTCTGTGGGCCCACCCGGAGGTAGACTCAGCACATACAAGGACCATTTTCAACATCCCTATGATTGCACCACCAACCAATCAGCAGCACCCACTCCCTAGCAACATCCCCTCTCCTAAGCTATCCTTGATAGCCTTGGGAATTTTCAGGGAAGCTGATTTGAGTAATAATAAAACTCTCACCTCTGGTTCAGTGGGCTCTAAGTGAATTAAACTGTTTCTCTATTGAAATTCTCCTTTCTTCATAAATCAGCTCTTTCTGGGCAGTGGGCAAAATGAACCCACTGGACAGTGACCCTCTCTCATACGTGGGGTACACATCTGGAGAAAAGAGATTCTGGACAGATACTTCAGTTCCATTTTCTCGAGTGAACACCTGGATTGGGTGGGAGGGCATATTCACTGTGTTTTTCACAGGGAGACAGACATGTAACATGGAGTTAAGTGTGCAGAAATAAAACTGTGAAAACCAAGCATTTTCTTTTCAGCATTTTGCTCATTGTCCTACAGCCTTTGACCTACTGAATCACATGGCATTTGTCTCTCCAGTGGAAAGACAGGTGTATCTGAGAATATGAGCCCAGTTACTCTATAAATAGATCTTGAAACTTAGAACACAAACAATAGTTTTGAAAGCTAAGGTGGTTTTGATTTGCAAGAATCAAGCTTTTTAAAAATAGAATAAAGGTTTTTAAGTGCCAGAAGTTTGGCTTTAAACATAAAGAGCCAAAACTCTGACAGACTCTTAAGCAGAGTTGGAAAGACGATTGTCTCTTCAGTGCTTCCAACCCATCAGAGAGAAAAGATTTTTGGTACTGAAGAAAAACGTTTGGACATGGAAAAAAGAAATTAAGTTAGTTAGCTCCCTCTGAGGTTCTCCAAGAAAGAGGGTCCTGCACTGTCCCCCTAAAAAGGGCTGAGCCTAGAGTATGGAAACATAGAAAAGCCAGGTAAGCTTGTGAATATCTTAGAACAGAGATGTGTGCCTCCCTTCCCAAAATGTAGCCCAGAGAGGCTTCAGAATTCATGAAGGAGGCCCTTCATCCAGCATGGTGAGGACTAAACTCTGGCCTTTTTATTATTTTTTTTCTCTTGCCCATATTCTTATCTAAGGGATCTGGGGAGTCATGTCCTACAAACCATAAAATCTCATTAAATGGATTTTTAGGAACCCTATATAATGTGGCTTACTTTCCAACCAGACTGCAGTATAGCATCACATGACGATAGCAGACCCTGAGGGAAATAAATTTTACCCCGAAATGTATTTCTTTTTTTACCTATTTTGAAATGGTTGTTGCAAGGCCAGGAGATTAAGGTAGGGAAACTTGCATCTGTAAAGAATCTTCATTCATGCAGCCGTGCTTCTCTCTGTTCTATCACTTTCCTGGGTTTAGGAGAAATTGAGAGTCTGAGGCCTTCAAAAGTTTGCAAAGAAACATTTACCATCTATTCTCCAAGGGTTGCCTCTTATGAAGCTTTATCTACACAATAAGAACCTTGGTCTCCACAACCCCATTATCTTAAATCAGGTATTCTTTTCTACTGATTTCAAGACTTCAGACAATAGCTTAACTCTCTCAACCGTCAACTGAGTTATCCCTAAAACCAGCTTGTGACTTACAAGCACCCCCCACCCACTTTTGAGATGTTCTGCATTTTTGGACTGAACCAAATATGTCTTCCGTGTATTCATTAATGATACTACCTGCAATTCCTACCTCCCTGAAATGTATAAAACCAAACAGTAATCTGATCACCTCAAGCACACTTTCTCAGGATCTCTTGAGATTTGTATCCCTGGCCCATGGTCACTCATATTGGCTCAGAATCAACCTCTTTAAATATATTTTGGCAGAATTTGGAATTTCCATCATCAATGGCTTAGGTGGCAATTCAGCAAGCTAGACAATGAGCCTACAAGCCGACTAGCAAAGTCATGGGCACCCCTAGAGCATTTTAAGAAAAGCAGTTCCCTAGACCTCTAAAAGGAAGTCTGTCAGGTTGAGAGAGGCCTTGCATTTCAAGGGACGAAACTTCAGAGTGCTTGCACCTGGCAACCAGGAACATGGGAAATCAGAAGCAAGCCAACCAGCCGCGAGGACCGGAGGACATACAAAGACCAGAGAACGCTCACAGAGCAGACCTTCACACTTCACTAATGCAGTGGTCCTGATATAAGCCTCCTGGAACTCAAACACAACCCAACAAAAGCCAATACGACCCAATAAGGGGAAGCCAAACAAACCCTAAACTGACAAAGTATATCAACAGACACTGGGTCATGACTTTGACCAAGTTCACCCGGATAAGAGCAAATTTAGTTTTCTGCTATCTGATGAAAATGTCAACTCGTGAAAAAAAAAAACCAAACCCTCAGATTTCATGAAAAAATTAATATTAACTATGGGCTTTACAAATTCAAGTTTTTCCATTTGAAATTTCCACCAATTACATGTCCATTTTTTCTTTTATTTACTTATTTATTATTTTTTTAAGAGACAGGGTCTCCCTATGTCTCTATGCCCAGGCTGTTTTCGAACTCCTGGGCTCAAGTGATCCTCCCACCTCAGCCTCCCAAGTGCTGGGATTGCAAGTGTGAGCCACTATGCCCAACCTACATGTACTCTCTAATCCTAATTATATTTCAGCCCTGGGATTAAAATTCAGATTATTTTGGTCTGCCTTTTGTAATTATACTTGCAATCTCTTGGTTTACTTCCCCTAACAGTTAATCATATCTATTACATGATGATTTCACTAATTCAGTTTTATAAAGTGTTACCCAAACTATAAAAGTTACCCAGAATTTGCAATTTTGATTTAGGATTTTTTGAGTAAATATGCTGGAAAATAGCTGAACAAAGATGCTTTGTGGATAAGCAAAAACCAGGGGACAGAGAGCTCGTCCCTGGTTTTCTGCAGTCATGACTAGCCTTAAGCTTGGGAGAAGCCGCCATACTTGTTTTTTTTTTTTATTTTTAACCTTGCAGTAGTGCCTATGACAATAAATTACATATTATAGGTGCTCAGTTAATAGTCATATATAGGCTGGGTGTGGTGGCTCACACCTGTAATCCCAGCACTTTGGGAGGCCGAGGCAGATGGATCTCTTGAGGTCAGGAGTTCAAGACCATCCTGGCCAACATGGCAGAACCTGTTTCTACCAAAAATAAAAAAATTGGCTGTGCACGGTGATGAGTTCCTATAGTCCCAGCTACTGAGGAGGCTGAAATAGGAGAATCACTGGAACCCAGGAGGTGGAGGTTACAGTAAGCCAAGATTGTGCCACTGCACTCCAGCCTGGGTGGCAGAACAAGACTACATCTCAAAAAAAAAAAAAAAAAAAAAAAAAGTTAAATGTATAATTTGTGTGAAAGAAATTGAATTTAAATAAATTGGGACAAGTATGACTTGTTTTCACTGTTTTTTGTATTCTGTCACTCAAATAGTATGTGTGAATGATTTACCTTCTCCAACCTCACCCAAATGGGTAAATGGCTAGGTACAGATAGGCAGGGCATGAAGCTTAAATATTCAATATAGATACAATGTTTTCAGTGACTTCGCTTTACTCTTAACAATCTGCAAGTGGCCTCTATATTCTAACTGTAGAATTGATTCCTTGAAGTTCTTTTAGTCCTTGATCCCTTAAATCTTGCTGAGCCTCCTGTGATGTTGTGGATGCTGTTGTAGGTAAAAAGAGCAGACACAGCCTTTAGGGCACCTGCGTTCAAGGCCTGCTTTCCTAAGAGTCTGACCTTGAGAAAGTTACTCAGTCTCTTTGAGCTTTAAGTTTCTTATCTATAAAATGAAAATAATATTACTACTTCATTAGGTTGCTGTCTACATTAGATTAAATTTTAAAATTTTTAAGTGCTTAGCACGTTAATCTGTAAAGTATATGGCAGGGCAGGCATTCAAGAGCTGGTAGCTAAAGATGGTATTATTATGCAAAAAGAAAATGATTAGTTGCTATTTAAGTGTCTCAGAGACGAAGATTCTGCTTCTCTACCTTTCCTGGGTAGATGTGAAACAAAGGCATTTCCCCCCAGTTGCATCTACACATATCTTATAACTAAAATTGATGGATTTTATATTCCAGATAATTAAGCTATTTAGTGTCCCTAAAGCTATTCACATATCATTATGCACCATATTGTCATCAGGCAGGGCCATTAATTCAGCACACTTTTGTCCATCTCTCTGTGGATATCACACTTTTGTTTGTCTCTCTGCTGTGTGTCATGGGTAAGCAGACAGAAGCCCTGTCGTCTAGTGGCTTCAAATAAAATAATATACTAGTAAACAAAGAAAGATTTCAATAAACACTAAGTGAACAAGCAAATTTAAAAACTAAACAAGTAGAAAGCATATTAGCATGTATAAGCATAGGGCTCAGCAAAGGGAGGTTATCTTCTAAATAGGTCAGCCCGCAGGAAATAAAAACATCTTAACATTTCCCCAGCTGGCATAGAAAATATGCAAGGAGCAAAACACATGTGATTTGACTTTACTGAACTCCCTTTAATCCCTATATTTCAGTTCCAAATACACTATGGACATTCAAGAAACACAAAGAATTATTAAAGAGTCAGACATGCTGCTATAATACTAATTATCTGGGAATACATGTGCATATTGGCTTGTATTTTTTTTCTGGGAAAGTACTGAAACCATGTTAAGCATTACACCAATATGAAGTATCATTATTTTTCTTATTTCATGAAATTCAGCAATCTATATGCGCATGCCAGGGGCTAAGAATGTTTCTACAGTACAGAGACAGACACAGATGCTATGATTGCCTGCTTCTCCGCATACGTATCTCTGAGGTTGGCCTCATTTCTTAAATGTGGCCGTACATAATGGCAGAGAAACTAGACTAAAAGTGAAATTCATTGCTTCTTCCAGATGTTCTCATTAGGTGACACCAAACAATGAAGTGATTGATTAACTGAATCTTTCCTTTCTACTTGAATTTTTGGCATTGTGTAACACACTTAAATTTGATCCAACGTTTTGTAACATCAGCCTTGTATTCTTTCCATGACTTTGAGGTTATCCATACATACTAAAATAGTACTACCAATGTCTCCATTTGGTTACCTATTGGGGGCATAAAGACCATGATATATTGAAAAGTTTGTATATACCGGTAAATCGGTGTGTCTCTTTGGGTTAATATCTTCACCATATCCTGGCAACCCAAACAAGAAAACTGATTCATCTTTGTCACTTCTTTCCCCCACACTCCCAGTAGTGGTTTTGGGCTCCATCCCCATTTTACCATTCTTGTATATAATTTCCTAGTTTAAGAATCTCATAATCTCTATCTTGGACTTTTGCCTTGGTTTTAGAATTTTAAGATGCAGTTCACTGTAGCATTTAGGAGTACATAGTCTGCAATCAGACAGGATGAAATCAAACCTGAGTCCACCACTTATTTGCTATGGAACCAGTATAACTCTCCCATCTAAAAAACGGGATTAATAGGATCTACCTTGGATAAAGTAAAGGTGATACATTTATAGCATGGAATACTATGCAGCCATAGTATTCCATCTCAAACAGCATGAGATCATGTCCTTTGCAGGAACATGGATGGAGCAGGAGGCCATTATCCTTAGCAAACTAACGCAGGAACAGAAAACCCAATAGCGCATGTTCTCACTTATAAGTGGAAGCTAAATGATGAGAATTCATGAACGCAAAGTGGGGAACAACAGACACTGGGACCTACTTCAGAGTAGAGGGTAAAAGGAGGGAGAGGAGCAGAAAAAATACCTACTGGGTACTCGGCTTAGTACCTGGAGGCCAAAATAATCTGTACAACAAACCTCCGTGGCATGAGTTTACCCATATAACAAACCTGCACGCATATCCCTGAATGTAAAATAAAAGTTAAAAAACTTAAGATCTACCTCTTACCATTGCTGTGAGCAGTTAATATGTGTCAAATACTCAGAATGTTTACTTAGCAAGTAAATACAGGGAAATGGTAGCCATTAAATTATCTTCTTTTGCTGCCATCATCCCCAGTCATCTTTCCAAAATGAATTCAACTGCGCTTTCCAACTAAGAAACTTGCAATGACTCCTTGCTACCTATAAATAATGCCGTTCAAACTTTTCAGCTCCTTCTCTTCTCCTAACGTGCTCCCTATGCTTCAGCCACATGGGACTTGACCATATTTTACATACCCACATGCTTCAAGTCTCCTAGATTTGCTCACATGATTCCTTTTGATTAAAATATCCTTTCTTTTTCTCTAACTAGTCATGGTCCATGCATCTCACAAAGCCCAGTTCACATATCAAGTTCTTAGTGAAATCTTCCCTAAAATAACCCACGCAGAAAGCATTATGCCTGCGTGTAATCTTTCATGGATTTTTGCTCATGTATTGCTATAAGACTCTTTCTATTGTAAGATAGTATCATTACTTGCTTATGAAATTGCTTTTGCCCTTAGGTTTTGTGTTCCTTGGGGACAAAGATTATGTCTTAATGATCTTTATATCTGGACAGTCTAGCATGCTGCTTGACATAATCTAGAAGCCAAATATTTATGAGAAAATCAAAAGAGGGTTAACATAATAGATAATATTATGAATAACAATCCCTTATCAGAAATCTTTTCTTTCACAAGATTCACATTGAGTCCTAATTCCTTCAAGAAACCTTACCATCTGCCTCAGCTCAAATGGCTTCCCCGACTTTGAACTTCTCTGCTATTTATTCTATCTGTCATTTATCTGCCATTTATAATATATTACACTATAATTTCAATTTCTTCTTTTCATGTATCTGTAACTCAGATGTCAGCTAGATCCTGTCTACCCATTAAGATCTAAGTATGTCTCAAACCTTACTCCTTGACATACCACAAGATTCCAATGAATTCCTGGGGGAGTATTGTGCTCTGGCTCTGAAACCCTTCTTCCATGGGCTTAATTCAGATGTGGGTCATCTTTCTCTCCTATGCATGCTGTTTCTATTATGCTGCTGTGCCAGTTCTGCCTATGGTCAATCCAGAAGTGGAACTCAGTCCCTGTCCTGAAGTCTACAAAACAAAACCAACCAAATAAGCAAATAAACCCCACTCACATGAGATGTTGTGTAAACGACAAACTTAACCAAAAGTTTCAAAAACAGAAGAGACTTACATCACAGTTATAAAAATGCCTAGTCAGTTGCTATTTGGTACCATACTGATTCAGAAATATGTACATATATCCTATATCAAATGAATGTGTACACCTTGTAGTCACAGATCTGGATTGAACAGTCATTACTAAATAATGGAGAAGACACAGCAAGGGTCTACTTCATAGCACTTCAAAGGGTAACACAATATTGAAATCTGGGGATTTCTATTGAGGGTCTCACAGGCCATTTCACACTTTGCAGCACCCATCTTCACTTCATTAGTCTCTCTCTGTCTCCTCTCGCCCACCCCTGTCTGTCATCCTCAATTCCTCCCCCTTCGCTTCTGGAGCACCTACTAGAAACTCCCATTGTTTTTCATTCTGTTTGATGGAACATTCAATTCCTTCCAGGTTTTAATCTCAAAATCAGCATCAGCCTTATATGTGCATATGCAAATACATCAATGTGCTCACCAAATTAAAATGGTGCCTCATCTAGTAGGATTTATTCTTCTTAGAAAACTGATGTTTTAACCCAAGATTTGTTTTTCCTCTGAACATAAGTATGCTTAATTCTGCTCATTAATTTTAAATCCCCTAAGGCTCAAGCTAACCTTTTATTTCTCAAAATGCAGTTTTTATATTTTTGGGGGGTTTTTTGGTTTGTTTGTTGAGAAGGAGTCTCACTGTGTCACCCAGGCTGGAGTGCAGTGGCATGAATTTTACTCACTGCAACTTCTGCCTCCAGGACTCAAGTGATTCTCCTGCCTCAGCCTCCCGAGTAGCTGGGACTACAGGCACATGCCACCATGCCTGGCTGCTTTTTGTAATTTTGGTAGAGATCGAGTTTCACTATGTTGGACAGGATGGTGTTGAATGCCTGACCTCAGGGGATCTGCCTGCCTCAGCATCCCAAAGTGCTGGGATTACAGGCGTGAGCCACCACACCAGACCAAAATGTAGTATCTTCAAAATTATTCATTCATCTACTTGATAAATATTTGTTGAGCAAATATATTGACCATGTTGTACACGGTATTACAAAGTGAGAAATCGCCATTCTGTCTGCAAGATGTTCCCAGTAGGAGGGTCTACACATTCTGAACAAAGAATTACACTGTCTTGTGGCAAGTGCCTTAGGACTGAAGATCAGACCAGATTTTGTAGAACGAAAGAGAAGGAAGTCTCACTGTAGTTTTCAACGTTGTGTTCGTGCCAACATTTGTGAGGCCTGTCACATTCTCCAAACAAGAACAGTCATTTCTTACAGAGATTCTTACCCTCAATGGAAACCAGAGGGCTGAAAGGAGAAGACCCATTCTTCCTCAAAGGATGTAACAGAAATGGGCTGGAGTGCAACACAGAATTTTCACAAAGACCAGTGATTCTGATAAACTTGCTCGAGGAGTGTGCCCTGTGAGAATCGGTGGTGTAAAACCTTTGAGACACAATTAAATTTGAACACAATTTTTCAAAAATATCTGTATTCCATAAAGTGAGGTACATGGGATGTATTTGTACATGTGAACATATATACCAGCAACTAGTGAGTATATCTGCATGGCAATTGCTGTACTGCTTGTTTAACTCACTTGAATAAAGGAATAAACAGCTTGGAACAGATCTGTTTCAGATGGCAATATAATGAGGTCTCCAGGGTCTAGAGCTAGAAATGACTAGAGATTTTGCTTTTGAGAATATACTACGTTACTGTGAATTGGTTTTGCTTTATGTAATGCTCAGAATGATATTAAAAAAAAGTCATTTGATAGCGATTTTTTTCCCAAATGGGAGTACAGTCCCTCAGCTATTTTTAGGTCATTGTTTAAAATTCCAAATACTGTTTTACTGATGTCTTTTTCAAGAAGAACCAGACATACATTGAAAGTTATTTATTAAATCCTTTCTCAGAAAAAGCAACATGTATATTTGTCAGAGAATAACTTACTTTCAAATTGAAATAAACTGGCAAAACCATTTAAATGCCTGGAGAAAAAGTTTCTGTTTTTTTTTTTTAGATTATCTTTCTCTGCTTTCTAAAGTAGACCTATGCAAAGGCTAGAGAAGAAATCACAATGCAAATATGGACCATCACTTGGTCATTCAAAGAGGGAACAAGATACAAACAGAAAAGACCCAGATATTTTGCTTGAAATAAAAAAAAAAAAAAAAAAAAAGAAAGAAAGAATCTGGCAGCTGTTTGCAAGCTCATGGAGCACGTCTCTGCATAGGACCACTCCGCTCCTCTGCTTGGGCTTCAAACCAACCACCTGCAGGTGGTAACTCAAAGAAAAATAAGCACCCGGTGAAATCTATCAGAACATGTATTGACAGTTACTGATTTATGCATATTCATTCTTATATAGCCAAAAGGCATACTAAAATTTTTATTATAAATACTAATAATTGCTCTAAAGTATGCAGCCCCTTCAGGCTATGTAATACATGGATAGTAAAGTGAAGAATTGGAACAATTTTCTGAGCAGCTCAGATCATTGCAGTGATTTTTTTTTGCTATATCCAGAAGAAAGGAGGAAAAAGAAAATGTAACCTTGTTATTCTGTCTGCCTGGAATGTTCTTCTCCACAGAAATATGCATGATTTACTTCCTTCTATCTCTCAAATCTTCTCAACTATCAGCTTCTCAGTAAGGATTTTCCCAAATAGGGGAAATTGCAACCTCCCCATCTGTGGCACTCTCCACCTTCCCCAATTTCTTTCTTTCCATAGCTCTTACATTTTCTAATACGCTACATGATATACATATTTGTTTATGCTGGTTTCTTTTTTCCAATAGAAATAAAATTAGGAATTTATGTTTCTTTCATCGTTCTGCTCTATCTCCAGATCCCCAGCTCATAGTAGGTGCTCAAGGAACATGAATGCTATAAATAAATGCATGGAAGGAATGACTGGTGCGTCTTGGTTGAGTAAAGTCGCTGTGCCACTTGGTAGGGCTCAAATCTGTGGGCTTCTTTCATCTTCATTCTGCACAAAATAGTTAACTACCTGTGTCTAATTACCCTTATCTATGAATTCCTATGAACGGCCTCTAGGGCAACATACCTTCTTACTGTAACAGATAATTCAGTAGATGAGATTTTTCAGACTAAGCTGGCACAGTGAAACCATCACAGATTTTCTCCCAGCACAGCTAAAGAAACTTACGAATTTTAGGTAAAACGACATAAAAAATAAATCAGTAGTCATCAAACCAAGGAAGAAATACAGCTTCTGCTCACTTTATGAGAAGCATGATCTCTATCCAGAATGTGACTCTTATAAGGACAGCTACCCCCTCCATAATGGTAAGAAACCAACCTATTCAATTTACCACTAGGTGTCTGGCTCATTCTCCTGAAGAATGGAGCCATACTGGGAGCTCAGTATTGGCCTCTGCCGTAGGTGGGTTTGACACTAATCAACACTGGAAGCCAGATTAGCCTTGTGAAGGGAAATGCTGTTGACCCTATGCATAACATACATATGTGTAATACTTCCAAAGCAGGAAGAAGACTAAAGGCATCCAAGCCCAAAGAAAAGAAACATAAAAACCCACCAGTATCTCTCCAGAATCAATTAAAAAAAAATCTTCAGAGCTCACTATTTGTGTCTTTTGTTGTTGTTTTTTCTAGCTGAAAACGAAGCTGCAGACAGAACGTGGTCTATTCACAATCACCTAGAGCTAATTATAGCCAACAAAATAGATGTATCTAACAAAACAGAGATCAAAACCAAAAACATATATGAACAGAAAAGGAATAAAATAAGTTCCCCTCATGGTGTGAGAGCCCAAGGCGAGAAGCCACAAAGGACCCAAATTGCAGTGCTACTCTCTTCCAGCAAATGATGATGTTGTGGGTTCAGCCCACAAGTTTCACCTGTTTCTTTGGAAGAAAGAAGAGCTTTTGAGGAGACACAGGTGAAGAGGAAGAAGTGCACCTTGTCTCTATGCAAACCCCAGTTTCCAGGCCTCACCCCAAGCTGGGTATCTCCCTCAGCCTCGGACAAGACCTCAAGATAGGTAAACTGGTAAACTCTGGACAGGGCTTTAGACCAACTTGGAATAGTGAAAGCAAACATCACATTCACAAACCAAGTCCTGATCAGCACTTTTCTTCCCTGTCCCTGTAGCAACAGAAAACAGGCACAACACACTGGACCCAGCCTCCACAGCAAGGTCTCAGCGACACAAGCAGTCTCAAATGAGACGGTAAAGGAGTTAAACAGTTCTCACTCCCACAATATCAGCGGGGGAAAGACTTTATAATGCTAAGGAAAGTGAGCATTTATTATTTACTGCATGCCTGTCATTAGAGCCTTACCTGTATTGAGTCCACACAACCACCCAACAAGCTAGGTACTATTAGTGGTATACTATCCCATATTCAAAAACCTTGGAGCCAAATGTTTCTTGAAATTTAAATCCTTTTTAGCTTTTAGAGAGTGAATGAGATAGATGTGCTATATAACACATAAAATTCACAAGTCCCGAAGAAGCCCCCTGTGTTCAAACAAGTTAATTTTTGCAGTGAAGTCTATGAATATTCACACTATGTTAGAAAAATTAATTCTATTCTATAGCTCATATCAATTCAGATCAGGCCAGTTTTTGCCACCAAATGAGCTTGTGCCAAATTTAGTAAGATGGTAAGGTTTTTGGAGCCTTCTGCACTGGAGACTTATGGATATGAAATGTGGACCTTCAGTCACCCAGGCCCAAGTCAGGAGGCTAAAGCAGAGAAAGATTCAGGATACGATTCTCCCAGGTCAAATAGGTAGAAAGTAATGGGACCTGGAGGTGAACCCAGACTCAGTATACAATTTTCTCTCTCAGTTCATAGTCATCAGTGAGCATTCACCTGCTCTGCAAATATTAAGCAACTACTGTACACAATTGTGTCTGCACAAATGTCTCTATCTTAAGTCTCAGAATCTCATTTGTTCTCATCCTGGGTTCTAACCTTAACACAAGAGATTTACAGAGATCGTACATTTAACTAGAGTTGTAATTCTGCAACCATGGAAGTCAGCGTTAGGCCTAATCCTTATTCGTTTCTGTGCTGCAGCTATAGGTCTGTTAAGACCTCCACAGAACCTTCCTGGTTCTCCACTTTTGTCTTGAATTAAAGATAAAGCAATATATTAATATTATCTTTATACAAGTTCTCTGGCACAGTCAGAGTAACTTACACCACTGAAACATGTGTCGTCATCATTGTGACAATATCAGGGGGTACAACGGCCTGGTAATTTTCCAAAGTCTTGTCCTCTGCTGGCTCTCCATCTCACACCGCTATGATGATCATTCAAGAGATGATGATACCACATCACATACCTACTGCTAGTGTTGTGAGTTCTCAAGAATGGAGGTCATCTGTGAATTTGCCTAAGATATTAAGCAACCTTGAGCAATTAGGGTTTCTCAGAATTCTATTTTTAAAGTCATTCCTGGTCCTGAGTACTGTGTCAATAAGAATTCTGACAGGTAACGCAGTTCTCCCCAAATACTTCAAATGAAGAAACTTTAATAAGGGCAGTGCTTAGAAAGTTAATCATCATTAAAGAAACAACAAGACCTGGTGAGGTGCCCAGGGAAGAAGAGCAGTGGAATACCATTAATGTGTTATCAGCGTCCAAGGAGCACTGGATCATTGATGAAGTGGTCACCTGCAAGAACCATACTCACAAGGGATATAGTTACTCCCCAAGATAGACACCTGAGGTGGGGAGAAATCAGGGAAATAATGCTCACTTCTCTCATCCTACCGTATGATTCCCTCCAAGTGCTTCCCATTGGCCAAACCCAGTTGAAGCCAGTGGGTCAACCAGGCCAAATGATGCCAAGAGCAGAAGTCAGCCCTCTGGGGTACAGAATGACGTAGGGCAGGGCTGAGGGTTCATCTGGGGCTGAAATAGAGTGGGTCAACAAACAAGAGCACATATAGATAGTCCTCTATTAAGAATAAAGAAATTTAAGCAAAGTTCCTTGTTCGAGGTCACATAGTGAGTGGCAAAGCTAGATTCAAACAAAGCAGCCTTTCTACATACCTTACACTCTCAACAACTATACTATCCTTAGCCAGAGACTCTCAAACACTTGACAACTTAAGAGGAGAGAAGACCTAGAAGTGCTTCTTGAAAAAAAAGGATGCTTCTGTAACCCCAGCATTGTGGGAGGCCAAGGTGGGTGGATAACCTGAGGTCAGGAGTTCAAGACCAGCCTCACACACATGGAGAAACCCCATCTTTACGAAAAACAGAAAAAATTAGATGAGCGTGGTGGTGCATGCCTGTAATCCCAGCTACTCAGGAGGCTGAGGCAAGAGAATCACTTGAACCTGGGAGCCAGAGGTTGCAGTGAGCCGAGATTGCACCACTGCACTCCAGCCTGGGCAAAAAGAGTGAAACTCTGTCTCAAAAAAAAAAAAAAAGAAATGCTGCTTGATAACCTGGTAAGAGATGACTAGAGAATCCACGCAAAGGGATTAGTGATGAGCCGTAAACAGATGTGTGCAAAATTGAGTTATAAGGGAAATGCCAAATTTAGATAATTTAGCAATATTTAACTTCCTGCTAAAATTTAACAGTAGCAATACAAATAACTCGAAATGTGGAGTCACTGAGAGAAGGCAGTTGACATCCACCAATATCTTCATCTTTCTCATGGGCAATCAACAGTGACAAAGTTGATAAATACCTAAAGTATATTTTTCTAATATAGCTATAATGATATGTTTCCAGTGTTAGGCATCTTTATTTATTTTTATCTCCCTAATTTGTCTTGGGTCAAAAAAGGTGATTTCATATTGCATCATCATTCTGTTTTTGTCCATTTCTCCTTATGTTATCTACTTTTCCTGCTTTATATACTTTGATGTTACAATAAAGAAAAATTGGTCTGAGTGTGGTGGTTCATGCCTGTAATCCCAGCACTTTGGGAGGCCTAGGCAGGAGGACTGCTTGAGGCCAAAAGTTCGAGACCAACCTGGACAACATAGTAGGACACCACCTCTACAAGAAAGAATTTTAAAAAATTAGTAGGGCACAGTGGTGTGCATTTGTGGTCCCCAACTACTAGGGAGGCTGAGGAAGAAGGATTGAGACCAAGAGGTCAGGGCTGCAGTTAGCCATGATCCTGCAACTATATTCCAGCCTGGATAATAGAGCAAGACCCTATTTCTTAGAAAAAAGTGAAATTCAAAGAAAAATTTGAATTATTAAGAACAACATTTTTATTTGTAATGTTTGCAGGTGCCAGCCTTCAGAAAAACTGAGTTTCCTGAATAGAGGAAGGAGCCAATATTCAAAGCAATAAAAAATACTCATGAAGTTATAGTGTGTTCATTTTTCTTGTTGGTGGTGAAAAGGATGTTTTCCCTGACATGATTTTCATATCTGCAGGAATTACTGTGCCTCTTTAGAGGTCAGAGATAAAGTTGGTCTCCCATGGGGTTAGAAACACAGGAGAGAGCCTCACAGCTTTGTTTCTTGAGGAAACTTGGTGTTCTTATATTTTGCGGTTTCTCTAAGACAGAGTTCGTGGTGTGGTTTTATTTCCTCTGATCATGGTATAGGATACACACACCTCACAAAGATGGTAGAGCCTGATGCCAGCTTTGGCTTCTCATTTTTGGTATTTATTGCATAAATTTTAAAACAGTCACATCCATTTGTGGATTTTTCCCTTCATTATTCTTAAAATACACTTCTGTGTCTCATTAATACTTTCGCCTTGAGGGTGTGATGTTAATATCCCAACTCCATCTTTTATTGCTTAGCATTTACTTTCTATTTTCTTGTCTGCCTTTTTAATCTCTTTGAATTACTGTTTTGAATATGCCTTTTCTATTAATTATTTAGTTAGTATTTTGATTCAACCTGAAAATTAAGTTTATCAGGTGAATTTACAGTATTTACCTGTATGGATATAACAGATAATTTAGTCTTCATTAGTCAAAATTCTATTGTCTGATTTTTTTAATGCTGCCTTAGTCTGTTTGTTATCGATTAACTGGGAAGGAGAGTGTTTAGTAGCACTCTCACTATAATAAGGAGCAAAAGAAAGATTCTACCACCACCACTACTATCTGACTTCTTTAATCGTTGTTTTCTGGAGGTAATGAGTCAATGCAGTGAGGAAAGAGCAAGAAATAGGAGTTAAGGCAAGAATATCTAAGAAAACAAACTCAAAGAGATTACAAACAATTAGAGAATGCAATAATGTACCTAGTTAAGAACAACAGACATTAGATCCATTGTTTGACCAAGTGCAAAAAAAAAAAAAAAAAAACTGGAGAAAAATATCATAAAAGGGAAGATGCTAGTAATAACAGCAACTAAAAAATTAAAATATCTAAAAATCAGTTAACAAGAAATACACAAGACCTATAGAAGAAAACCATCTCGTTTCACTATTAATGTCCTTGCCTTAAATTTCTATTTTTGACTGATACTAATATTGCTATATCAGCTTTTATTAGATTGGTATATTTATAATGCATCTCTTTTGATCCTTGAATTTTTCTCTTTTTAATATAGTCTGTATTAGGTTTATCTCATAAATTATAGCTAAATGTTTTAAACCCACTTTGATAAACTCTATATTTTAATAGAAGACTGATCTATTTGCATCTATTAAAAATGCTAATGTATTTGAACTTATGCATACTATTTTGTTTTCTGTTCATAAGTTTCTTAATTTTTCCATTCTTTTTCATCTTCCATTGCATATATAATTTGTTTTCTTCATTTTTCTTTGATTAGCTTAGAAGTTATAGAGTTTGTCTTTTTGGTTGCTTGCTTTTACCTATCTATATTTTTTGAATGAAATCAACAATTACTCTGTGTCCTAAGAACAGATGAATAGAAGTTTGCCACACTACAAAATGATGTGAAGTTCCAGGCACAAAAGCAGTGGGTCATAAACCGGCCCACAAAGTGGTTTTAAAATACACATCAATATTTTAAAACAAAGAGATGTAAGAAATCAGCATTTCTAGCTGCTGATAAAAAAAGAAAAGTTTAGACAAAATTGGACTTGCACAGTCAAAGGGCTGGAGTGGAGTAGTTCTGTCCCTTTCAATAGAGTACAGGTCTTCTCACCCTTGGGTCACCTGCATGTCCTCTGCAGGCCTTCGTATGACCACTTGCAGAAAGTCCTGCAGATTTCTCTTTTTTGTTGATGTTGTTGTTGTTTTTGTTGTTGAGATGGAGTTTCATTCTTGTTGCCCACACTGAAGTGTAATGGTGAGATCTCGGCTCATCGCAAACTCCACCTCCCATATTCAAGGGATTCTCCTAACTTGGCCTCCCAAGTAGCTGGGATCACAGGCATGCACCATGACACTCAGCTAATTTTGTATATTTAGTAGAGACAGGGTTTCACCATGTTGCCTAGGCTAGTCTTGAACTCCTGACCTCAGATGATCTGCCTGCCTCAGCCTCCCAAAGCACTGGGATTACATGCCTGAGCCACCGTGCCCAGACCGTCCTGCAGATTTCAAAGATGCACAGAAGACATTTAGAAACGGTTTTAGAGCAGAAGAGCAATAGAGGATGATCTTTGTTTTCATGAAGCAACTCTGGTAGGGCAGTGGGTGGGTGATAGGAAAGGGAACAGTTTGAAAGCAGAGGAACCAGTTGGGAGGCTGTCGGAATAGTCCAGGAGAAAAATAGTCAAGTGCAAAACCAGTCAGTAACAGAACTGAAAGAGGGGATACAGAATCAGATAATTTTTAGAAGCAAGTTAGAAAGAATTGGAAATGGGTTGAAAGCAAAGTAAGTCAAAGATGATTCAAATGTTTCTCACTTTGGGGATTGTGTGCTGCCATCAATTAAGACATGAAGCTCAAAAGAAAGTGAAAGTTTTGGTGGAAAACCAATGTGTTTTGTGATCTCTCCAGATGAGAGGCTAGATCTTAGTTATCTCTGTGTCCTCAGCTCCTAACACATCCCCTGTAAGGGGTTCAATAAATAAATGTGGAATTGAACTCAATTAAGTGTATTGATTTTTCATTGTTTGTGGGAAGGTCATCCAGGTGGAAATGTCCAAAAGTCAATTTGTCATTTTAGAGCACAAGAGAAAGGTTAAATCTGGAATACATGTAGGTGTTGTCAGCATATTTACTTTCTTGCCCGATTGCCACAATTTATATTTTATTAAGGCATACTTATTGATGTATTTTTTTTTTTTTTTTTTTTTTTTTTGAGACGGAGTTTCACTCTTGTTACCCAGGCTGGAGTGCAATGGCGCGATCTCGGCTCACCGCAACCTCCGCCTCCTGGGTTCAGGCAATTCTCCTGCCTCAGCCTCCCGAGTAGCTGGGATTACAGGCACGTGCCACCATGCCCAGCTAATTTTTTGTATCTTTAGTAGAGACGGGGTTTCACCATGTTAACCAGGATGGTCTCGATCTCATGACCTCGTGATCCACCCGCCTCAGCCTTCCAAAGTGCTGGGATTATAGGCTTGAGCCACCGCTGATGTAGATACTAATAAGTTTATGATTTTGTTTATTCTTATGATAGTCACTTGTGCTTAATATTTTGTAACAATAAGTAGATACTGATATTTCCGCTACCTCTTCTCCTGTGCCTACAGCAGCGTATGTAACTCATAATAAAATCTTTTTCACCAGAAGATATTTCTGACAGACTCTGCGATGATTATAAATTTAATTTCTTATAGAGTCATCAAACAATGTAGAAAGCACTTAATTTAAAAACAAATATTCAACTCTTATTTGACTCCAGTTTCAAGTAGCAATTAATTTCAAGAAAAAAAGGAATATTCACAATGATATTGGTATTGTGATAAGCAAACATTGATTGTTCACTCAAAGATAGTATGTACACAATGACTTTTTTAAAACATCAAGTAACTATTGTTTAAACTGTTGACTTATTTTTTAGCCTAATTATTTTTATGTCCAGGAAAAAAAATTTGGTATCCATTTTCATATGCACCATATACTTTCTCTCCCAGGATTTCTCTATTCCTTTTCTTTTAAGAAGCATATAAGTGAAAAAATAAAAAAAAAAGAACAAAAAAAAATAAAACATCAAAGGTAGACAGCTTTCTTCACAGTTTCCTGTGGCCTTCATCTTCTTTCACAGTTTCCTACGGTACTTGATAATTCAACTCTTAAAAGACCTCAAGGGAGGCCAACCTCATAACTCTGCATGTTTCCTGCCTGGAGACACAACAGAATAGTGTGTTGCCTTGGTGCCCAACCTACAGGAAGTCAGCATTATCCAGAGGCAAGTGCCATCAATAGCTATGACGACATGAAGGAGAAGCAGGAATTCACCAGAGAGGGCTCTCTTCTATTTTCTAATTGATGTTTTTTAATTTCTCTCTTCTCTTACTTTTCATTGACAAAGGAGAAGATACGAAAAAAAAAAAAAAAGAGTAAAGTATGATGTCTCCATGCACCTGTCACCCAGCTACAAAACCCAGCTCTTGGCTCCTGCTTGTTTCATCTTTTCTCCCATCTGCTTCTTCTCTTATCCACAAGTGGGATATTTTGAGGCAAATCTCCACTAGTATACGATTTCATTCATAAATATCTCAGTATGCATTGCAAAAAGATAATAACTCTTTTTTTAAACATAGTCAATGTATCAGGCCAGGCACAGTGGCTCACCCTTGTAATGCCAACAGTGTGGGAAGATTACGTGAGCCCAGGAGTCTAAGACCAGCTTGGGCAACAAAGTGAGATGTCTCTACAAAGAATAAAAAATTAAAAGAAAAAAAAAAAAAGCTGGGCATAGTGGTGTCCATCTGTTGTCACAGCTACCTGGAAGTCTGAAGTGGGAGATTGCTTGAGCCTGGGAGGTCAAGGCTGCAATGAGCTGTGATCACACCAGTGTACTCCAGCCTGGGAGACAGAGCAACACCCTGTCTCAAATTTAAAAAATAAATAACATAAAATAAAATAAACATAGTTAAAATATCATCATCCTTACTTCTCCAAGAGAAAGCAATACTTTCTAACATCATCAACTATTCATACTGTGTCCAAATTTCCCTTACTGTCTAATATGTTTGTTTGAGCTGGTTTGAATATGAATCCAAACAAACCACATATTGTATGTGTATTGTATTTTCATCCCTTTCCATTAGAAGGCCCATAGTGAGGGCCTTCTAATAGAAAAGGATAAAAAAACTATCAAACAAATACAATATGTGGTTTATTTTCTGGCAATTCACTTGTTAAGGAAACCAGATCATTGATTCCTGCATGGTTTATAATATTCTAAGATTTTGCTGCTGCCTCTCTGTGTCATTTAATGTGTTCCTGTAAATTGATAGTTAGCCTTAAGAAGCATGACTTAATTCAGATTCAAATTTGGGGCAGAATGTTTTGTATAGGCACATTATATCCAGTTGTCTTTCTTTCAGTGATATTACTAGCCATCAGTGATTAGTGCCTAGATCTATTATTTCATGAGGGGTTTAAAATACGGTAATATTTTGTCATTCCTTCATAATATATTAGCTCACATACACATATGTGTAGAAATCTTTCTTCACCAGCTCTGGTCATTCTGAAGGCATTACTCAGGAAAAGCAAGTTAAATGCTTAATTCCTTCACAAATAATACATTTTTAGAATAATAAGTGGGTTTCCTATCATCCTCTAAAGTTTGAATATCATTTTGTAGTGATGAATTTTAACATGTGATGTGTTTCTATGTGGTTTTCATGATTTCCTGTTGTTGCTCAGATTGTCTCATCTTTGGCCACTAGAAGCCTCTTCAAGTTGGCTTCTGAGACTTTTTGATACAAACCCAGTAGTCTTTGTTGATTTCCTTACTCTTTTCTGTGACAAGATAAATATCTAGTCTACTTATTACTCCAAACTGGGAATCAGACCTTTCACCAAAATACCTCGGCTTCTTTTAGTGGTAAATGGCATTTGAAGATCAGAGTTTGGATGTCATCTGATTATTAATACTATGAACTGTGAGAAATACCAATCAATTAATAAACTCAGTACTCTTGCTATCATAATTATTTGATGTATACTTAATTTCCTTGCTAGACTGCAATATCCACGAGGACAGGAACCACATTGATTTTTGCTCACCACTGCATCCAGAGTGCTACACAAGAGCCTAAACGCAGACCAATATTTTGTAGAGGGTTGATTAGTGTATCCCAAATCTCACGTCTGCCTGGAGCCCCAGAATGTACTTAGTTAAAATGAGATCAGACTGGATTAAAATGGGCACAAAATCCAATGATGACATGCTCATAAAAAAAGGAGAGGACACACACCGGGAAAGGGGAATAAGGCTGTGTGGAGATACAGGCAGAGATTGGAGTTGTGCAGCTCTGATCAAGGAATGCCAAGGACTGCCGGAAACCACAAGAAGGTGTAAAGGCAAGGAAGGGTTTGTTTCTAGAGCCTTCAGAGAGGGCAGGGCCTTGCCAATACATTGATCCCAAACTTCCAGTCTTCCAGAGCTGTGAGACAATACATTTGTGTTGTTTTAAGTCATCCAATTTCTGGTTTAAGGGAGCCCTAGGAATCGAATACAGTGACAACTAGATTACATTTATACTGCATGGGAAAGTGTGAAGTTTAAAAATCAGTGTGTGCCAGGCATGTTGGCTCATGGTAATCCTAGCACTTTGGAAAGCTGAGGCTGGCAGATCACCTGAGGTCAGAGGTTCTAGCCTGGCTGACATGCTGAAACCCCATCTCTACTAAAAATACAAAGATTAGCCAGGTGTGGTGGTGCACACCTGTAGTCCCATCTACTCAGGAGGCTGAGGCAGTTGAATCACTTGAACCAAGGAGGCGGAGGTTGCAGTGAGCTAAGATCATGCCACTGCACTCCAGCCTGGGCAACAAAGTGAGACACTGTCTCAAAGAAAAAAAAAAAAAAAAAAAAACAGGCCAGGCACGGTGGCTCAAGCCTGTAATCCCAGCACTTTGGGAGGCGGAGGCGGGTGGATCACGAGGTCATGAGATCCAGACCATCTTGGTCAACATGGTGAAACCCCGTCTCTACTAAAAATACAAAAAATTAGCTGGGCATGGTGGCACATGCCTGTAATCCCAGCTACTCAGGAGGCTGAGGCAGGATAATTGCCTGAACCCAGGAGGCAGAGGTTGCGGTGAGCCGAGATCGCGCCATTGCACTCCAGCCTGGGTAACAAGAGCGAAACTCCGACTCAAAAGAAAAAAAAGAGAGAGAGAGAGAAAAAAAACAATTTGTCACAGAAGATAATTAATCTAAATAATCATTTTAAGTCTGGTGTTCTGGATGCAGAGTTAGTGCCCCCTTTCCTGTTTTCCCATAAAGAGAGTCCCCTCTGATATCAGGAGCTTAACCCACCCCTCATGCCTAAGAGCTCTCAAGGCTCAGTGATGGCAGCTGGAGAAGATCCATTAATACAGAATACAGGATAGTATACAGATTCCTGCGGGGGAAATATTGCGGTGGACATGAGTGAGGTCCATGTAAGCTGCTAGGGAAGTGACAGTGAATAACTGAGGGCAAAGGAAAGAAACTGCAAAGAAAAGAAATATGGAACTTTAAGACAAGTATGTAAAACCCTGGTGACTTGGAGTTGCTATCAGTCTCCCAGTTTGAGGTGTTATTTTAGTGAGACCCACCCAAGATCTCTTTGGTCATCAATTTGCTTCTGTGATAATAACTATATCCTCTCTATTGCTATTCTCATCTAGTGTCTCAGTCAAGAAAATTATATTCCCTTCCATAAATTCTTTCTTCCTTTCATTGTGTGGTATGAGGAGGCCCTTGTCTCCAGAGACAGGGTTTGGACACCAGACCAGATTGAGGACTAGCTAAACCAGGGCACAAGTAAAAGCATCTTTCAGACAGGTATGCCATGTCAATTTACTGTTGCCATGGCCACACCCAAGTTATCTCCCCATTCAATGGCAATGACTCAAAAGTTACTACTTCTTCCCTAGAAATCTCTGCCTAAACCACCCCCTAATCTGCATGCAATTAAAAGTAGGTACAAATATGACTCCAACACTGCCTGGAGATGCTCCTCTCTGCCTGCTGGATAGCCCGGCTCTGCAGGAGTGGTCTTGCTGCTGTAACTCTGCCTCTTCGGTAACTCTTGTTCTTCTACCTCTAGCTTGCCCTTGAATTCTGTCCTGGGGAAAGCCAAGAACCCAGCAGGCTAAGCTGCACTTTGGGGCTTGCCTGCCCTGCAACAACTGTATCATTACACAAGAAAATTCCTTCTCCTCATTCATTACTGGAAATACAATACCCTAAAGAGCTAAACTTTAACATTGAGTCAATCAGTTTCTGAATGCTAAAAACAAAATATCCTCACTTAAATTGTTCCAAATTATAGAATGGATAATATTTAACTTAGAAATTCTGCATGGCAACTATAAAGTTCAGTTATGACTTTACATTAATGCCTTGTTCAGTAAGTGCAAAATTGAGAACTATATGCTTCCCTTTGTTTTAAAGGTAGCCCAAAAGTCTTTTGAGTGGGATTATCATCGAAGATCCCACCTCTAACTTTCTCCATGCTTTATATCATACTTGGCTTGATTGAGAGATTAGCTTCCTGTGGTAGAAACACTACTCAACTTTAAATCATAAGATCTGGATCTGAGCCCTGGCTCTGCTAGTCTTAAGCTGTGTAAAATTGGACAGGTCACTTAAGCATGATTAAAAGAGGAAGAAAAGGTATATAAGTATCTGAGGTCAGTGCCTGGTACACAGCGGGCATTTAATAAAAATAGGCAAGGTGTGCAATTAGATCAACAATGTAACAATCAGGAATGAAGGGCTGTGGAGGGAAAAGCTCAGATTCTGAATCTGCCACTCTCTGGTTTGATAGTTGAACCAATTGCTTGGACTCTCCAAGCTTCAGGTTCCTCCTCTGTGGAAAGGAGGAATTAATTTCCTCAACCTATGGTTCTCTGCAAATATTAAAAACCATAATCCCTAAGAATAATTTAGCATAGTGTTTGGTACACTGTCCATATTAATATTTTTGTTGTTATTATTCATATTATTTAACGTTTCAGAATAGATGCTTTAGCCATCCAAGTGGTTGGATGCTTTAAATGCAAAGATATTGAAACAAAATATTGTTTGGGTTACTTTTAATTAAATTCAGATTAATCCTAAATTATTATAAGCTAAACCCTGAACTTTAAAATGAGGATAATGGTATTATAAAAAATAAAATGTGAGAAAAGACAATTTTATCACCAGGATGTAATACATAGACAATGCATTCAACTCATATGCTTTCTCTCAAAGTGTGTTTCATTGAAATACCAAGATAGGTATTCATTTGATCACTTCTGAGGCATTGGGAAATGACCTTTTCCCAGATTATCTTCTGTTTCCTTATAATCAATAGTCAACCATTAGAGATTTAATCTTTTGACTTAAAAATACATTCTCTGGAAAGAAAACAACAAACTATCAGATGTGAACATCTAAGTAGAAATGAGGTTATCAGAAGCGTTCCAAAAGAGAGCATGGGTGCATAAATATTCCAGAAACAGAAATAGCAACTTACAAAAGGGAAAAGAAAGGTGAACAGATGCTGTGAAGATAAACTTCACTTTCCTCCCAGCTAAAACTGTCTCCAAACATTGGCAGAGACGACTAGGAATTTTTATAGATAACAACTGCTTTCTTTAAAAAAAAAATCATATGTGTTCCTGCATTTCTGTAATCATGAGAAACAAATTTGATTAAAAGATTCCCAAGCCTTTAGCCAATTTTTTTTCTTTTATATTCTGCCAGTGATCCAGATATTTCTGATATTTGAATTAAAAGAACATGATAGTGCTAATAGAAAACCACCCTATCAAAATGTTTTTATAGTATCTGCTCTGGAGCTATAATTTTACTAAGGGTGACACAATAAAATGACAAACTTTTTAAAAAATCACCTATTTTTAGTCTTGTCTTACACATAAAATTATGTGTTAGATTGGCAGTTCTGACTTTTGGCAACAAAAAACACAGCATCAGGAAAGTATAATTATAAAATCACTCTAAAACTATTTTGTCATGTAGTATGGCAGGTAAATAATGGTTGCTTTAGTGAGCAAGAGAAAAAGAACGAGAGACTGTTCCTGATTAAATGGGTCTAAGAGAAATGACAACTAAAGCAAGTAAGTGATCTTTGACTGAAACTATAGAGCTATAAAGGACACTTTAAAAATGGTTGCTTTAATATGAAAATTATTTTAGTAACTGGTTATGCAAATGTGGGCATTTGTTCAAGTGAAGGTTAAGACTGTGAGAAGGAATGGCTGATGCCTCCAGAGAATTTTGTTTTTTATTCTCAACAAAGAACAAAGGAAGCCTACGTTTTTTTCTTTTGAGTAATCTAAAACAATTTAGCGTCGCTCTGTTGTCCAGGCTGGAGTGCAGTGGCATGAGCTCAGCTCACTTCAACCTCCACCTCCTAAGTTCAAGTAATTCTCCTGCCTCAGCCTCCAGAGTAGCTGGGATTACAGGCATCTGCCACCACCCTAATTTTTGTATTTTTAGTAGAGATGGGTTTTCGTCATGTTGGCCAGTCTGGTCTTGAACTCCTGACCTCAAGTGATCTGTCTGTCTCGGCCTCCCAGAATACTGGGATGAGAGGTGTGAGCCACTGTGCCTGGCAACTTACTTCTTTATTTAAAAGTACATTTAAAATTTCAAAAGCAAAATGTATGTTTTTCAAAAATTCCAATACTTTCATGTATCCTCAGCTTAGCTCCTCTCTGTCAATTGTTTGTCTAGTACTCTTTGCATCTGTGCAGACAGTTTGCATTTATGGAGACAATGCAGCCAGAAGAAATGTTCTTCAAACTTCATGGTCAAGATTATCAAATACTGACACAGGGGTTTAATAACAGCTAAAGATGGGTCTTTGCAGACAAGGGAGTCTTCATAATTGGGGCCTTTTCACCATTTCGCATAGGGTTTAACTGAACCGTTTGTTTTATGATGAAATCTTTAACTATTCAAATATGAATCATGGATATTTATAGCCCAGTGTTGTCCAATTTAACATTTCACGCTTCTAGCTGCTGAAGCCAGAAAAGGGCATCAGGAGGCAAACCTTTAAATATTTCTGAAGTTCAGTTTAAGTACTCACCTCAAATTCTAGCTGGGTTTCTAAAGCTTGATCATTTTCTACAAGTCTATAACATCTACTAGATGGCAAGAAGTCCAATGAGCCTCTGGACCTGGGTGAGACAAAGAGCCACTTCCTATCTGTCTGTGGAGAGGGAAACACTCTGAGAATAAACACTTCTGCAATTTGGCACATTGTTTTCAGCCCTAACTGAAACTAGAAAATGCAGGGAAGTGTGGTCATGAAAATAACAGGATCAGAAGAGTGTAGAAATTAGCTGGCTATTTTTCCCCCTACAAAATTCATAAAAATAGACTAGCTTGAGTGTCAGGTATGATTTCTGGGTTTTATGTAAGAAGAGATGTCTTATGGCTGAAACCATGAAACCAACAAGAAAATATCCTTCACCTCCCTGTGACTCAGGCGCATTGCAAAGGCACAAATGCAGGGGTGGGGCTGGAGATGGTGATTCTTTCGAATTAAAGTCCTGGCTCAGGTAGTTGTGGGTATTCCGTGAGACTACTTCTGAGTATTTAGGACAGTGCCTACTTTGTGGAATTACTCAATACATGGTCATTGGTGCTGTGGTTGTTACAGCTTCATTCTAACTTTGAAAGCATCCTTGAGATACTTCATTCATGGAGAGCAGTGCTTCTATGTTAACATAAATCCACATAAATTATGGGCAGTTGGGGTAATTTTTTCCTTACCATCAGAAACTTTAAAAATGACTTCTCAAGATAGGAAGGAGATAGATTTTTATACATGTACATTAGACTGTAAATCTCTTGAAGAAGTTTTATCTCCCCACTCAAACAGTGTCCAGCATAATGCATGTCATGACATATCATATGTCCTTAATAAATGTTGCCATCTAGGATAATAGGTAGGAGCATAAACTCTGGACCCAGGCTATTCTATTCTTGGCTCTTCCGCATAATTGTGTAACCATGGGCAGGTTACCCAACCTCTTCAAGTTCAGTATCCTCACCTGTAAGTAGGGATATGAATCTACCTTGGGTTGCCGTGAGGATTAAATGAATTAGAACACGTCAATTGTTCATAATAGTGCCTACCATCTTCATATGCTGTCTGTTTGCCATTATTGTTATGATGATGAAGAAGGTAATGCCCACTCCCCACCCAAAGCACTAACTTTAGAAATACCTTATAGCTTAAGGACATGCCCTCTGCCTCCTCTCCTGGTACTTAGTAATCTTCTAAGAAATAGATACGGTTGTTTGTTTTATATCTGTTACTAGATCATGACAACAGCTACTAAGTGAAACACTTTCTACCTGATTGCAATTTTTTTTTCCAGAAAAAAATTTTTTACAACAATTTTTTTTCAAGATGCCAAAGAAGTTGTCAAGCACCTCTGCTATTGTTCTCAACATGCAAACTTGAGTTTTTTTCTTGCTATTTTGTAAGCATCACTTGAAAAATGATTGAACTCTGATATTTAGGCTGTATTTCAGAAAATAGAACACTCACCAAATTATTGATATAACTATATATACTAGTGGCATTGTCTAACCCTATTGGGGTTTTGGCAGCTATCAAATTAGCCTGTTCAAGAATAAATAAGACACAGTAAACCTATTCTCTCTAAAAATCAATATATAATGCTTTTATTTCACCTTGGCTACTGGATTTGTCAGAATAATAATTTTGCTGTGAAATTGACACAACAAAAAATCATTATTCTGATACAAACAAGTAAGAATAAGCCAACAACCGAGCTGCAGAAAGAAAAAATGTGTCAGGAAGTAGTTTCCGCCATGAAATGAGAATCCAAGCCTCAGCATGAGCAAGAACAATTCTCTCTTGCAAGAGCAATTCTCTCTTGCAAATTGCCCTTGTTGCAGCTGAATGATCATATCTCCACCTGTGCAGCAATTCTTTTACCCAATGGCCATAAGCATTGTGAAAACTGCATCTCATCTCTCCTTAGTCAACTGTGCTAGTAGATGAGACAACAATAACATCAAACAGAGTGTGTACTAGATTCATTTATCATGCAGAAAGGACCATCAACTAATGTCTGGATTATATCTGACCTTATATTCTAAAATGCTGAAGGTGCAGCAGCTCTCTCCTCCGAAAGGCAGTAATTGGTTCTAATTTCAGTTGACAAGTCTTATATAAAGCATTTCTGTTTTTCCTTTGTTTCCTGGCATCTAAACAGTTTGAAAGGAATGAGAATTAAAAGCCAGAGAGAGAAGACTAGGAAGAGATAGAGGCAAAGAGGGGAAGGAGGAGGTGCTGTGGAAAGGGGGAGACATATTAAGACTACAAGCTTTGCATGCCACAGATGGAATTATGATAGGCAAATTCCCTTCCCCTCCCCAGCCTCCATTTCCTTAGCAAAAAGGATAAAATCTTTCTAGAGGTGTTCTCAGAATTTAATGAAATATTAAGCACCTAGCACAATGAATAACAGTATTATTAAAATTATCTTTCAAAATGAATCTTCTTCTTGGCCTTTGAGGTGGAACAGAGACCTCACTGCTCCCTTGTGTAAGAGAATTGAAGTCAAGCTGGAGTAGACCTTGGAAGGTGAAATGAAGTCATTTGGAGTCCATAGATGACCAGGACACTGGAACCCTGAGTTTACAGGGAGGTATGATACCTGGACCACTGAGTCTCTATGTTGGCAGGGAGATCATCATATGAAATGCAGTCAGGTGAGCCTAGAAGACCTTCCTTATGTTCTCCTGTCTTCATCTCCTCCACTCCATGATCAGCATCACAACTCTCCCTTCTTACCAAAGCCATTGTAAGAAGAGGAAACTATTACATCAAATATTGTGGCTATGGAGGCTTAGCAGGAGGCTTACAAAAGAGCTCTTCACATTGCAAACTTCCTGACAGCTTGGAAGCCATCACCATGACATTTGCAAACCCCTTTTATGATTACCTTGAATGTAGAGAATGTTAAGAGCCTAGAGAAAGCATAGCCTACAACATGAGTACTTGAGGCTTTCTCCTATACTCACATGGGAAGGATGATTTCTTTTTATTATTTACCTTACCAATTGTTATTGTTGCACAGCATCTGTGCCTAACCTTTGAGTCTGAGGCATGAAATTAATAATTCACAAACAGCATAGGGGGAAAAAAAACAGTTTAACTTCCATGTATCCCAAGTTCAAAAGTTAAAAAAAAAAAGACCCAGAGAGCTAAGTTATACAGCAGAGGGAAAACATAAGTTGGGGTATGTAGTTAGAAACAAAGAACCCTGAAGTCACATAACACCTTCAGAAGGAGGAGCACAACCTGGACTCAGTTCTCTGTCCAGTCCCTCTGCCCCAATAATACCCAGGGGACAGAGTTTAGTGCTGTCTTAGGCAGAGAAGAAAAGGCAAGAGAAAGGATTATTTTTTTTTCTTTCACTTTCTGTCTTGGTTAAGCTCCAAGGAAAAGTGAGCTTCCAGTGGCAGTGAATAAATGAAACTGCAGAGAGGTTTTGTTTTACCTCTTTAAATTCAGTTTAATAAAATTTCTACCAGAAAACACCCTGATGATGTATCTTCAACTAAGAGATGGGCAGCTCTACCTATTCAACACCAGACAACACACCCCTTCTCCAACCCTTTCATCCTCTATTAAATGCCCAAGACATACATGAGAAAGAACAGGAGATGCCATACATTCCTTCAACTTTTTTTTCTTTTTGGTTCTTATGGAAAAGCAAACTCTCTCACCAAGAAACATTCACTAAACATATCTATAACATACTAGGTTGCATTGCTTTCTTCATTGTGTTCCTTGACAACACAGCCCCTCCTTCTCACTTCAGCATCAGGAGATCTGGTTGGTACCAAATCATTTCGCACATTACGATCTTGTTGTATGCTTCGGTATAGTGGCTAACAGCATAGAGTTTGAATATAAGCAAGAAAATAAAAAAAATAGATAAATTGAACTTTATCAAAATTAAAAATTTTGCATCAAAGAACACTATCAACAGAATGAAGACACAACCCATGGGACGGGAGAAGATATTTATAAAGCATGTATCTGATAAGGGATTAATAACCACAATATATAAATAATTCTTACAACTCAACAACAACAAAACAACTCCATAAAAAAAAAGCAAAGGACTTAAACAGACCTTTCTGTAAAGAAGATTTACAAATAGTCAATAATCCTTAATAAAATACAAATCAAATGGCAGTAATCCTAAATTTAAATCAACTAAATCCCTTAATCAAAAGATACAGCCAAAACCCAACGGTATGCTGCCTCCAGACTCATTTTACATGCAAGGATACGCAAACACTCAAAACAAAGGGATGGAGAAAGATTTACCAACCAAATGGAGAGCAACAATAAATAAATAAATAAAAAGCAGGAGTTGCAATTCTCGCCTCTGATAAAATAGATGTTAAAGCAACAAAGATATAATGGTAAAAGGATCAATGCAACAAGAAGAGCTAATGATCCTAAATATATATGCACCCAATACAGGAACACCCAGATACATAAGACCTATAAAGAGACTTAGACTCCCTGGACTCCCACACAATAATAGTGGGAGACTTCAACATCAATATTAGATAGATCAATGAGACAGAAAATTAATAAGGATATCCAAGACTTGAACTCAGATTCGGAACAAGTAAACTTAATAAACATTCACAGACCTCTCCACTTTAAATACACATATATACATTCTTATCCGTATCACATCACACCTACTCATAGGTTTAAATGAAATATTGATCGGCCATTATTAAGCACAATTATTGGCATAAAAGAGGTTTCCAATACCCATTTTTAGAATAAAACAACATTCCTGTTCTCTCTCCCTCTTTTTCTTCCTCTGTCTTCCCCTCCTTCATTCTTTTATTTTCTTTCCTTCTTTCTTTAAAAAAAAGAGCCATATAAACACTTATACCTTTTACTTAATTACATTTGTAATAATATATCAAAAAAAAGAAGATGATTTGCTCTACATACCATCTTCTTTTCTACTCCCTGACCTTGAAAATGTATTTGTCTTCTTGCCTGTTCTCCTTCCAGACCTACCACTTTACTACCTATATTCTAATGATTTTCATATTTGTTTCACTTTTTTAAAACATGTATGTGGCAAAAAAATACAAATCAAAACCACAATGAGATAAAATTAGGGTGACAATTATAAAAAAAAATTCTTGACGAGAATGTGGAGAAATTACTGGGAATCCTTGTATATTGCTAGCGGGAATGTAAATGCTCCAGCCACTGTAAAACACAGTATGGCAGTTCCTCAAAAAATTAAACAGAATTACCATAGGAAATAGCAATTCCACTTCTGGGTATACATCCTGCTGTGGTTTGGATGTGGTTCATTTCTGCCAAAACTCACATTGCAATTTAATTGCCAGTGTAACAGTGTTGGGGGGGATGAGGCCTTTAAGAGGTAATCAGGTCTTTAAGGTAGATTAATGTTTTTCTTGAAAGACTTGTTTAGTTTTTTAGGAAATGGATTAGTCATCACAGAGTGCACTGTTACAAAAGCAAGCTGGGCTTCTTCAGCTTTCTCAGCTTTCTCCTTTCTTGGATCCTCTCTAGTCCTTTTGCCCCTACAGTGTTGCCTCTCTTGGCACCAGAGGTCAAGCAGATGCTGATGCCAGGCCCTTGGACTTCCCAGCCTCCATAATCAGAATAAATAAGTTTCTTTTCTTTATAAATTACCCATTGTCTATAGTATTCTTTTACAGAAACAGACAACAAACACATCTAAGAGAATTGAAAGGAAGGACTCAAATAGACATTGAAACACCTATGTTTATTTGCCTTTATCTATGGAGGCATTATTTACAATAGCCAAAAGGTGGAAGCCACCTAAGGGTCCACTGATGGACAAACAAATGTAGTATATCCATGCTTTAAAAATAAATGAAGTTCTGATAAACGCTATAACATGGATGAACTTTGAAGACATGCTAAGTGAAATAAGACAGATACAAAAGGACAAATAGTATATGATTCCTCTTATCTGAGGTACTTCATGCAGTCAAATCTGTAAAGACAGAAAGTAGAATGGTGGCTTCCAGGGACTGGAGGGAAGAGAGACATGAGGAGTTATTGCATAATAGACACAGTGTTTCAATTTGGAAAGATGAGCAAGATGGAGATAGATGGTGATGATGTTTGCAAAACAGTGTGAATGTACTTAATACCAGTGAAATTCACACTAAAAAAATAGTTAAAATGGTATGAAATGCATACTTTATCATAAAAAAAAGTAACAATTGAATTTTATAAAGAACATAAGTTATGGAGTCAAAGTGTCAAGGTTGGTACCCCAGCTACCCTATATACTAATTGTGAGGCAAGTAATTTAACCTCTCTGTGCCTCTGTTTTATCATTTGTAAAATGGGATAATCAGAGTACCTATATCATAAGGTTGCTTTGAAGTTTATACGAAATAATGAAAGAAAAATTCTGGCTCATAATTAATGCACAATACATTTGAATTATTATGTTGGTTTTTTTTTTGTATGGATGTTAAACACTCCTTGATGCTACAAAAACATGTCTATTCCTTTTCTCCTTCTCCCACAGAATATTTTCTATATATTGCTAAATATTTATTGACAGATTTATGTGTTCATACAATAATACATAAACTGACAATATCCATTTATGTATTCATACAATAATACATAAACTGATGTTGTCCCCCATAAACTGATATTGTCTTGGATTTTCAAACACCACTAGGAAGGATAGTGAACCTATTGATTCACTATCAGTGATTTTTTTTCAACACATAATGTAAATTAATATTGATCAATTCATATTTGTAACTAAGTCTCCTTAAACCAAAGATATGCATTTATAGACAGCTGGCTAAGGCTGAGGTATTATCTTAAAAATGACATAATTCACAGTACTATGTTCCAAGGCCAAGGGAATCATAAGATCTTCCCCTTGTTATTAGGTTATTCTAACCGACCTATAGAACCAGCCACAGAGTATAAAGCTACATAATTGTTTCAGACACAACTATCTAAAGAAAGATTCAAAGTAAGTTGAATAAATGACAAAAATCCTTGAGCCCCATAAACTGATATTGTCTTGGATTTTCAAACATCACTAGGAAGCATTAAGGTGTGAAGGACGTAGAAAGCAGCCCTGATGAGGTGTGGGTCCCTTATTACATTTAAGGGTAAACGTATTGAGGATGCCGTTAGTTTCAAGTTTTGACAGCATGAAATATTGGGCATTAGCTAATTCTCTTCATTTTAAACCAAACTATTTTAAAATCAAAGCCTCTACTCAAAATTGCTGTAATAAAATATTAATATCCATTCTCAAATAAAACCAATTATTTCTTAAATGAACCACACTTTCACAAGCTTTTCTTAAGATAAAATTCTTTTAAAATCTTATGATGATGCTAGCTTCTAAAATCTTCTATTGGAATGAGAGAAAATTCACTTAAGGGATTATTTCTCCGACAGTTTGAGTGACTATTTCCCCCAGACATCTTTCTCAGAGCCCACACCCTAAAGCGTCATAATTCCATTAAATCTGTGCACAGCTGGGCAATTCTTTCTTTGCTCACATTATAGTGATCCCCAGGGAATTTATGTAAATCTATGGAAATTCATTTTAAAGGCAGTGCTTTGAAAGGAAGGATGCATCCTCATTAAGTAAACAATTATATCTACAAACAGGCTACAAACAACATAGTGGAGAGCTAAATTAAACTTTCCATCAGGAAAACGAAACCATTCCCTTTCACATTTATGCTTTACCTAAATGCCACCAAAATTATAAGACAAAGGGTTCTGAAGTCAAAACAGATATCAAGGAAAGTGCAGCTGAGCCATGGTTACAGGGCATGGTCTCTAGCCTCCTTTCTGGTCCCACCACCTAATTCCACTTCTGGCAATGTCATAAAGGATGGCAGCTTTATAATTTAGGGACTCTTAGGAAAAACTTCTCATATAAGGGGGGAAAGAAATGACCTCTCCTACTTCCTACAGAGGGCATTCCAAGCCAACCTCAAGAAACTCTGATAAGACTAGAGAGTCTACAAAATAAAGGATGGGGTCTTTTGTTCTAAAAGAGGACAAGCTTTATTGTTAGACTTGCCTACATTTTAACTCTAGTTTCTTTACTTATTAACTGAGTAAATCACCTAGATTTTGGAGTCTCCGTTTCCTCATTTGTAAATTAGGGAAAATGATACTTCTTGACAGTGTTACATATTTTTAATAAGGAAAACTACATAAAGTACTTAGTTTGTGCCTGGAACATGGCTGGCGTTCAAATGCCTTTACCTGGACTACAGGTGAGGAAGTCTGAACAAGATGTGGGCTATAGAAATGAGGAGCTAAGTGGGAGGGAAAGAAATTTCTCCACTTAAAAATATGGGGTCCTCAAGCAACTTTGTGTCTTCCATCTTAGTAGCTCTGACTATCTTTCCTAATGCTAGAAAAGTCGGGCTAAGGCAATCCACAATAACGCTGACTTCAATATCATATCCCTTTTGTCTTAAGTCATTCCAACATTTACTCTTTCGGGCAGAGATCTCCTCACATCCCAAAACTCTATACTTTCTAGAGGTAACTACTTGGTTCTAAAGTCATAATGAAAAGTAAAATTCCCGTATCAAATTTACCCTTCAAACTGCCTTAGAAAGATAGAACACTGGGACAGTCTCACAGTAAGGCTGCTGTAGCCATTTCCCATCCATTCCTGGAACAGATTGCAGATTCTTTAGTTGAGTCCTGGGTGAAACAGCTGGCTTGAGTTTAAGATCCGTATTGTCCAAAAAATCATATTGTATCATATATACATGTATGTAAAATCTCACTGTATATAATAGATTCACATTCAATTTTGCTAGATGCTCATAATCCACGAGTTAAGTGGAAAGGAGACCGACTAAAGAAGCAGATTCCCACCTCCCTGTACACATTGAGTAAAATAATTAGCTTAGTTGGTGAATTGTGTGACAGCCTTTGTGTTAGATGTCCATCCCTATTCAATCCTCTTCTGAAAAATATGAAGAAATAGCCATGTCCCCTCAGTACAGGCTGAGATACGGGCAGGTGTTTTAGCCTCAGCACCTCAGCAAGCATAGCATAATGCAAAGATTTATGTGCTCACAAGGTCAGGAGTTCAAGACCAGCCTGACCAACATGGTGAAACCCTCAACTCTACTAAAATACAAAAAAATAGCTGGGTGTGGTGGCATGCACCTGTAATCCCAGCTACTCAGGAGGCTGAGAGAGGAGAATTGCTTGAACCCGGGAGGCAGAGACTGCAGTGAGCCAAGATCTCACCATTGCACTCCAGCCTGAGTGACAGAGCAAGACTCTGTCTCAAAAAAAAAAAAAAAGAAAGAAAGCAAAGAAAAGATTTATGTGCTACTATTTTTTTATTAAGGAGTAAAAGAAAACAACATAGGGAAGGAGAATCCGATTGGAGAGTGTGCTGCTAAACTAGTTAGCACTAATTCAGCCTGGTTCATGTCATAGAACTCTTCTATGGAAAGCCACATCAGCTGCACCTCAAGGCCATAGGTCGCTTAGAAGAAAGGGAAAGTATTTATCATTTATCTTCTTAGCCATTAGTCAAAAGTTTGTTCACTGGGACTTAATTCCCCTGAAATTCCAGACTGTGCATTTGTGGTACTAGGTAAGATTACTCAACTTCCTTTTCAACAGGGAAGTCCTGGATTGAGAGGTAAGAAGCACACGGCATGACCTTAAGGTAAGTCACGGTCAAGTTCTAAGTGAAGTCCTGAACCCAAGCACCACTGGTTACTGAAGCAGCAGTTGAAACAGAAGACACATGAAGTTGAGACATTGTGAACTGGTATAGATGAGGTGTTGGGTACAGAAAGCAATGATAGACATAGTTTGTTTAGGCTATAAAGTTTAGCAACTTCACATTTATTCTCAGTGTATCAAAAGAATACTAAATAAAATATTCCTATGTAATATATCATAAAATAATATTAGTTTTAGGTATTACATTCTTGGACTCCCAGTAGTAGAAATAAAATCATCAGCATTATTATTACCACCACATTGATTCCTTCTCTCACCTTTAACTTCTTAAAGGTTACCAAAACTTAAGTCCCTTAGAAAGTATCTTCCCTTTCCAGAACAATTCAGCCCTTTTGCCTTACCTAGTTAATTGAAAAAGAGCTTATAACCTGATTTCTCTAATCTTAGTCTCTTCCTAACTGCATTCAGATCATTCATAATGTCCATTCTTCTCTAATAGTTTTCATCAAATCTCTTTGTTTTCTATGAAAAAGTGATAATTTTTACTTTTTGGATAAATGTAACATTAAATGTTTTCCCTCCCCATCAAGTCATGAATATCAAACTCATTTAATATTTTTTCAGTAGAAATTCACCCTTAATTCTTTTTCAGAACACAATTTATGGACTTCCAGTCTAAAAAGTAATTTTGTTTTCATGTGTTTAACAAATCTGTATTCCTAAAATAATATTGAAATGACCTTAAAAGGTCATTTGGACCTAATGAAAGAACCTAATGAAAAATATAATGAAAACAGATGTAATAAAATGTTCTATATGAAGTAACTAGCAGTTTAGGTATAACTCAAGACAGAAGTAGGAAATTAGCAGATTTCTCTGAAGAAATTACAGAAATCGACAGAAAAAAGAAAATGCAGAATGTGAAAGATAGATAAGTGTACATGAATACTCTAATGAGAAGATCTCAAGAAGGAATACTATGAAGGATGAATGAGAAGAATATTCAAAAACATTAGACCGGAAATTTTTTTAGAATTGATGAAAGTTTCTGGAGAGGTACAGGAAGGATATCTGTGCCTACACATATTGTAAAAAAAATACAGAATCCCACAACTTAAAGTCTTAATACTAATGAAACAGAGCAGACCACTTATAAAGGAATGATAGAGTAGAAGCAGACTTCTCAATAGAAACCATGGAAGCTAGACGAGGAGTAATTTCTTCAGGAAATTATTTTTTAAGTGATTCTTAATCTACTATTTTGTATCTAAAAAATTTCTTCAAGATTGAGAGTAAAATGAAGACATTTCAAGTATTTTCAGATAAAATCTGAGAGACTTAGGGAAAGGAAAAGGGCAAGTGAAACTTAGAAAAAAAAATAACAAGCAGAGGACAAACAGAAAGATCATAGAAATAAAGAAAAATATGTCACTATTATATGTACAGACCAAGCTTGTCACTTAAAAAAAATTAAAGCTAACTAAATAAATTCAAATATATGCTCTATTTAAGGGACACACATAAAATAAGACAAAAAATGATTTAAATATATGTCTACTTTCACCACAGTTATTCAACGTAGTACTGGAATCTAGAGAGTCTAAGAAAGGAGAAAGAAATAAAGGGCATCCAAACTAGAAAGGAAGAAGTCAAAATATCGTTAATTGCAGATGATATAATCTTATATTAGGGAAAACCTAAAAACTCCACCAAAAACCTATGAGAACTAATATACAGGTTCAGTAAAGTTGAAGGATACAAAATCAACATACAAAATTAGTAGCATTTCTGTACCCTAATACTGAACACTAGAAAAAGAAATAAAAAAGGAATCCCAGTTACAATAGCCACACAAAAAATTAAATGCCAAGAAATTAAAGAATTGAAAGATAGCTACGATAATAATCACAATAATAAAAACTACAAAACACTAATATAAGAAATTGAAGAAGACCTCACAAAATGGAAAGATATTGTTAAATGTCCACACTACCCAAAGCAATCTACAGATTCAACATAGTCCCTATCAAAATACCAATGCCATTTTCACGGAAATTGAAAAATAAATCCTAAAATTTATATGGAACTGTAAAATAACCTCAATTATACTACAGAGCTATAGTAACCAAAACAGCATAGTGCCAACCCAAAAAGAGACACATAGAACAGCGGAACAGAACAGAGCTATCTCTGTAGTATAATTTAAAGTTAGGTAATATAATTCTTCCAGTTTTGTTCTTTTTGCTCAGATTAGCTTTTGCTATTCTGGGTATTTTGTGGTTCCATATACATTTTAGGATTTTCATTTGTTTTTGTGAAGAATATCATCCATATTTTGACAGAGATTGCATTGAATCTGTAGGTTGCTTTCAGTAGTATGGACATTTTGATGGAACGATACTGATTCTTCCAATTTATAAATAGGGAGTATTTTTCCTTTTTTTTTTTTTTGGTATATTCTTCAATTTCTTTCATCAGTGTTTTATCAGTAGCATTTCTATATTCTAATAGAAAGCAGTTTTTTTATAGAAATCTCTCCATTTTTTAAAATTCTTAGGTATTTAATTTATGTATGGCTATTGTAAATGTGATTTTGACTTTTTTTCAGATTATTCACTATTGGCATATAGAAATGCTACTGGTTTTTGTATGTTGACTTTAACAGAGGGACTATAGTCATTAATAATTTAATTATACACTTTAAGAAAATTCAAAGAGTATAATTGGAATGCGTGTAACACAAAGAATGCTTAAGGGGACTAATACTCCATTCTCCATTATGTGACTGTTACACATTGCATGTCATATCAAAACATCTGGTGTACCCCCTAAATACATATGCCTACTATGCACCCATAAAAACTAAATTTAAAAAAAAATCTTACAAATTAGAAAAAAGAGACAGTAGGTAAATAATAACTCAACAAAAGCTGCGAAAACTATAGCAATATTCTAAATATAGTCTCTGATGTAAAATAGATTATTAGCAAGAAGTGATACTATTTAAAATTTTAAATCTCAATAAAATATAACAACTCGATATGTAATACGAAGCTAAAGATAACCTCAAATTACACACAATGTAAAACATTTATGGAACTACAGAGAGAAATCAACACATCATTATAAAAGTATGAAAACTAAATACTCCTTTTTCAATTATTAATAGCAGAAAAATTCTATAAAAATGAAAATTTAGGACTATCAAAGCTGATTTAATGTATAGAGAGATTCCATAGTTTTCTCAAATACATATGGTACATTTATCAAAATTGAATAATTGAATATATTAAGGTACAAGGGAGAAAGTGTTATTTAATTTATATGTATGTATGTAAGTATGTGCATGTGTATATTTGTGGGAGTGAGAAAGTATGCATTCTACTTTTTCTGACTACAATGAAATTAAATTAGAAATCATTATCAATAAGATAAATATTTAACTTTTCCTTATGAAAATTTCTAACACCTATAGTAGATGAAATAATACATGGAATGCAATGTACATTTCAGCTAGCTTAAACAATTATTCAATTCATAGCCAATCTATATACTAATTCCCATTAATATTTTTCTGAAGCAAATTCATCCATAACTATTTGTCTGTAACTTTATAGAAGAAAGGCCTTTTTGTTTTCAATGTCCCTGATTATCTTATATTTTTGTTTGTTTGGTCAAGTCAGGATCCAAATTAGAATCACATATTGCAATTGATGGATATGTCTCTTAGGTCCCAAGGAGACATATTGTTAAGAATACACAATTAAAATTTTAAAACCATGTTTCTAAATAACTCATAGAACATGGGATCAATGTGATGGAGTAAAGATGGCCCCAGTTCTTCTTTACTAATCCCAATAAGAAGAGACAGGATTTTCCTTCCCTTGAATCTTTGTTCTATGACTACACTGACCAAAAATATGGCAGAAGCGATGCTTTGCCAATTTTATGTCTAGCCTTTAAGAGAACTTGCAACTTGTATTTTCTGTCTCTCAGAACATTCCTGGAGCACTGGCTGCAACATAAAAAGTCATCCTACTCGGTTGGAGAGGACGTGTGGAGTGTCCCTGTGCTGCCTGGGTAGAAGGAAAAACCGAGGTGAGCTCAGCCCTCCAGCTGTTCTTACCAAGGCACCAGGCATGTGAGTAGAGCTATTTTAGGCTCTCCAGATCAGACTAGCCACCAGCAAACACCACGAGATGAACCCAGTTAATATCACATGGAGCAAAAGAATGACCCAACCAAACTCTGAATTTCTGACCCACAAAATCATGAACTGTAATAAAATTATAACTATTTTAAGCCACTCAGTTTTAGCACACGTTATTAGACAGCAAAGGATTAGAAGAGACATAAAGAAAGCTAAAATTTTACTTTTTGAAAAGGCTGAGAAAATTTTTCTCTAGTGTTACTGATAAAAAAGAGAAAAGACACAAATAAAATATTTAAAAGGTCTATATATCAGACATTCAAAAGATAAAAGTAATAAATACTTGAAAATAAAGAAAACAAACTTCTAGAAAAAATACAATTTACCAAACAAAACTAAGTAGAAAATTACCAAATAAAATCATATATACCTAGATTTATATAACCACTGAGGAACTGAAACCAGTAAATTACATATTTTTCCATCCCTCCCCAAAACAAACAAGAATAAGAACAACGAAAGTTCAGATAGCTTTACAGGCAATTTCACTGTAATTGAAGGAGTCACACCTCCCCAAAACAAGCAATAAAAACAAGAACAACTGCGAAATCCAACACAGTTTTACAAGAAATTCTACCATAGATAGAAGAACAGACAAAATTTCCTTTACACACACACACACACACACACACACACACACACACAAAGAAGAAAGAAAGAAGGAATGCTCCAATCTCATCTTTTAAGGCAAGTATGATTCTCATATCAAAACTAGGAATAATATGAGAAAGGAAAATCTCCTTGGAGACCACAGATGTGAAAATCCTAAATAAAAATACCATTAAGGTAAACCTCCCATAATCTATAAAACCTCCCCTAATCTATACTGTCATGAGAGTTGATGCCAATAACGCAGTCGTTTATCATTAAAAAAAAATTACCAGTGTAATTCACTTCATTAACAGCTTAAAGATAAAAACTACAAAATCATCTTACTAGGACAGGCGCAGTGGCTCATAGCTGTAATCCCAGCACATTGGAAGGCTGAAGCAGGCGGATCACAAGGTCAGGAGTTTGAGACCAGCCTGATCAACACGGTAAAACTTCGTCTCTACTAAAAATACAAAAATTAGCTGGGTGTGGTGGCGCGTGCCTATATTCCCAGCTTTTTGGGAGGTTGAGGCAGGAGAATCACTTGAACCTGGGGGGCGGAGGCTGTGGTGAACCAAGATGCCTGGCCACTGCACTCCAGCCTGAGCAACAAGAGCGAAACTCCATCTCAAAAGTAAAAAATCATCTTACTAGATTCGTGTAAAGCACCGAATAAACATAAACTAGCCAAAGACCTCATGAAGAGATAAGGCAACATATTATTATATAGTCAATGAAAAAATATAGCAGTTAAAATTAATTTCACCTAGATACAACGAAGATAAAATTGTGAGTCTTGGATTTAAAAAGCAAATAAAAAGAAACAATTTAGTGCAATATCCCCTTTTTGTATACCCAGTGAAGACGGCATACATTTTATAATTCTTTTTACAACATTGTTATAAGTATGATATCAAAGGTTTAAACAATAAAACAATTGTTTATTTAAGCAAGTAATTATTTAATTATTAAACAATAATAAAATAAAACTGTGATACTGACACTAGATCACACAACAGAATTTTTTTAATTACATAAAAATTTTGAATTTGAGAAAAGTAGGGAAAAAACATTTGGAAAAATATTCAAATAAATATTGGAATATATCTTACATCAAAACAAATTCTGGAAGAAATAATTAAACGAAAAGAAAATCAATACTGTGAAAAAATAGTCAAATATTTATATGATCTTTTGGAGGCTCATGCCAAAAGAAGAAACCATAAAAGAGAACACTAACGGATTACATACTTAAAAAGTACGAAAGAGCAGGAAACGAATGAAAGCCGTGGTTAAAAGACAAATGGCCAACTAGAACACTAATTAGCATTATATGAGGCAATTATAACCTTAATATCAAAGCAAACCTTCTAAATTAATAAAAAAAGACCAATACCCAATAGGTATCTAACAAAAGGATATACATTGTCAATTATAAAAAGACATTGAATTTTAATTGAATTAAATTCAAATATGAAAAGCTGTTCAACATCAGAAGATCTCACAAAAACAACACACATTTTATTAAAGTACTATTTTTTCTCTAGCACTTTGCTATGATTTAAAATTATGCTAATATCTAGTAGTAGCATGGGTACAGGGAAATACATCTCATTCTTATGACATTATCAATTATGTATTTCTAGCAATCTGTTTTTCAACATGTATTAACATTCTTAAAACCCCTTATACTCTTTAACTCAGCTATTCCACTTCTAGAGACTTACAATCAGAAAACATCTGAGTGTATGTCAATTATATCTCAAAGAATTTGAACAAATTTGTTTTCAGTTAAATAAAAAAATGAACAAGTATTCAAGGTTTTATAAAGGCATTTTTTTGTTTTGTTTTGAAACAGAATCTTGCTCTGTCACCCAGGATGGAATGCAGTGGCGTGATCTCGGCTCACTGCAACATCCACCTCCCAAGTTTAAGTGATTCTCCTGCCTCAGCCTCCAGAGTAACTGAGAATACAGGTGCATGTCATCATATCCAGCTAATTTTTTGTATTTTTAGTAGAGATGGGGTTTTGCCATGCTGGCCAGGCTGGTCTCAAACTGCTGCCTCAAGTGATCCCCCTCGGCCTCCCAAAGTTCTGGGATTACAGCCACTGCAACTGGCCACATGTAGATTTTAATTTATACATAAATTATGTCAGCAAGAAACTGGGAATGAGCACAGTCTAAAAATAGCAAAATGATTAAATGAATTATGGCACAGCCATATATAGAACTTCATGTAACTGAAATTTAGATAAATCTCTATAATCACAAAAACATCATCACACAATATTATTATATAAGAAGAAAAGATTACAAAGTAATATGCAGAATATGCTCCCATTTTAAAAAATAACATTTGGGCCTACAGGTGAGCTTAAAACATTTTGAGAAGGGATACACAGAAGATGCTGCAGAAAATCTCTTGATCATAGAATTACCCTTTCATTTTTGTTCAACTCTTCTACCCACTATTTCAACAATAAACATGGACTACTTGTATGTTGAAAAAAGACAGTGAGGGTGGGGGGGGGGAGCAAGAGAGACACAGAACAGAAGGAGGTTTCAGAGGTAAGAAATATTATAGCACTAAAAATGTTCTTTGGCTAAGGCCATGGACTCACTGCCTCCGATAATTCCCTTTCCTGGATTCCCTTAGCTTATGCACATACGATTTTGACAGCATTACTGTGCACCCAAGTTTCTTGCCTGGTTGTTTTACTTTTCGAAGCAACATCACCCCACCAGAGTTTTATAAATACTCATGCTGTTTTTATATACTACAAAACTCTGAACATACAGACATTTCAAAATGTTGAATAAATTTAACTGAATAACCAAATCAATAGCCTAATTTAGTTTATAGTCACAAGCTTAGCTAAATGAACAGATCTCCAGAAATGGACAGTACGGAATTTTCAAGATTAGTCAAGGAGGTGATTCTGGATAGAAGTGCTCCAGCAGGATCCAGAGAGCCTAATATGATAGAGCAAGTACTTGGCTGAGGTATGGATTCTTCTACCAATTAACTTTGCGAAAGTTATATAAATCTATCAGATCCCAGTTTGGTTAATAAACTAAAGCTTCTTTTACACGTATGATTCCTTGATATACATGATGTTGCAATGGATGCTTAGTCTCTGCTATTCGCAGAAGTTCTGTTTAGGAGACGGTAGAATTTAGCACATGGACTACATAGAGTCCAGAAAGTTACCAATATTGTTCTCTTAAGATGAAAAAAAAAATGGGGACCAACCTGTTCTTTTACAAAACTTTACTATGTACGTTTAGGACATTTTCATGTCAATAAAGTGAATAAAAATCTATTGAATTAAGTTCACACAAACACACAAGTTTTTGTTACTGTAAAAGAAATGCTACCTTAGCTAATTTGGTAGGCATGATGCCTATGATGAAAGAATGGATTTGTATTTATATATATTCTATAAAACACTGTACTCTAAATTTTGGCTTTTAAGAGATGGTTTTGCATCTCATACAAATGCTTGTGTTCCATTATAATGTGGAGCTTAATTGCATGTACATGCTTATTCAAAAATATGCCCCCAACTTCTACGTCACTCAACGATTTTCAATTGTAACTTAAGAATTTCCTAAAACATAACAAATTGTGTCTTCATGGGGGTTATTCAACATGGAATTGTGCTAATGAAGCTTATAGATGTTATATTTTTGCTGATAGTTTGGAATGATTGAAGCATATGAATAGAAAGGTTATTAAGAGTCATAGTTCTCCTTATCAAAATGCCCAGCCTTTTTACCTTAGAGAAAATCAAAATAAAAAGACATATAATGTTTTCACCTCAGTTTCTGGTGTGGAAGTTGATTTGTTTAAGTGCCTTTTCAAATCCCAAAATATTCATATCTCAATTCTAAAATTAATGTTTAAACAAGAAGCCAGACCAATGGAAATAATGAATAGGCTACAGGCTCCAATGGAAAGCTTAGGTCTTTTTAAGAAATGTATCATTAGGATTTGTTTAAGATGTCATCTTAAATTAGCAAGGCCATTTCACTTATTCAGTTGTTTTCTAATAAGAATCAATATTTATATGATACAATTAAAAAACATTTATTTTTAATTTATACAGTATAAACATGAGAAGCATCATACCCATTAAATATATCTTTATGTTAATATAGTTATATAGCTATAGTGACATTTATGTACAGGTTCTCTATATTCTTATTAAAATTAAGATTAGGACATTAATCTTGTCCTTTACTCATTACTATTTCAAAAAGTAAAAATAAAAAACCCAGCCAGTTGCTTTTTAATTTCAAAGTGTCCTTTTTATCTTTGTGAGCTAGCTAGTTACATACTACAAAGCATTAGTAGTTCCTTTCCTGCCAAGTTATTTTTAGGGTGTTTTAGCTTTACTGAGCTTTCTACCAAATGCAAAACATTAGACATCCTGAAATTTTCTCTGCTCTGTCCATCCTAGAGATGGAAGATTTCTTGCTTCAAACCTCAGTGCACACATGTAAACACAATTACTCAAAACAAGGCAACAAGTGAGAGGCAGGGTTAAAATAAGAACTCAGGCAATCTGACTCACAATCCAGGATTCAACCCCCTAAAACTTGCTGTTTTCTTTGTCCTCTTTGCTGTGAACCAAGACACTTGTTCTGTAGCAGACTGCTTCTGCTGCAAATCCAGTTGCTACTGCATTATGCAATGAAGTCAGAAGCCTGAGCTTGTGACATCAATACAGGTTGCCATGGCAACTCTTTCCATATGTATTACAGGTTCAGTGTAGGCTCAAAAAAGGGGACTTCAGCAGAGTAACAAAATGACTGGCATTATTTCAGCCTAAATTACAACAGTAAGTGGTGCAAAAATGTTTTATAATTCCATTAATAAAGAAAATGTTGTATATGTTATGTCATTATTAAAAGTCATTTTTATAATATATTTAAAAATGAGAGTTCTCCAGTAGAAATATTAATGCTACTGGCCTTCTAAGGCATTCATGTAATCCACAAAGGAGAGGATCTCACTATAACGCAGCAAATTATTCCACATATTTAGTCATTCCATAAGTCAAGGAATGTTATTATATATTATGATAAATTCCTAATAACATGATGTCATTCAAGTTTTCCATTACAAGAATTATAAAAAGATCTCACAAAGTTGCCTATATAAAAGCAGTTTTAGATGAGAAGACTATTTCTAACAAAGCAATAAAGATCACCTTGGATTGCACAGGTTCATTATAACTTTCCTAGAACATGTTTGCCAGTAACCCCATTTAAATAGTTAAATCTACCTGCCTGTGTAAGACATGTTTAAAAAGATTATTTGGCCTTCAAATTTTTTTATCCTGAATTTGAAGCACATAGCTGAATAATTACAAACACTGAACTTCTTTATTACCCAGCTCCTTTGTTTTAATCATCTACCATTCTCAAGAAGAGGATCTTAGTTCTAGTCTGCAAACATGCTTAAGCTAGGTGTTGGGGTTGCAACATGTCGGATATTAGGTATAAGATGCATAAGACATAATCCCTTCTATGAAAAACTCACACATGTAGAGTCAATAATTATAGCAATAGAAGTGCAAACAACAATTTAAGAATATTTACTGAGTATCTGCCATGTGCCACACACCACGCTAAAGACTTCACATAGATATTATCCGATGTAATCCTCACAACAATACAAGCAGGTATATGGGTACTATTATTCCCATTTTACAGATAAGAAAACTGAAGCTCAGAGGGATAAAGTGACTTGGCTGAAGTCACACAGCTAGTTCAGAACACAGCTGGCATTTTAAGTCCAAATGATTATGATGTTTAAACAGAAATTAAAGATAATTCCCTGTTGCTCATTGTGACCAAATTGAAAATTGCATCATCATTCTACTGAGCAAGAATTCCTTTATGTAGAATTCATGAAGCAGAAAGCAGATGATAATCTTGTGGCTGACTTCATGAACACTTCTGATGACTAACTTTGCTGTTAGTGTAACATTTAGCAATTCAGAAAATATTTACCTGGAAACATTTCCTTCTTTATTGGTTTCAAATGACAATACACAATGGGGAAAGGATAGACCTTCAATAAATGATTTTTACCTCACTGGATATCCACATACGAAATAATGAAATTAAACCCATTATTTTTATATCACACACAAAAATCAACTAAAAATAATTTAAAGGCCTAGCCATAAGATGTGAAACTGCAAAATTCCTAGAAGATAAACATAAGGGAAAGTCTCCTTGACATTGGTCTCAGCAATGATTATTTGGATTGAACACCAAAAGCACAGGCTATAAAAGCAAAAATAAACAAGTTTCTGCACAGCAAACAATCAAAAGAATAAAATGGTAACCTACGGAATGGGAGAAAATATCTGCAAACCATACAGCTCACATGAGATTAATATCCAAAACATATAAGGAACTCATACAATTTAACAGCCAAAATCAAATAACCCAATTAAAAAATGGGCAAAGTAACTGAATTGACATTACTCCAAAAACATACAAATGACTGACAAGTATATGAAAAGATGCTTGGCATCACTCATCATCAGGGAAATGCAAATCACAATGAGATGTTATCCCACACTTGTTATGGTGGCTGTTATCAAAAGTCAAAAGAAAAAAAGTGTTAGCAAGGATGTAGAGAAATGGGAACACTTGGGCAATGTCTGTGGAGATGGTAAATCGGTATGAACATTATGGAAAACAACCATTATAGAAAACAGTATGGGAGTTTCCCTTAAAAATTAAAAATAGAACTACCCTATGATCCAGCAATTCTACTTCTGAGTATATCTCCAAAGGAAATGAAATCAACATCTTAGCAATATCTGCATCCCCATTTTCATTGCAGCATGATTTGCAACAGTGAATAAATGAAAACAACATTAGTATCTGTCAAGATTTGAATCGATCAAAAATGTGGTACATTCCTACAATGGAATATTATTTAGCCTAAAAAAGCGTCATTTTATAGACTGTCATTTGCAACAACAGGGATGAACCTGGAGGGCGTTATGCTAGGTCAAATAAGCTAGACACAGAAGGACAAATACTGCATGTTCTCATTTACATCTGGAATCTTAAAAGTCAAACTCATAGTAACAAAAAGTAGAATAATGGTTACCAGAGAGTTTGGGGGTGGCAGAAAATAGAAGATATTGGTCAAAGGATGCCAACTTTTAGCTATAAGTGAATAAGTACAAGGGTCTACTGTACAACACAATTAGCATGGTTAATAATGGACTGTAAACTTGAAATTTGCTCAGAGAGTAGACTCAAAAGTTCTCGCCACAAAAAGAAAATGGTAACAATGTACAGTAATGGATATGTTATGTGGATTGATTGTAACAATAATTTTTAAACATATGCATATACCAAAACATCACAATATATACCCTAATAAATGCAATTTTTGTCAATCATATCTCAATAAAACTGGGGAAAATATTGGTTCTATAACTTTTCTTACAAAGGTGCTTTAACATTTTGATTTTATTCAAGCTACTATATCAGTTTCTGCTCAAATATAATAATTTAATATTTATAGTGAATTGCTGTTGACATATAAAACTAAACGTTCATTCATTCAGCAAATATTTATTAAGCCACTGTTGTTTCATGTACCGTGCTAAATGTTGGACATAAAAACTATAGCAAATAGTGGAAATCATCCTCAAATTATAGGAGCACATAGTCTATAATGAGAGAAAAACATTAATCAAATGATGGCATAAATAACTATAAAATTACAGCAGTATCTAAACAGTAAAATTTATGAAGTTTCTAATTCTGCTCTACACAATTCAACGTTTCATCCCAGCTCAAAATCCACTGTCTCATCTTCCTCCTCCAGTCTAGACCTGGCTTCTGTCCATTCTTCCAAATTTGCTTCCTCTCCCATGTGTCTTCTCCCTGTCCTTCTCTTTGGCCCAAACCACATTTGAGCTCTCATTGCTTCATTCAATGAGGTGTTTCAATAGCTCCCAGCATGACTCCCTGCTTTGGCTTCTGCCTTAAAAATTCCTAGGGCAGATTACTATAACACTACATCCTGAATCACCTAAGACAAGAGCTTGATCACATTGCAGGTCCCACTCCACCCCAATAAGTGTAGCCACTCTCCTTCCTTTAAACTTGAAATCTAACTCTTTAGCCTGACATTCCAAGCTTTTAAAAATCTGACCAGTGTTAACTGTTCAGTCTTGTGATCTATCACTCCTCTGCAGGTATCCCTTCCCAAGCCAAATGGATGGATCACTGGCCTCTAAATAAGCATTTTGCTTTTCCATCTCTGCTTTTGTTTATTCCATGTCACCACTGAAGCTCCTCATCCCTTTTCCACACCTCTCCTTCCCTTCCCTTCCCTTCCCTTTTAGAATTCTAAACAGCCTTCTAAGTCCAGCATGAATTATTGATTGGAGAGTTGTTCTGTTCTATTTTTTGTTTGTTTGTGTGCATATGCTTTAACTCCTCTGCTAGACTGTGAACTCCTTAAGGGAACAGATTGTCTTCTGAATCTGCTGCAGTACTACACATACATGGTATTTAATAATACCTATTGATGTCCTATCCCAGGACAATGAAAGCTTATTTAGATCGTTAAAAAAAAAAAGATTTGAATCACTAATTGTGTGATTATGGCTTCCTTTGGAAATTACAGATTCAGATCCTTCTGTTTGTTTCACTAAATATCCATGTAACAAGAAAACATAGAATAAGATTTTGCTACCTGTCTACATAGAGAAAATAATTAATTTTATGTTTGCATGACTTTCAATGAAAACTTTCAAGCAAAGATAGCTTGAAATTATTTATTTGTATTAACTATTTATATTAGTTGCAACTCTTCCTGTTGCAAATGAGAGCAATCTAACTTACAATCGGCTTAGGCAAAAATGAAAGGCAATTCATTGGCTCCGGTAATTGGGACGTCCATGGGTAGACTGGATTCAGTCACAGCTGGATCCAGAGGATTCAATGGAAGTCTCACTCTCCCTTTTTCTGAGAGTTCACCTTATTCTCTATAGCTGCAGACAAGTCATTTGTATATGAGAAAGACAAAGCCAGTAATAATTTCAATTTCTCTCTCTCTCTCTCTTTCTCTCTCTCTCGTTTTCTCTCTCCTTATCTGTACATTGAGAAATCTCAGGGAAGACAGTTGAATCCTAAATGGATCATACACCTATCTGAGAAAAAGTCACTGTGCCAGAAATAAGGGCATCTGTGAATAACTCAGCCTGGGCATGAACCCATGCCTATGGCCAGGGTGGTAACCAGATACCTTACTTGGCTGTGCCTCTAAATCCACATGAAATTGAGAAAAGATAAAGACCAGTTGTTTTTTCAAAACAAAACAAAACAAAAGAAATGACCAAAAAAAAAAAAATATTTCTTCCTTTAAGTCTGTAAAACTCTTTGGGTCCTGAATCTTCTAGATTGACTTTAAATTCTGAAATATTAGCTCATACATTTATCCCCAAATATTTGTTTTGCACCTACTATGTGTCAGGCACTCTGTTAGGCATTGTGAGTGATACAAAGATTATTTGATTTGACTCCTAATAATTTGAAATGCACAAAGATAGAGAGTTTGGGTCCAAAGTAGGATATGAAATGTGTCATAAAAGTGTTTGGAGCCAAAGATAAGGATTTAGGAATAAAACATAAAGAGGTGAAAATGTGAAGTGGTAGAAATAGATGAAACTGAAATTTTCAAGGTAGAGAAAATAAAGAGAAAAGAGAAATAAAGACTGAGAATAGAAAAGAGAATTGAGAAAGACTCATATCCATATTCAAATTATAGTTCATAAAATACAAGTTCCTTAAGAGGAGAACTTACATCTTCTTTTAGGTAATAAAAATAGTAAGACTAGAGAAATAAAGTAACAGTAATAACACTGAATAACGTTTATTGAGTGCTAAGTATGTGATAGGCATTGTACTAAGCTCTTTCAACAGATTATTCCATTTAATCCTCAAAACAGTCCTATGAAATGGATATTAATATTAATATTCCCATTTTAAAATTAGAGCGCTGAGACTAAGAAATGGTAAATAATCTGCCAAAGGAAATGGTGGACTTGGGTTATTACCAAGCTAGTCCAAATCCGGAGTGTGACCTCTTTATCAACATGCTATAGTGAATATTTTCAGAGGTTCCATGTTTTCATGAGAGTCAAGGAGCAGATTCAGGGTAAGTTGCCCAGAATCATGTGTTTTTTGAGTTCTTAGTTCACTCACACCATCCTAACCTCATTCTCCCCCAATTCATTTTACAGGCCAAATTCATCCAGGAAATTTGCTGTCTGAGCAGAGAGTAAATGGAAAGGAGTAGGAAAAGGAACGTAAGTAAGGCATGGTACAGGCTATTGGCTCTGTATTAGAAGAATAAACCTCAGTGGTATAGTTATGGGTTAAATTGTGTCCCCCAAAAGAGATCTATTGAAATTCTAAGCTCTAATAATACCCCAGAATATGACCTTACTTAGAAATAGGATCTTTATAGAGATAATCAAGTAAAAAAGTTCATGAGGATGGATCCTAATGCAGTACGAATGATGTCCTTATAATAAGGGAAAATTTGGATGCAGACACAGACATGCCCAGAGTAAAGATCATGAAGGAGGCACAAAGAGAAGGCCAGGAAAATATGAAGGCAGAAATCAGGGTGACGGATCTTCAAGGCAAAAGCACCAAACATTGCTATCAAAGCACCAGAAGCTAGGTGAGATGCCTGGAACAGATTTCTCCCTTCCCGCCCTCAGAAGGAAGCAACCCTACCCACACCTTGATCTCAACCTTCTGTTTTCCAGAACTGTGAGACAACAAATTACTGTTGTTTATGCCATCTAGCTTGTGGTACTTTATTGCAGCACCCCCAGCGAACCAATCGAAGTACCTTTAAGAAATATGATGACCAATCTAAGCCTCTTGCTAATGAACAAAGTGATTCCCTCTTTCATGAGGCCACGTCTATAAAACCAGGGTCATGCCAGTTCACTGCAGAGCATCCAGATGACTGAATTTCCAGATGTGATTTTATGGCCTCACAGGGAACTCTTGCAAATGATTGTACATAGATATTACATTTGGTATTTCCTAATATGTTGCCATCGTTTGCCAAAAGAAAGCTAATGTTTTTTTTCTGGAGAGAATGATTTTCTTTCTATCAGAAATCTGACACCAGATTCATAAGTGATTATTTAAATTTTTTATTCTGGGCTTCCAAGACACATCAATATACTCAGAATGAATTGTTTACCCATTGGTTCTTAAGTTAAATTCACATTAAAACATTCTCAAATATCAAGAAAGTATTTTGTTTTAACAACAATCAATAATTCATCTATGGCTAGCTTTTAAGGGTTTGATGGGAAGCATGGTGGAAAAGCCTTTGAGGTTTTGTGAAAAGATAAAAACATGGCATGAATCGAAGCCGCGATCTCTACTAACAGCCACATTACCAAACAATGTACAGAACTAGAACTTTCAAAATTTACTATGTTCTTGAGTCAATTGGCAATGTGAATAAATATATTATGTTGGACACCATGGCCTCTTTAGGACAAATGTTATGAAATGTGCCCCTATGGAATTACATTTTCCAGAGCTGGTAGAACTCAAGGGCTGCTCTGAGTCAGTGAACGTTTACTACTGTGCACCCTCCTGAGATAACGCATGACCTAAAGCAGAACCTAACAGAGCCACTAAACCTGTTCCAGGACCTGACATGCTGTCTCCTTCCTTACTCCCTTTTCTTCCTCCTTCCTTCCTTTTTAGCATTAACATGTTTTTCCTATGAAAGTAATACATGTTTGGAGTTGTAAAGAGTCCCATTGTTTTGTGAACAGAACTATCAAAATATAACACAGTGAAGGAGCATTGTGAAGCAGGCAATATTTCCAAATTTCTCTATTCTGAATATGAAGTTTGCAGTATCATAGACTAGGAGGACACAAGTTTTAAAGCCAAACAGCCCTTGCTTTAAACTGACAAGTCCTTTTTTAAGCTGCATGCAATTTTAGGAGTGATACATAGCCATTCTATGTTTCCTCTTCTGTAAATTAAGGATGATAATTGTACCTTCTGTAAACAGTTGGTCAGAAAATTAAGGTAGTACCCGAAGAACACATAGCATAGAAAAAGCCAAATGGTAAATACTTAATAAATGCAGGGTAGTAACTATGCTTATAAAGAAGAAGACACCAATTATCTGACATTTTAGAAAAGTCAAAGCTATAGCAATATAAAACTATCAGTGGTCTCTAGACATTTGGGAGGTGTGAGGTGACAGTTATATTCATGAAGCATGGGGATTTATGTGAGTGGTGAAACCATTCTGTATGATACTATAATGATAAATACACGACATTATGCATTTGTCAAAACTCATAGAACTTTTCAGCATAAAGAGCGAACCTTACAGTATGTACATTTAAAAAAATCAAAACCATTTTGGATACTTGAGTACACCAGGATGGAATGCAGAATGTGACAAGGCTGACTATATTGCCAATGTATAAAATAAATCTAATGGTATTAAAAATGTATGAAACAGGGCCAGGCGTGGTGGCTCACACCTGTAATCCCAGCACTTTGGGAGGCTGAGGCAGATGGGTTGCCTGAGGTCAGGAGTTCAAGACCAGCCTGGGCAACATGATGAAATGCTGTCTCTACTAAAAATACCAAAACTAGCTAGGCGTTGTGGTGTGTGCCTGTAATCCCAGCTACTTGGGAGGCTGAGGCATGAAAATCGCTTGGACCCGGGAGGCAGAGGTTGCACTAAGCTGAGATCACACCACTGCACTCCAGTCTGGGTGATAGAGCAAGACCCAATCTAACAAAAAAAAAAGGTATGAAATCAACTCACTAAATGGGGTGGGAGGGGAAGGTGACATATGGAAATGAGATAAATGTGTAAGGCTAAAGGAGAAATAAATTATACATAAGCACTGTACTCTAGTAAATAATATTGTTCCTCATAGGAATATGAATGATTATTATACTGATGTATATATATACTAAAATTGAACAATTAAGTAAATGACAACTGGGTAATACAGCCAGGTCTCTTACTGCTGGAGGAAGCTCTGCAGATAAGCAAGGGAAAGAACCTACTAATGATCCATGTGGTCATAGATTAGAGTTGACGACATCAGTATAAACTCTTATTTAGCTTAACGCAGATACTGATGGTTATACATGGGAACAATTATAGACGTGCATGTGTACATGAGTTAGTATGCACAAATATATTTCCTTCCTGTGTCAGTGGAGAGGGCCTAGAAGCAACCACCTCCCATCGCCACCAAGCACACACCTAACACCCAGATCTTGTTTCCTAATACCATTCTCCAACAGAAAGAATCAGGACTTTTTGGAGAAAAGGCTGACTCTAGGACTGGTGCGGAAAATATTTAACATGAGCCCATAGCATCCTGTAGTGCTGGGAAGTAAGGAAGTGCTTAAAAAAAGGAAAGAAAGGGATAGCCTGGGGAGAAATGCCAAATGTGGGTGAAGGGGAGAAGAAAAGAAAGCACACTGCCATGTGTGTTCCTACGCAACTGTCTTGCATGCTCTGCTCATGTACCCCAAAACCTATAATCCAATAAAAAATTTAAAAAAAAAAAAAGTAATCATAATTCAAATATGAGAAAAAAAAAAAAAAGGAAAGAAAGAAACAACAACTGTGGGTTATGGAAAGAAACATAGTAGCCAACTAACAGACAGCCAACGGTCAAAGCTGGGAAATTTGAGCAAGGAAATAAAGGAAGTAATACTGGCTTATAATCCAGGGTAAAAAATAAATTTATGAGTCCATAATGACATAAATAATTGAACAAATAAACAAGTAGAAGAGAACAGAGAAGTCTCCCACACAGAAGAATTCCATGTAATTTGTGTAAATACTTGGCCTTCAAAGGGGTGGAGCATAAATCCCTATTCTAATTGCGGGCTGCATGTCATGACTCTTCCAAAGAGCACGGTGTGGAAAGAGAATAAACAGTGACTTTACAGTGGTGGCACCTGACAAACACCAGCTCAGCCAGATGTCATTCTGGAAAGAGAAAAAACAGTAACTTTACAGTGGTGGCATCCAACAAACACCAGCTCAGCTAGGTGTCGTTCTTTGTCTTTTGAAGATAAAATTTACACATTTTACTTTTTTCCCAAGTAAATCTTCTAGTAAACTTTATCATACATAGGAGATTTTATATGGTACTATTTACTTTTAAAAGTGTGAAGGTATAAATCTAAGCTAGAACAGAGAAAACTGAAAGACATGTGAATCCATGCAGGTTTTTAAAAAGCTATGTAAGAGTTTCTGATATGCTTCCACAAAGTTAGCCTTCCCTAAACACTGTAAGATAAATGCACCTTGCTGAGTTGAAGGCTTTTGTGAAGGTTATGCTTTAGGAGCAAGAAGGTAAAGATGAAGCAGGAAGATTTGAAGAAACAATAGTGCCAGGTGGCTGAACTCTCTCTGTAACGTGGCACTTGAAGGAGCTGTTTGCACATGAGTGTCTCATCCATCCATCTTTCCTCTGCACGCTCTGGGTCACACACCATAAATCTGCCCCTCGGTGTTCTCGGGCCTTGCATATCTAGCATCTGATATGAATATACCAGAACTTAGAAATTTTATGCTTCTTCACTGTGCCCTAAAACACATAGTGACATAATGCTTGATGTAAATGGGGCAGATGGAAATACAGATGAAAGGAGAGAGACAGAAATGTTACCACTTCTCAAGAGCTCAAAGCCATTAAGTTGCAGAACTAAGGTTCAAGGCCAACTCCTCTATCCCAAAGCCCAGTGGGCCCTCCCCAGTACCAAATGCCTCTGCATACATACCACCCTGAGCCAGCTTTAACCTATATTTGCAGGTTATGTGGAATTATTGTATTCAGTGCGAGTATCCCTTTTTCCTTCTTAGTAAAATATAAAATGTTGTAATGTGGTGATGGGCTTGGCGCTCCTGCCCTGTTCACTGGTAGGAAAAGGCTTCCTTTGGTGACTGGTAAGATGTGCTAGCTTTGTGTTCAGACTGAAACACTGATTAGAAAATTCCTCCCAGCCAAAATTCTACCCTGCCAAACTTCCTAGTATGTGTATTTTGAGAGTAAAAGAAGAAGCAAGTGGACCCAATTTATGTGCCTTATAGCTCTTTAATATATTTGATAGTTCACACATCATACGAAAGTTTGTGTACCTGAAAGTTTGGGATCTATGGTTGGTTTTGTTTTGGATTGGGTTGGGTTGCCTTTTTATAGGTCTAAAAGTTACTTGCAGAAGGTAGATAAATATTTTTGTGGCACTCAGAGTCCTTGAACCATAGCACTTG